TTTAAAAATACCTAAGTCAAACTTAAGTTTTTTTTTTTTTTTAAAATGAAACAAATTCAGTTAGGTGATCAATCGTACCTAAATAAAAAGATTGATAATGACTCCTTAAGTTAATGTTTAGTTATGAGTTCACAAATCTAGATATTATGACAAATGCAATAAAATTTTCATCCATTTTATTACATTTTCTGGTAGCGTGCCTTGCTTTTGGACTTAACCTATGCCTTAAAAGTTAAGTAATTAAATAATCCAAGTTCACGATAAGGCTCATTGATAGGGAATTGACACAAAGATTCAAAGGTTGGTGCATATGTTCATTGGGTTTTTTAATACTTATCATTATCTTAATTAATTTCCTAATTATATGAATAAGGAAGGTGGTTGCTAACTTGCTATAAAATGCAAAAAGATTAAGCCACAATATCATGTAACGTAGGAAACAACCTTCGTATAAGGAAATAAATTTGTGACTATTCAAGGTTGTTTTAGGACGCGGGTGGTGGAATCACCTACATTTATTTGGGTAGTTGCCTCTACAAAATAGTTAAGAATATTCTACAAGATTTGCCCTATTATTAATATATATATTTATATCTTTGTTTCTCCCATTTTTAATTAATTATTTTTAGTAATATAGAGATTGTAGCTGGCCAGTGTGTTGAATATAGAAAACCTTAAAAAAATTAGAGAGAAATTTGTATATATTATCATGATCCAAAGATAATTTTATATATCAAATACTTACTTCACTGCTAGCTACTCAAATATCCATTTTTTTGGGTAAATTTCATTCGGGTCTTTGAGTTTTGAATATAATTCAACACAAATCTATTAGTTTGATGAACAATCCATCCCAAATTTTTTTAATTTCATGGGACAATTAGGTTCTTCCCTATTAAAAATCTCATTTAAACAATATTTTACCCTTAAAAAATAAATATCCTCAAATACCTATATAAAGTAATATTTTTATAATAATATTTTTATTTTTTGTCAAAGTATATCAAATTTATTAATAATAAAAAATTTAGATACAACATATGAAAACAAAACTTACATGCATGCTAATATGTAAATATATGTATAATAAAATAAATATATTAAACATGTAACAATATTATTTTGACATGTAACTATTTAAAAAATGAAAGATATAATATGAAAAAGATTGGTTAAAAAAAGAAAATAATCATAATTAAATATTTGTCAACTCGATTTTGATTATTATTATTATAATACTTGTATATATCTTAAATTTAAATCTATATGTTTGTGAAAATATAGCTATGACAAATTTATTCATTTTAAATTAAAAATAATTTATAATAAGTAAACCCAAGTTAAAAGTTTTAATGTTTAAATACAAATTATTATTATTATTATATATTCAATAGATATATAAAATAAAGAATAACATTCATCAATACAATAAATTTTGAGGGATAGTTCTGCAATTGTTTAACAAATTGGAGTGGATTGTCTATTAAATTAATGAACTTATGTTAAATTATACTAAAATCTAAAGGAGGGACGTAGAATTTACCTTTTATTTTTTTTTCTTAAGCTCAAGGACCAATCATTTTCCTTTTATTAATTAATAGCACTTGTTTTCCATATTCCAAAGGAATTTGACTTTTGGGTTTTGACCATATCTTGCCAGCAAAAGAAGTTGAAAAAATCAGATGGAAAAATGAAAACCAAGTCCAAAAATAATGATGAGTTTGACATTTGATAACAGTTCCTTACTTCATTGCACGTCTTCAATAAATATAAATTAGACTTTTAATTCTTCAATTGCAAATTTTATTGTTACTTGTAAATCTGAAATATTTGGATGATACTTGTGTTCTACGCCAAGTTATGAGTCAAAAAATTAACTCAAACATATATACTTGAAGAATTTATTTACATATTTACATTTTTTTTCCAATTTCAGGAAGTAATTTTGCTTAGGATGAGAAAATAATCTTGATATTGCTTAATTTGATGTTCTCCTAATTAAAATTTGATTAATAAAGCATCTTTCTTCAAAATTTTGATGAAAGCGTTTTGTACATATATTATATTATTCACAAAAAATATCATAATCTGAAGATAAAAAAAATATATATATATATATAAGTATTGAGATAATTTAAAATTTTGACTTATTAAATTTTATTTTTTAAAAATAATTATGTGAATTAACAAATTAAATTTCGAATTTTATGTATGTATTACTTTGGTTTAGAATTTTAGATTATAATAATCACTTTTGTTAACACTTGACTTGTATATATGTTTTATATGTCATAGTGAAATCAATAATTAATCACTATGCTGAAGTAGTTGACAGGAGCCATGAGGAGACCACAAATTAAAATTGACTAGTAGCGTTCATGTACATTTAATAAATATTGAATCCTTGATTCATTTTTCCAAATTCCGGATAAGCTAGAAACCCAAGTAGATGAGGTGGTGGTTGGAGCCTGGAGTAATTTGCTCGATCATGGACCAAGGAAGTAGGTGAGCTTTGGGATTCCAAATTTGGTCAATAAATCAAAGACATTATTCCTGAGTAAACTCAAAGCTTCTGGTGAATTCATTCATTTTAATTTTTTTTTTTAAAAAAAAACATGCGGCTGCAGTCCAAGGAAGATTTCAGGTTTTCAGTTGAAGTGAAAGGTTGTGGTTGGGGATTTTGACTGAAAACAAATTGATTAATTATACGGTGGACCAAAGCTGCATTTATCCCCCCCCCCTTTTATAATCCGAGGTCGCTGACACCTGATAGGCCGGCTGGAAATTATGCTCAGGTTTTGTGAAATGAAGTGGCAACATTTTATTCAAGCTCCAGGGCCTGGTGATGGTCCATTTGAACCCCAAAATTTTCCAGGATTAAGTCAGGCAAATGAAAAGTGAAAACTCTTCTATCAGATAATGATGCTACCTGCCTGGTTTGAGTTGCTGTAAACCATGCTTATTGCCCTTTGAAAGTGGCCTTCAATTTGACTTATTCTTCCCAAACAAACAAACAAAAAAAGAACCAAATAATAAAACAAGTGGGATGATACATATTCATATTACTTCCCATAAACTATATATACAGTTTGAAAGTAGAGGCAAATGAAAAAAAATGACGTTATAAGTGATGCTAAAACACGCAATCCCTTCACCATTGTCTTGGATTTTAAGTATAATTATTTTGAGTAAATTATAAAATCAATCTTTCATTGATAATATTTTTCATGAGAAAAGCAAAAGATCTGAGGAATAAAAGATGGTGAGATGAAACCGTCAACGGTTCCAATGTCTAAGCAGATAGCGATGCAAAATGCAAGAAAACAAGCAAGCTCTTGCATCAAATCCCTCTCACCTTTCTTTTCTGATGATGAAAAATTCAACAGGTCCCACTTTAATTGAACCCTCAAATATTAATCTTGATTATTGGTTTCTAAACTTCGTATTTTTGTTAAACACGATTAGGCAACCATAAATTTTGGGAATCATTATAATAGACAATTATTGAATTAGCACGTAAGTGATTTGTTTCTACTTGAGATTGTCAAATTTGAATTTTGATAACAAAAATTAAAAATTCAGTATTCGACTATGCTGTTTGGAGTAGGTAAATAATATTGCAACAGGAAAAAATTGTATATAATTGTTAGAAAAAGCAATTTTTATTAGTAATGATAAAGGAGACAAACAGAGTGAATCATGTTTACTGGATGGGATGGAAGCACCATTAAATGTTAAATCATGTATGCCAAAGAAACAATATGATTATCTTATAATTTAACAATGATTAATTAGTATACTTTATATTAGCAAGGAAATTTCTTGAGCTGTTTATCACCTTGATCATCTATATTAATATGGTTTTCATGCCAATGAGGTATTAGGTTAGTCGCAAGAAAAAGATTCTAAAATTGTAAGGTTTTAGATTCAAATTTTATTGTGTGTGAATTGGATTGTTTAATTAAGTTATAATTTATTAGTTAATTATTCAATGATGTAAGGATTACTTACAATTAATTATATGGATCTAATATTCGAATGTAATGTTAAAAAAATTAATATGATTTTCACCAAATTGCAAAGGTTTTTTTTTTTTTTTTTGCATTAATGTTCATTCTTTGCTTAGCATGCAACAAAGCTAAAAGCCAAAACTGTTAACAATTGACTAATAAATGAGTTTTCCATTAGACTTGAAGATACTTTGAATTTCTTTTTTCCACCAAAAAAATTAGGCATGCTGTCCCCATTATCTGAAGCATCAATGCTTTGGCGTCTCCATTTAATTTTGCCTTTAAGTCGATTGGATTTTTATGAATTTATATATCATTGGAGTTGGTATCGTGAATTCAAAAAAATTTATGCTCATAATATCTTCTTGTATTAGGATAAGAGATTCAACTGTAGATTAGAAATTTCAAAAAGAATTATCTCTTAAAAAAAAACTAAAATGTTTCAAAAAGGGATAAGTTTTTCAATTCAAAACATGTTTTTCAATGACATAAAAAATAGTATCTGCAATTTGCTCCATATTGAAAATATATATCCACTTCATATCCTTTTCATAATATTAGAAAATTATTTTTCAAAACGTAATGAAAAAGTCAGATGAAAAAAGTTTCTCCACTAATTGACACATGGAAAACAGCTTAGATTATCAAGAATCTCTAACTAATGTGCATTTGCTTCCTAATCTTAAGGTTCCAATTATGTAAACAAATTGTCCTACTATGAGAAATTTCTTAAGCCATTATATGGAATAATATAAAAAATAATTTTAATTTACATTTGGTATCAAATTTTTTTCCAATCAAATGATCATCCTTTATATTCCCATCTTTTTACTAATTTTCCTACAAGCAAATCTTAATTTCAACATGTAAATAACAAAAGACTTTATATTAAAAATTTGGATGGAAACTTGAAAAATAAATAGTATAATCCAAGTTGTGCATTTTTTTTTTTTATACAGGGGCTTGGCCAAAAAACCTGTATAAAAAGCACTATAATTTCTGACAAAACTAGCAACATTCGAAAAGTTGCAGTACTTGTAAAGATATTCACAAGCCATGGATATTTCTGTGATGCAAAACATGGAACAATTGCCTATGGCCCTTCTTTTCATTATCCCTTTCCTACTCCTTCTAGGCCTCATCTATCGGCTTCGAATAAAACCATTTCCACCAGGGCCCAAAGGGTTGCCAATCATCGGAAACATGATGATGATGGACCAGATAACTCACCGTGGACTTGCCAAGCTGGCTCACAAATATGGCGGTATATTTCACCTCAAGATGGGGTTCTTGCACATGGTTGCTATTTCTAGTCCTGAAATGGCTCGCCAGGTGCTCCAGGTTCAGGATAACATATTCTCCAACAGGCCAGCCACCATCGCCATCAGTTATCTCACGTATGATAGGGCTGATATGGCTTTTGCTCATTACGGACCTTTCTGGAGACAGATGAGAAAACTGTGCGTAATGAAGCTTTTCAGCAGGAAAAGAGCCGAGTCATGGGAGTCCGTAAGAGATGAAGTGGACTCTCTTGTTAAAGCTGTTTCGGCCAACACCGGAAAGGCAGTAAATGTTGGTGAGTTTATCTTTAACCTTACCAAGAACATCACTTTCAGGGCTGCTTTCGGTACTATCTCTCAAGAAGGGCAAGAAGAGTTTATCAAGATCTTACAAGAGTTCTCCAAGCTTTTTGGTGCTTTCAATATTGCGGATTTCATTCCTTGGCTCACCTGGGTTGATCCTCAAGGACTCAACACCAGGCTGGAGAACGCTCGTCATGCATTAGACAAGTTCATTGATACCATCATGGACGATCACATCCACAAGAGGAATAAAAACATCGATGCCTCTGATGAAGGTGACACCGACATGGTTGATGATTTACTTGCTTTCTACAGTGAAGAAGCCAAAGTAAACGAATCGGACGATCTACAAAATTCCATCAAACTAACCAAAGACAACATCAAAGCCATTATCATGGTATGGTTCCTTCCTTCACATATAGTAACACTCTAATTCGACTACCAAGAACACATGACAATGTTTCATTTTATTTTATCATAGGAAAAAACGAGAGGCGAAATTTGGACTTACAAATATAATTTCTATCAATCCAACAATCTTTATATTAGCATCTTGTATTGTATTTATCTTTCATGTACGTGCATGTTATATATTTTTTTTCACATAAATATGAAAGAATATTGGTATTGTTTCTTGAAACTTATTTATATGTATATATATGATTTTCAGGATGTGATGTTCGGTGGGACAGAGACGGTGGCATCAGCGATTGAGTGGGCCTTGGCGGAACTGATGAGAAGCCCAGAGGATCTGAAGAGAGTCCAACAGGAGCTCGCTGAGGTGGTGGGTCTTGACCGCCGTGTGGAAGAATCCGATATCGATAAACTAACCTTCCTAAAGTGCACCCTCAAAGAAACCCTGAGGCTCCACCCGCCAATTCCACTCTTGCTCCATGAGACGGCGGAGGACGCTGTGGTGGGAGGCTATCAAATTCCCGCCAAGTCGCGCGTGATGATCAACGCCTGGGCCATTGGCAGAGATAAGAATTCATGGGAAGATCCTGACAGTTTCAAGCCATCCAGGTTCCTGAAAGAAGGTGTCCCCGACTTCAAAGGCAGCAACTTCGAGTTCATTCCATTCGGATCGGGTCGGAGGTCGTGTCCGGGTATGCAACTCGGGTTATATGCACTTGACTTGGCTGTGGCTCATTTGCTTCACTGTTTTACGTGGGAGTTGCCTGATGGGATGAAGCCAAGTGAGCTTGACATGAGTGATCTGTTTGGACTCACTGCACCTCGAGCGACTCGTCTCTATGCCGTTCCAAAGAAACGCCTGGTTTGTCCACTCTTTTAAAGCAAACCCGAAAACAAAAACAAAACCCATTTGAGTCTTAAATTGCAGCTTATACATAAGAAAACCGAGGAACATTGAATAAGAAGGTGACAAAGTTGGACTTTACAAAGTGGAACTTTTGGGTTTTCTTTTTTTTTTTTTCTTTTTTTCCCCAATACATGAAAGAATCTGGATCCTCTCTTTCTCTTTGGATAAGACTCTTTTCATTTGAACTGTGTTGAAAATTGTCTATCTTTTTTATTTTTAATTTTCCCTTTTTATAACAGTAATAAATATTGTGAAAGAACCCTTTATTTGGATCAAAGCATGAAAAAAACGAAAATAATGTTTCAACTATTGTACAATGGACAAGTGTGAATTAAATTTGCTTTCTACTTGTTTCTGTTAATTCTGTTAATTTCTAGTAAAATTTTCATTTTCTTACTCTTGTTTTGTGTTTAAGTTCAGTTGAAGTGTAAAGGCTTAGGTAATCAACCATTTTCACCACAGTTTTACGCTTCCTCAAAACCCTATTAGTAAGTAACCCCATGAATCATGCATAATTACTTGTCATTTTTTTTTATCAACAGCTTATATATATATATATATATGAGAGAGAGAGAGAACGAGGGAGGTCATGTGCCCACATTCTACAGTAATATGCATTCGTTTCCTTTCTATATTATTATAATGATTGAAAAACACAGCGTGACACTTATCCTATTTTTAATTTGATATCCCTCATATATATTTTTTAATTTGATATATTATAATGATTGGAAATCAATTCCACATCGTGAATTGATCTGATATGATTTTAGAGTTGGCATGATTACAGGTTCAAAGAAACTTATTCGTGTAATATTTTTTTCTACTTTATAAGTTTGAGGATAGAATTTTAAGAACAAATTAAAAGTTTTTAAAAATTAATATCACTTTAAGGATGGATCCTCTAAAAAATAATGGAAGTTTTTATTATAAATGCATTTTTAATTAAATTTTATAGTTAATATTTGTTTAAATAATTTTTATTTATTTTATGTTCAATTTAAAATAATTAAATTTCAATCATAAATTTAATTGAAAGTGTATTTATCACCTTTAAATAAAAGTAATAAAAATTTTCATTGATTTTTTAAATAGTAAAAATGATATTTTTCCCTCTCACGCTAGTATGTATTTGTCACGGATTGAAACTCAAACTCTAGACCCGCGTGACTTCAAAACTCGGGCATTTATTTATCTGACGTCTCAAATTAACTTAACCATTATGATTCACATTCTTGTGAGATATTGTCCGCTTTGAGCTCTCATGGACTCACGATTTTGTCCTACAAAAAATACTTCATAAGGGGAAGGTAGTGTGAACCTTTATATCTTAATATTAACTCTAGTATTCAACTGATGTGAGATTCATGGTTTTACTTCAAGACCATGACATCCTTCCTCACTCCAACGAAGGCTCACAGTCCCCAGTGGCACATCTTTAGTACCCTCAGAACTGGCTCTGATATCAGCTGTTATGAGCTTTTACCTAAGACTCAAAATTTGTACGGTTTTAGGCTTGAAATCACCTCATTTCTAACCTAAATCAGCCTAAAACACAAGCGTGCAGACACTAAAACAATGAGAAAGACAAAATGCACAAGTTTGAGAAAAACAAAAAAATAAGAGAATTGCTTAAATATATTCTATATTTTACTGAAACAAAAGTGTTTATGATGTACAAAGGAGGGTGATGCGACTTTCTATTTATAGTTGAAGCCCCTAGCTATATTTATGATTAAATCTTTTGAATCAAAGAATTACAATCAATCAAGGATTACATAGGTTACATTCAATTAATATTCTTCTTTTTTATTTTTAGGGTCAACCAGATCCACAAAAAGCTCATGTTGATCCTGTGCACTTTGAGAAGATCTTTTTGGGCACTTTCCCTCTTGGGCCTTCCCTGATGCGGTGCGGGTGTCATGTAGGCCTTAACCTGATTGTGTGGGCTGGCCTGCATGCCATACGGGGTGGTCTGAACTCCTCTCAAAATCTAGTGTGCAAACATCTGCCAATATTTTTGGTGCACGAGCCTTAATCTCGAATGCGCATGCTGATGCGCCTGATATGTCTGACGTGCTCGTCTAAGGCGTGACACGTTAATTTTTAAAAATTAGATGATTACAAAATAAATTTATAGATATTATTAATAAAATCATAATCTTTTATAATTAAATTATTAAAATAAAAATTTATTTAAAATTAAATAACTAAACGTATAACGAATCCAAAAACCAAAGTAAATTCATGCAATAGAATTTCAGGATGAATTTCGGCCTTTTATGATTATGACTTCCAATGAATTAATGGTCTAAATATAATTAAAAGCATTGGAATATTAAAGCTGAAATCAATCTCTGTGAAATTGGATGGCAGTTTCTTATTGCCAACTCAAAATTTGAGCTAACATAAATAATTTGGTACCTTATTTTTCTAGGTGGGTCTCTCGAAATATGGCGTTGGTAAGAAAATTAACTGTCAACCAAAAAAAAATGAGGCACCAAATTATTAACGTTTGGCAGGAAAGAAAATAAAAGGAAAAAAAATTGAAGAAAGAGATTAAAGATAATGATTGTGATTGACAACAAATTGAGTCCTTAATTTTTGTTGCTTGGCGAATGGCCAGTCTATTATTAATAGGATTTAAATTCAATCCTCATTTGCTTATACTTCTTTCTTAAAAAAAAAATTTCAATCATGTGCTTATACAAACACTAATTAAAGATAGTTAAATTAATTTTATTTTTTATAATATTATACTATACAATTAAAAATATTTTGTCTTATTTTAATAAATTTTATCGTGTTTATTTTAAAATTTAAACTCAAATTCCACAAATTCAAGATAAAGTGTTAAATTTTTTATATTGGACTGATACATTAAAAATTTTATTTTAGAAATACTTTCTGAACTAAAACGTGACCGTTTTGTATTTTTATCAAATTCAAGAAAATTAATTATCGAAATTTCTTATTAAATACAATCTTATCCGATAACACCAGATAATATTTCTCCTCTTAAACCATAAAATTGTTGGAGCTCGGTGATTCAATTAACCAGGTTCAATAGAGGAGTGCAAACCAACAGAAAAAAAAAAAAAAAAAAAACCCTTTTTAACATGAATATTGAGAACAAAGAGATTTGCATAAATGAAAGTGATTTCTTCTTTGGGTTTTTTCTTTAGTAATCGGTTTAATCCCTTTGTCCACTTATCAGCTCTCTGCCGTATTTCTTTCTTTAAAAAGTAATGAGATTCTTAATACGGCAGACAGAGCTGATAAGTGGACAAAGAAAGAAATACCTTAAACGGCATAGATGTTCTCACTTCTTAGGCTTAGTGGTTAAAGATCTTGGTTTCAAACCAAAACTCCCTCTCCTTTCCCATGGTTTTCGTCCATCCTATGTAAAAGAAATTCGGCAGAGATGATATGGTTAGGAAGGGTTAAAGGTTTATTCCAATAATCCTCTGAAAGTGCTGTGTTAGACCAAACATGAATGATCTTAGAATATTTCTTATGGAAATGTCCAAAGGAAAAGCTTCAGGCCTGGTTTGAATGCAGAATTTCAAAGCGAAAATGACACAGGAACATAATATATAGACAAAAAGAGTTGAAGTTATAGATAACCACTGGATTTATGATGCAATTTCTTACAATTCTGTTTGTAGTAATATCTTTGTGAAGCAATAGTATCTCAGTAGGATTTTTGCAAATTCTAAGGCCAGAAAAACCATCTATCTGGTATATGCCTGATTTGTGAAGCATGAGAAACTTCAATAGAGTTTAGGTTATGTATGTGCTAAAGTAACTAAACCAAAGTGTAAGGAATTGTTTGGATTTTACCCAGAAGGTAGAAAATTCTTCATCCTAACTTTAAACTTATCCATTGCCTAGAGGTTTTCATAACAGCCCAAAATACTTGCCATGCTAAAGGCCCAAATGCAGTAGATGTTCTACAACACTCCATTCAGTTCTTGAATTTTCTTTCTTAATTTCATCCCTCTCATCTTTCAAGCATGCAACATGTTTTATGAGGTAATTGAATTATGCTCTTTCTTTCCTAGAAAATGAATGCGCAAATTAAACAGGCTAAGAATACAGGAAACGGAGAGGACTTCGAAGCAGCTGGTAAAAAATTATGATTGAACTTTTTCTTTCATTTCTTTTCAAATATTTAAACAAACAACACCTTCAGTATACATACATACATACATACATATATATATATATATATATATTACTATCTTAACAAGAGGAGAGCTATAAGGCTCAAGCTTGAAATCTCTACCCTCACCCTCTCCCTCACCCATTCCAATCAATTGAGCTAAAAGCTCAAGTGGCACACAAAAAATGAGCTATTTTCCATTTAAAAAGAAACAAGAGCTACTTCTTTTCCCTTTTGGGGTTATGCTGACATTATATGTTTACATCAGTATACGAACTACAGCAAGACCAACAGCAGATACGGAAACAAGTGTACCTATGCAGTATTTTATCAATTCATATTTTGCAGCTTCCAAATGAGCCTTTAACGCATGAATTTCCTGAAAATTGTAGAATAGGATATAGAAGAACAAATGTCATAAATTCAATCAACTAAAGTATGCCATTTCTCGTTCACTTGTAGTACTAACCCGATCAAGTTTGCTAGTGAGAATAGATGTTTCAGCATTCTGATTTGAAAGCTCATCTCGTATTCCCCTGCAATTGTCATAAACCACAAACATATTATACTGTTTCAGGGGGATTTACTGGGAGCAGAATTATGCGGTGCAAAACAAGAAACTGCTTACTTCACTTTCTTACCCTCTTTCAAGATTCAAATCCAATCGTTGCCCAGCAGTAACTTTGTCAATTTCATATCTGCATCACAACTCATAATAGGATGATCATAACAGAAAATATAGATATTCAAATGATAACAAACAAATACAGATGAGTGGTAACTCAAAAGCCAGACCTTAATTCACTGCGCATGTTCTCTATATCATTCCGAAGCTTCTCATTTTCATGTTGCAGCAAAGAAAAATGGTGGCTCTGCATAACTTATTGTTCAGAAATATAACCCATTTGAACAGACACAAAGGCATGAAATCAGATCTAATCCTTAGTCTGCATCATAAGAATTGTGTAATGTATTCAAAAATTGCTGTTGTAATTTTGTTCCTGTTTCCGTAAAAAGTAGTTCTCAAGAGATGTTTTCACAAAATATGGGAAGACTAATACTAATGATACTTGAATTTTGGATTTTATGAGTAGAGCTTTATAAAATAGTTACAGGAGCAGGGAGAGGTTAAAAAACATGAACAAATCTCATGTTGCTGCCAGAACAAAGCATCAACTGACTAAAATTTGAAATCTTACAATAATCCTTGGTGTTTGAACACTGTTCTATTCTTTTCTCTCATTGGTGACTCAAAATGATGGGGAAGATATATATGCATTATTCTCTGTTAACCAACCTACCCAAGCAATTTGGTCTAATCTAAAAATAGGTATCAGAGTGCAATGGAGTTTCTTGCAATGCTAAGATCATAGACCATCATTCAATACTGTTTCCCCATTCAAGCAATCAAATGTAATTAGTTGACGACAAGTTTGGGAGTCCCAAAGCGGCTTATTGCAGCATGAAAACGGACCTAGACATGTTAACACTGTCCATAGCGATAGGCTAGGGGAAACTACAGCTTTTCCTCCATCAATAAAAACAACTCAACTTAAAGGGACTCAATTAATACGAAAGAACACACACACACACACAAACAGAGAGACTAAAATCAATAAGTTCTCAAGATTCATTTACAACAATGTACAGAACTGGTAAATACCTGAGAGCTTCGAACTTCTGATTTGAGCTTGGACAGATTGGATTCTTGAGTCATTTCACTCTACCAAGTCAAAAAAACAAGAACACGCTTTTACAAGTTAAAGGAACAAAATTTTGCAAAAGCAACTAATTAAACAGACTATCTTTAATTCATACAAACAGCCTTGCTTTGTAACAGCAAGTGAAGTTTGCATTGTGAAAACAAAGAAAAAAATACCTTACTTTCTGCATCTCAGCCTTGGAAACAACCGAAAGAGACACATTTTCCAAGCTGTCATTCAAAACTTCAGTTATGGCAGCTGTTATGGCCTCAGCTTGCTTCGAAGGCAGACCTTCAGCCTCTAATCTCCTAACCTAAGTATAATGAACCCTGTCATTTTCTCAACAGTGGGAAATTTAAAAAGAGAAATCTTTGTAATTACCAAAGCTAATGTGTCGACGAGAAACAATCGCTTTCCGTTGGATTTAACGAGCTGAGAAATCTGCATCCATTGTGAAAAGAGTGACGATCGAATCGCTGAGGGAGGATACGTCGTCGAATTAAGAGGCGACACCAGTCCTTTGAATCTGGTAACGCCTCCAATCATCGACGAATACGAAGTGGATCCAATTTGACCCACGCATTTACAAGCAGTCATTGCTGCCATTGAATTTGGTTGAAAAAAGATTCAAATTGAAATCCCAAAAAGAACCCACCAATCTTCTATAAAAAAACAATCTGAAGCGAAAGCTTAAAGAGGAAAAGCAAAGGATTGGTTAGTTCTAACTTAAGAGCATTTGATTGTGAATGTCAAATGACATGAAACCAAATGCCGGTGTGAGGTAGAAAAGATGAGAGAAGGAGATAAAAATGGGGATAGGATTGGATTTTGTGCTGTCAGAGAGAGTTATGGGAATTGCTCAATGCCGCTGGCATTGGCAGCTCTTCTCTCGGGAAATGGTGGGAGAATTTCGCAAAGGAAATGTTTTGACTTTTTATGACAAAATTAGCAAGTCAAACTAAAACAAACAGAACAGAGAAAGGGATCCGCTTGTTTTTTTTTTTGGTCTGTTTTTCCAACGTAAAAAATTCGTGTATTGAAATGGCGGGTAAATTTTTATTTATTTATTATTATTATTATTATTAAAAAACTCTAAATTTATAATTTAATTCAATTAATTTATATAATTATTCTTAAAATACCCATAAATATAAAATTCAAGGCCGTTAAAGTTTTGAAGAAAGAAAAGATTTGTCACAAGTTTTTTAAAGAAAGTTTTTTATGAAATTTATAAGTACACGCAATAAAACGAACAAAACCATATGCTTATTTTTTATTTCAAAGATTAGAGTTATAGACAGCCTAATCATAACCAAAAGTCTTTTATTTGTAAGCCCAAACAAGATAGATTGACTATATACACTATTGAGATTTGAAAAGACGAAATTCCAAAAAAAAAAAAAAAATTGTTTATATATATTTATATATCAAATATAACATATTTTAGATTAAATATGATAATTTATGTATTTATTTATTATAAAATATTAAAATTCATTTATTTATATTATATTTTATATAAAAATTATATATTATAATTTATATTAATATAAAAATATAAAATATTTTTTTAAAATTTTATTAAATTTATATACAATTATTGTTAAAATTATTATTAAAATTTTAAGCTGTAATTTTCATATCTTATTTTTATATCGTATTACCACATCTATCTATTTTATATTACCACATCTATCTTAAATATTTTACGCATTTCTTAGATTATTCGGATTCAGAAAGGTTTATTTTCTTCTTTTTCTTTTGTTTGCTTAGGCCTCAAAGGGCAGAGAGGAAAGATGACAGACACAATGCCAAGGCCACTGAAGGACGCAGCAGCAGCAGTTACTCTGCAACGGGTCCCAGAGAAGAAAATTAATATATATGTATTATGCCCAGCTTGTATGATACTGTTACTGGTTAAATGGGGAGAATTACATAGCAAATTACTATTTGGAATAATGAATACAGAATTAAATACACACAATTGCTGTGGTAGTAATCTCCTAATCAAGGGTGCCAATAACTACACGATGCTCCCTTCTTGCAATACCCGCTTTCATAAAATTTACAAACCCGCTGCCCTTTGGGCGGAGCTGTGGAAGAACCTACTCTGTTTTGACCACCGAACGGTGACGACAACCGCCTATTCCAAAATGACCTGCCCCTAACAAAACTTGAATCTCTGCCCTGAATATCACGATCCCTTTGACCAACATACCTTTTTTGGCTTCCTCAATAGGGCGGATTCCCAGCATAAGTGCCTGAACTGATGCTGCCATTTTCCTGGAATGTTCCCTGACCTGTTTCCCAACTAATATTAGTAGTTCCTTGTCCTAAACCTCCCCAATTAAAATTTGCATTTCCTTGAAATGCTCCCCAATTGGTTCCCGTAGTTTCTGGCCCTGCTCTCCAAGCGGTATCTGCAGTAGCCATGCCCCAAGTTGTTACTGGTGGTGCCGGAGGCTGCATGTCTGAAACAGATTCGTATTGATTAACTGAGACATCGCTGGGCCTTGTATCTTCATCCATTTCGACACTTGTGGAAGAATGCCCACTAGAACTCTTATGAAAATCATGAACTTCAGACTGAGAGACCCGAAATGGATAATTGGTCACTGACACAGTTGACTGAGAAGGCATGTGTAGATCATTTGTGGAGCTCAAAGCATCGCCTTTTCCTGGATCAGGTGCAGGGCTCAGTCCTCCTACAGGACTAAAACAATCAGCTTCAGAACCTTGAGCCAACTCTCCATCACAATGCAAAATAGATGTAGGTGTAGCTAAGCCATTAAGTGACTCCATCGCTTCCACTTCAGCCAAGAGATCGGAAACTGATTCATCACCCAAAGAATATTCATTGGGTTCGCGAACAATTGCATCCCAAGCAGATGCATTATTTGCAGGATCTGTGGGAGAAGAATGCGTCAATTGGCCACTTCCTGAAGTTGGAGTAGCGGCATGATCACTTCCCAAGTCAGTTGGTTTCAAAGAAGACTCAGGCACAAAATCTGAGTTCCATTCCTTCACAAAGGGTTTTGCTGGAGTGGAAGAATAACGACCCCATTCACCAGCTACTTCAGGAAGCTGTGATCCATTACCCACTAGACTAGAAGCAGAACTCCAGCTAGGACCTGAATCCTGATGAGGAAAATTTGAAGAAAGAGACTGTTTGCTTTTAGCCTGACCTTTTGAGTCTTCGTGGTTCAACTTTGATGTTGAGGTAGGAAGATCTGGGAAATCAATATCCTGATTGTGCTCCGATGCTTCAAGAGCCCTAGCCAGTGAAATAAGAGCAGAATTTGAATCCCATCCATTTGAAGCATCATTTAAAGGTGGAGATCTCCAACTTTGCCCACAAGATTTTCCTAATTTTCCCTCACTATCATATTGCTTCATATTTCCAGCAATAATTTGACCTTCAGAGGTCTTGTTCAAAGTTTCATTCATGTCAATCGAACCACAGTCCCATCTTTCAACCCCATGACCTTTGCTAACTTGATTAGAGTGAGTTTCACAATGTTTCCCAGATAATGTAGACGAGGGAAGTGAACTACTCACTTGGGGGCGGCCATGGAAGTAATTATCACCCTTCACAGAGTCCCAGTGTGGTAAAGGACTTCCCATCTGACCTGCATTGCAATTGACAATATCTACAGAGGCAGTAGAAGAAGATTGAGAGCCCAATTCTTTGCTCTTCACAGATTCATTGTTACCACAACACTGACCACTTGTATCATTCTGCATTGACTTCAAGCTCCCCTCAACCTGTTTACTTTCCATCTGATTAACATTCAGATCCCTACTCCTAACATCACCAACAGAGGCAATCCTTACATCCTCAGTCGGTATGCAGCTGTTATGAAACAACTGTTGCACTTGGCTGTACAGCCCATCCAACGCATCAGTTAAGAGAATGGAGTTATCTTGCTTTTCACTTACTCTCCATATTCTCAAATCCAGAGGGAAAAGACCACTCATGCTCCATACACGTAACATTGCCATAGTAAATGGCCCTTGAGTTTTCCCAAGTGGGTCTTGATAGTGCCATATTTTATCTGTCTTAATATTATTTACTGATAGCTCCATTCCTGTAGAATGTGGTGGTATGCTAGTTTCTCTGCTTCCTATATCACTCAAGAAATCACCTCCATTCAGTGGAGAGGAAGGCTCCTTTTCCTTGATACCAAAACCAGAATTGCTTGGTTTCATGTTGTTCTCTACACACAAACCAGTCTAATTAGCACCGAAGATGCATAAAATTGCATAAATGCAGACAAAAATTAATACATACATGCATATATATGGCCAAAACCAAAGCATTATGGACAACATAGGAAAAACAACAATAAAAAAGTTCAATATCTAAAAGTGCATGCTACCTTTTTTCTTCTCATCCAATTCTCCACCAACTTCCTCACACTTGCGATATAGATATAGATTCATATTTGGTTCACTGTGTACATCAGGAATTTCATGCAGCCTATAGTGGCGCCCATCAGGTGAGTTCAGAAGCTGCAATTTTTCTACACATTCTCTAAGCGTGCAACATGGTCAAGGAATACTTCATAAACTTGTTACCATTTACTTACCAATAGAAAGGCTTATGAATAATGGCAACTGCCAGTATCATGTCCAAACGGTGTCACTCAGACTCATAGCATGATTATCACAAAGAAATTTGAAAATTGAATATCTTAAAAAATGTTGAGGCTAGGTTTATAATTTGTGTTACAAGATTCCAGGTTCCCTAGTTCAAAGCATAAAGCAGAATTGTAAGGCCAATTATGCTTCATGTTACAATGCAGCAACTAGTGAAAATGCAAAATGTTTAACAAAAAATCACTGCCATAAAGAGAAAGCAATGTAACCAAGATGGTAAACAAAGAGATTGGAGTTGAAAACCCTGAGCCCTACTTTTATGTTGCTGGTCATCTCCGTCATCTTTGAGTCCTAAGACTCTTTGCTGCACCTTTTCTTTTCAAAAACCTAAGTCAAGCCACTAAGGTTATTCCTTTGGATGTACCTTTACTGAAATTACATGGAAATATAACCTACAATTCCATATGTTAAAAAAAAAAATGTTGGAGGGTAAACAAAATCAGCTTTGACATAAGTGCATCAGGCAAGAGGTAAGGTGGTGTAGCACCATATTCGGCCAAAATTAGATACACACAAACTGATTTTGAATGGCAAAGGGCTACAATAAGGGACCAAAGAAGACATGGGCAAAAACTATTAAAAGGACTTTGCATTCACCAATCTTACAAAGGACATGATACTAAATAAAGAATAATGGAATGATAGGCCCAAAGCAAAGCTTAGGTTTATTGTTAGTTGTATGTTGTGACATATGTTAGACTAGCAGCATAGCAGAGAATATAAGGGTAAGAGGGAAAAAAAAAACAAAAGCAGCTTAAAGGTTAGTATCATATCAAGCAACAAAGGATATTCTTTTGTATGCCCCTTCTCACTTGCACGATCACAAAGATTATTAACTCGCAAAATCTCTGACCCCAGCCACTGGTCAAAAAGGTTAGAACAAAAAGCACCTTCAAAAACTACATTAAAGAGTTCTTTAAGGGTAAGTAAAGAGAAAACATGTACTATATAAGAACACTAAACATCCTATCCTTTTCCTTTCAAAAAAAATCCTATCCCTTTCAAAGTAACTACACAGTAATATCCCAACTCATTTAAGGTACTGCAACTTCACAGCTTAGGAACTTACATCATTTACCCTCGCTGCTTGAAGTGCCATTGCTTTCTCCTGAATCTCACCCTACAACAAAGCATAAAACTCCCTTTCAAACAACACTACATAAAACTCCCTTTTCAAACAACACTAAAATTATCTTGGCTGAAAATTAAAAATGAACACACTTCAACTTACCACTGTAAACCATTTGATCTGCCCACATTTTATACTCTGGCGTAGTTGTTGGCACTCATCCTGGGGTTATATAACAAACATATCAAAATCAGAGGGGAAACTCGTATACCCCATCCAAGGAAGGAAAGTTATGGCACAATACAAGATGGTCCACTGCCTGCCAAACTAAGAATGCATATAAATGATAGCTATATAGATGATGAAATTTGTCAATGGCCTTTGGAGAGTGATCTTTTTCCATTTAATGGTCAATAGTTCACAGATTTTACAGTGTATTGTCTTTCCCACTTTCTTCTCAGTTATTGTTCTTCCAGCCTATACCAATCCACACAAGCCATCAACTATCCTCAAAATCCTCATTCACCTCTGTCATTAAAACCTTAAGTATTTTAAATCTTTCTTTTTGGCTAATTAAGCCATTTTCGCCCTATTTCAATTATAAATACAATGCTTACTAAAATCCTAACCTACAAAAAAACCTATCTTCAACCCTTTAGTTTTAATAGGGTGATAAAATCATGAAGTTAAGCATTAGACTTCCTTACATGGAATTCTTGTTAATAAATGCAGGACTAAACATAGAAATTTTCTGTTGTACAAACAGCATTCAATCCTTTAAATAAATGGAACCTAACACAAAGTAAATGTCAAAAAAAAAATAATAATAAATGAGGATGTATATTTAGGCACCTCAGAAAATTCCTGATTTGAAATTCCATCAATCAATACAACCTCTTTCTTGTCTAAATTTAATATCTCGAGCATGACATCAATTGTCCTTTCACCAATTTTATATGGTTCAGCCACCTTGCTGGTACCTACAAACAAACACATTTATTAGTGAATGTTAACAATAAACAAATAAAGGAATTCTAGGAACATTGAATATATAAGTTAATACCTACTACTTGGACAAGTCTATACATATCTTGCTTCTGATCACTACCAGGAATTCTTATCCTTACAAAGCAACCAACAACCTTGTCATTAAATTTGTCAGCATCATCAATTAAGTTCTCCAACAATTTACGCTTTAAGTAGATCAAGTTCATATTATGAACATCAACCACAGCAAATTCATTTGGATTTGCCTTTTTTCCTTTATCATCAACCTTTTTACGTGTTCTACGTCTCTTATCATTGGCAATTATGGGTTGACTATCATTGTGCCCATTGACAGCCAATTGGGTAGCAATAGCTTTGGTACCTCCACTTCTAATGGTATCAATGGCCCTCGAATGGTCTTGGATGAGAAAGTGTGATTCAAGAAGCTTTAACATTTCACATTTGCCCACCCTTGCTTTTCCAAACAATTTTATAAGCCTTGAATCACAGACAATGCGAGATTTCTGGTGAGGATCACGAAGATTGCTTCTAGTTATGTATTCAAGCAAAAGCACCTGAACATCAAAACGAGATATCACAGATATATCACCATTTTTCATGTGTGCCACAAATTCAAGAAGCTCCTTTGTTGCCCAATTCGTGCCTTCAGCCAAAGGCATCCCTTTCATAACACCCGATTTTTCAGCTTCTAGAGATTCAACTTTGTTCAAAAACCTCTGCTGCTTCATCGTTTTTCTTCTCTTGGAATAACTTGGTCCTTGGTCTCCAAACAACTTTTCCACATTACCACTTCTAGCATTACTACCATTATTAAGTTCATCAGATGACTCTCCCTTAGGACCCATGATAACAATTTCTTTCCAGGGATTTTTAGCTTTAGTAAGCTCATCTAAACTTAAAGATAGCTTCTCCTTCAAGAAAATCCAATACACCTTGAAGAGATACTCCCAACTAGTTTTGTCATCAAAATCCACTTGAACCTGCACAGCATAAATTAAAAGGCGTTTAACGTAGACAAAAGCTCTCTACTCTTCAATAATCTAAGCATACCAATTACAATAGTTACCAAACATGGAAGCACAACTAATGGATAAAAGCTATAAGATGTTCGAAAAGAAATCAATTGTATAAGGCATAGTTAATCATACCATTTCCTTATTTTCTAATGCGATGTTTTCAATCAGCATTATAGTTCTCATGCACATTCCACAAAATCCTTTATTTCCTCTGACATTCACATAATCAGCATCTTTTGTGCAATTCTTGCACAAGGAATATGTACAAGTATAGCACATATAATATGAAGCCTTCTGACAAGTGCTACATATATGCCACCCTGAAACATACAACAAATAGAACACCAGGAAACATAATGAAACTTAATCATTGACACTTACTAATAATTTAGATAAAAATGTTAGCACAATAACTAAGTGAGAAGCAAGAGTCCAAGTCAATGAACACACATGGAAGCTACCATTCACTATGCACGTGGAGATAATATGATATTATAATTGAGATGTAAAAAAAAAAAAAAGAAGAAAGTAACGTGACAATTGCTCCAGAAAATCCAAGTCAACAACAGACATCAAAAGCCACCATTCAATAGATACATGTTAATGGTATGATATAATATCATAATTGAGATAAATATGGTAATCCAATTACGACTCAAGAACAAAGAATCCAAACCAATGACAGAAAAGGAAAGCTACCATTTGGCATGCACGTGTAACAGTACAACAGAACAACGGTTAATTAACTGCGAAGCAAGTAAAGAGGAAAATGAATCTAGAAAACCCTAACACAACCATTCACTAGGCACATGTTAATGGTATGATATAATATCATAATTGAGATAAATATGGTAATCCAATAACTACTCGAGAACGAAGAATCCAAAATAATGACAGACAAGGAAAGCTACCATTTGACATGCATGTGTAACAGTACAACAGAACAATGGTTAATTAACTGCGAAGCAAGTAAAAAGGAAAATGAATCTAGATAACACTAACACAAACTTCAACACTTCTCAAAACTTAACATATTAATTAAACTGAAATAAAAGTTACAAGTATTTACAAGAAGTAACTAAAATGCAACATACCACAATTCCATTTCGCCTTTGATTTAAAGAATGCCTCGTCCCTCTTGATACAGGCTGGATGGTATGCCTTAGGACAGCCCCTGACACGTAAAATCCCATATAATTAACCAAGTAAACGGCACAAATGCACAAAAAAAAAAAAAAAAAGAGAATAGACTAAAGAAGACCACGAATTGTAATATATGAATTATTAGTAAAATAAAATAAAGAAAGATCAGCGGCAGTGGCATATAACTTTCATATTTAAGTGAAATTAACTCCAGTTCAATTTTGCCTAAATAAAACCTGAGATAAGCTCAATTGAGTAAAGGGTTATAAATTTTCAGCCTAACTAAGCAAAACTTTGAAGTTCATTCAAAGATAACCTTAATATCAGCCAACTAACTAAAACTTTCTTTATTTCCTACATTTTCTGACCAAACAAACAGAAAAGAAAAACAAGATAAAAACAGAAATTTCCAAACTCACCAGCGATCACAAAGCACGAGACTCCCGCCATCGAAGCATATGAAGCAAACGTCTTCTTCATCCTTATTCTTCCTTTGAGGCGGTGGCGCCGGTGACGACATGATTCTCGGCTGATTCCTCTGCGGCCTTCCCCGCCTGCGCTTCCCCGCGCTCATCTCAACAACTTTGACTCCATCCCCCGCTCCGGTCTCCACCGTAGCACCACCATCTCCTCTAACCGCCACGTCAGCGTTTCCAACGAGCTGTGAATCGTCCATCTCCGGAATCTTCTGGCATTGATCGACGGTCACGAACTCCACTCCTTGTAAAGAATCACGATTCAAACTACCACTATTATTACCAACATCACCGCAACCTCTGCCGTTGTTTTGTAAACAAGGCTTATACAGAGGCGTGGCCAATTCTTCTTGTTGACAATTTTCCATAAAAAAATCGAAAAATAAATCATAAATTAAAAAAATATATAATACATCTTTTCTGTGAAGGATTTTTGTTTTTCTTATATATTTTCTTTGATATGAACCAAAAAAAAAATTCAAACAAAAATTTGGAAAACCCTAGCGATGGAATTGGGGGTTAGGAAGTGGTGGAGCTGTGAGTAGTGACCACATGGAAATGGACTGGGAAATTATATCACCAGGCATTGTTTGGGCGAGACAAAAAAGGTTCAATTAACTTAAAACCCTTTTAAAAGTTGTCTTTCGGAGATGGAAGGAAGGAAGGAAGGAAGGCAGACACTTGGTCGATTGATTGGTAGATCAAACTCTCAAATAGATTTTTTTTTTTTTTTTGAAGGATAGTGGGAAGGAAACGTCAAACGCGGCTCTGGCGGAAAGAGGGTTGGGGTCTGGGCTGGAGTTGGGTGTTTGATTCTCTAATCTTCGCTGCTCCTAAGCGCCACGTGGTTAGTGAACAGTAAGTAACAAGAAAATGGGTCGGCAAAAAAGCGGTTTTTTTTCTTCCCGCTCTTACGCTCCACGTGGTTGTTAACAGTATGTAACAAGAAAAAATTGACAAACACGGGTTTTGTTTTGTTTTTTTTTTCGATAGCAAAAGGGTTTAGACGTGCGAATAAATTTGATAATTTAAAATATTATACGTAATGTGATTAAAAAATAATATAAAAATAATATAATTTAAATTTTTTTAAAAATTTATATATAAATTTAATAAAATAAATAAAATATTTTATATAATATAATATAATATATAATTTTTATATAAATATAATATAAATAAATTATTAATATTTTATATGATACAAATTCATAAATTAACTCTTTTCATTTTTTTTTAATTTCAAATTTAACTTTTAATTTTTTGTCTCTATTTACATTATACAAATCTAAATTCTCTCAATTGAAAATTTTCAAAAATTTGTTCATTAAACGTGTAATTGAAATTAATGATAAATTATCATTTTGTTCAAATTCTAAAAATAAGATCTACCTATCTCAAAATGCTAAATTAATTACAACTCATTTGATAATAATATTTAGCAAGCTCACATTCATAATATTTCATTTAAATATTTGATTCAATAATAAAAAATATATAAATTTTTACTCAAAAAATCGAATTTGAATTCCATTTTATTAATAAAAACAAACATAAAAGTTGAATTCAATCACAAACATATTTTTTTATCAAAAACACATTATAATATTTAATTACTAAGGAAATGTAAGAACCATGAAATTAATTTTAAAAAATTGTAATAGCAATTCAATTTCAAAAGTGATTTTCGAATAATCTAAAGTTTCATTATTATTATTATTATTTTCATTTTAACATGGAATTGACAGCATTTTATTTCAATGCTTTGGAAGCCATCGCTTTTCAATTTTGGTACATTGAACCACCCCAAGTCTTTTTTATTAATGAAATTCAATGCATTTTGAAACTGACATATTTTATTTTTAATAATAAATAAATAAAAATTCTAAGGAAGCATCTTTTACTGGTCAATGGACGCCGTTCTTTTGTTAGGCGCTGATAAATAAAATTTTGAAATTAATTATTGCTTTTTAATTTTTACCTAAGTTGGTCCATATAATTTTAGAGGGATCTCTTTTTCTTTTTTTATTTTTTGTTAAATAAAATAATTGTTCAATTAGATCAATAATTGCAATAGAAAATTCGAGTGTAATTGAGTATTTAAGTTGGTTTTAACATTTTCTTTAATTTTAATGTTATATATATTGGCTCTCTAAAAAATTGTTATAAAAATAAAACTAATAGTATAAAAATAATATTATAATTGATTTTCTATCAACAAATAATTAAAATGTAACCTATAATATAACTAATATTTTTATAATAAAATGATTAAATGTATCTCAATATTTTATTTGAGTTTAATTTTTTTTCTTGCACGATTTTAAAAACATAATCTCTTGCTATTGGATTTATTCAAAAATTTATTTTTTATGTACATTTAAGAGTAAAAACAAATTTAAAAAATTAAAAATCGATTCAAAATCATAATATACCGTTTGATTTGAATCAATTTTTTTATTGGATTCGGATTAAATTTAAATATTAAATATATATTTTAAGTCAGATTAAATTTATGATCAAAAAAATAATAAATTGAAAAAAAATAAATTGAACCGAATTATATATTATTATATATATATTAAATTTTTATAAAATAAATAATAAATTTATATCAAAGTATATTTAAATATTAAAAAAATTTCAAGTTCTTTTTTATCTTTTTGCACTTATTTTCAGCAGAGGTAAAATTTTAGCATTTGGTGGCGCATCATCATTTTTCATGGCAACTAGTAACCTGTGTTTTAAAACAAAAGAATCTGTAATAGTCATTGTCAACCTCTGTATTAGAACCAAAAAAACAAAGCAATCTATAATAATCCAAAAAGGAATTAAAAAGGACTAATCATTTTTCATTATTTTCACAACATCATGAAAATATAATAACATTTACGTCAAGTCTCATGGTATTAATCTTTAATCCATTTTTTATCTGCACCAAGCTTTACTCAAGTTTCGGGAAATAAAAAAAAAAAAAAAGCTTGAGAATAAGGTGAAACAAAGAAAAAATTGACGGTGAAAAATGTTTCATTTTATTAGATTTTGTGTAATAATATTAAAAAGTGAGGGTAAATTTAAGAATTTAAGTATATATATTATTTATTTTGAATAATAAACAAATGAATTGAGACACCCTAAAAAGAAAATATGGACAAAAATAATGGGACAAAAAGAATATAAAAAATATCAAATAGCCTCCCTTAAAAAATTCCATTTTCGTTGCAAATTAAAAACGTAAATTTGTTTATTTTATCATCATCAATTATCAAATGAATAAAAAATGATTTATTGATTTTTAATTTAAAATTTTATAAAATAAAACCAATACCATAAAAAAATATCACTATAAAAAAAAATTAAGAGTATAAATAATATATTAATATTTATAAATTATTCAGATTTAACTTAAATAAAATTCGAATTTGATTTGATTGTTATTGAGTGAAGCTTAAGTTCGAATAGCTCAATTTATCGATCGAGTCAAGTTTGAATATTTTTATATTTGATTGAAGTAATTTACGAGTTTGATTGAATTTTTATATTTTAATATATAAAATATTTTAAGTTCGAAATCGAGTAAAAATAATTTAATTTTTATCAAATACAAAAATTAAATTTATTTTTATATATTAATCAAATATAATTGAATGAGTTCAAGTGTTCGATTTATATTTTGAGTTAAATTCGAATTAAAAAATAAAATTTAATTGAATTTGAACTAAATTTTAAACTTTAAATTTGAATTGAGCTCGTTAATTTAATATTTTATCGATTTGAATTCAATCGGTTACATTTTTTTGACGGGTTAAATTAAGTGGATCCAACGGCCCGAAGTAGGCCACGGTGTCAACATTTCGTGAGCTGGGAGTCAATCTAATAGCAAGCCCAAGCCGATTCGTTTTGAAAAAGCACCAGCTTTTGCGAAAGTAACGGAGACTCTACCCAAACAAAGGAAGCCCCGATCCAAACGCTCCCAAAAAGAAAGAAAGGAAAAAAAATAAAAATAAAGAGCGAAACACAAATGTTGCAGAGACCCGGACGACGCTGTGAAGGCACCGCTATGGGCGTCATCGTTCTCGATCTTCGCCCCGGTCTCGGCATCGGACCTTTCACGCTCGGTTCGTTTACTCTCGATAATTTTTCTATATTTTTCATTTTTTTTTTCATCGGCGACGTGTATTTGAAATAATATAACTCGACGCGAAATTTTGATTGGTCGATTAATCGCGATTTTTGTTAATCAAAGGATTAGGTTATATATTCTCCACAACTGATTATTGTTACTAAATTTCAAAAGCTTGAAATCAATGAGAATGATTATAATTTAAGGGTTTTTAGGTTTTAATTCCTTTCCAATATGAATATGGTTGTTTTTAGCTTGTTCACTGGTTTTATCTTGTTGTGAGTGTATTTGTTTACCGGAAAAGTTGAAATATAAGATTGTTTGTTTTGTATTGTATTTTTTATTTCAGGGATGCCGATATGTGAAGCCTTTGCTCAAATAGAACAACAGCCTAACATTTATGATGTTGTACATGTGAAGTACTATGATGAGGTTTGGACTGAATCATTAAATGTACTGTTTCCTATCGCGTTATAGTTTAGTAGTTTGGTGAACTTTTTGGTACAAGGTGAAACTCTATACTTTGGAATATACTTAATGATATGAATTGAAATTGTTTCTTTGATTTTGCTGTTAAAGTCATATCTTGGTGTATGCTGAGTAACTATATAGTCAGGTCAAGTTAACACTTATGCCAATCTTCTAATTATGGTTGTTGTGCGTAGGAGCCTCTTAAGCTTGATATTGTTATAAGCTTTCCAGATCATGGTTTTCATCTTCGTTTTGACCCTTGGTCTCAGGTTCTATTCTCAATTAACATATATATTTCATTTTTATACTTGTTTTTTTATCTTTTCTTCCACATGATTTCTTTATGGTACGTTTTATTTATTATAATTTTGAATTCCGTACTAGAGATTACGCCTTATTGAAATTTTTGATATCAAACGTCTTCAAATGCGCTACGCCACTTCTTTGATTGGGTAAGTTAAGCCCTAAGTTTTATTTTCATACATCATAATCACATCTTTTGGTAGTGAACCTGGCTTCTGCATACAGGGGACCGGCCACTCTTGCAACTTTTGTAGCTGTCTATGCACTTTTTGGTCCAACCTATCCTGGAACTTATGACAGGGATAGAGGTGTTTATACCCTATTCTACCCGGTTTGTACCATGATTACTCTAAGTATTAGAGCGCTTTTTATTTAGTTTTTTAAAATTTGTCTGCAATTGTGCAGTTTTTTATCTTGCTTTTTTTTCAGGGTCTGTCATTTGCTTTTCCTATACCAAGTCAGTATACAGATTACTTTCATGATGGAGAAGGTTTTTATTCTTTTATCCACACATGATTACTTGTCATGCCCATGCTTCAACTCCTAATAAGCTGATTTTTAGTCTTTTACTTGACAGCTGAATTGCCTTTGGAGTTTCCAGATGGCACTACTCCAGTTACCTGCCGTGTATCTATATATGATAGTTATGCAGACAAAAAAGTTGGCGTTGGATCCTTAATGGATAAGGCTTCTGCTCCCCCTTTACCTGTTGGCAGCCTGTACATGGAAGAGGTGCATGCCAAGGTTTGACTTCTATCTTCATCAGTTCTGCTATTAATACGAGTCAGTCGTCTCATTTAAGCAGCTGACTAGCTTTTTACTATCATCCTTTTAATTTAAACTTTTGGATTGCATCTCTTGAAAATAAGTGGTCTTTTTAGAAAAGGGATGAGTCCTTTTAGGCTTGGTATTTTGATTAGCCTATTTGTTTGCTTCAGTGGGTTTTAGAGTACCAATGGTCTCTTAATATAGAGACTAATATTTTGAATCTAACAAATTCATATGTCCAAGCTTCCAGCTTGGGGAAGAATTGTTCTTCACTGTTGGAGGGCAGCATATTCCTTTTGGTGCATCACCTCAGGTAAATCTTAAATGACTTGATGAGATTTAAGTTTATCTTCTTTCCCCTCTTCTGGCATTAACTGTTCTCTCTAGTCTCGTAGAGTAGTACTAATTTTATGCTATTCCCTTACATGCAGGATGTCTGGACTGAATTAGGGCGTCCTTGTGGAATCCATCAAAAGCAGGTAGCAATGATGCATGAACATTTTGAAATGGACTGGGGGTTTTTATGCTGGTTATACACACTAGCTTTCACCTAAGGGGATATTTCATTGGACATTTGACCAAAGTAATTAGGCATGATATTTTATTTTCTTCTTTGCATTCTGGTGTGGGGTGAAAGGATTTTGTATGGCAGCTTTTTGTGCCTGAATTGTTTGCATATTTCCCCAATGGCAAAAACTTATTTTGTCTACAGGTTGACCAAATGGTTATTCACTCTGCTCCTGATCCTCGTCCTCGGACAACTCTTTGTGGTGATTATTTCTACAATTATTTTACTCGCGGTTTGGACATCTTATTTGATGGCCAGGTATTAAAAATAAATACCCTCATCACCCAAAAATTAAAGTGAAGGAACCTTTCCTACATAGTACATACACCTTATTTTTTTTATTTGTTTCAGTTGCCTATGTGGTTAGAAGGCATTTAGATATATCTCTCTGGCTATTATCTCTGTTTTATCAATAATGATCGTATTCTTAGAATTAATGTTTGTGGTCAGAAATTCTTAGAATGCTTGTTTGGTTTTGCAGACTCATAAAATCAAGAAGTTTGTTTTACACACAAACTATCCTGGTCATGCAGATTTCAATTCATACATAAAGTGCAATTTTGTTATCCTAGGTTCAACTATCAGCCCTTCTTTCGGCTTTTTATTATTACAGTTATTGGTGAGGATAATTGATCTTATGTTTTTGTTCCTGGCCTGCAGTTGGGGGATCCTTCCTGGATGTAAATAACAATAAAAACAGAATTACTCCAAGCACCAAATGGGAGCAGGTGAAGGTAACTTTTTGGAGTTGAATACATACCGATATTCTTCTTTTTGCTTCTCCACTAACCTTTCTTTTAACAGTTTATAGGCCTTCTTATCTAATTTATTTGGATAGAGGTGTTAATATATGCATTAAAACTTAAAAGTGATCTCATAAACGCTCAATTAGATTTTCATTTTCCCCCCTTTTATTTGTCATTAGCTTGCTGCCTTGAGTGGTCCTGTTTGAGTACTGTGTGATTAAATAATGGATGTAACAAAGAATTATATTCTTACTGCAGGAAATCCTTGGGGATTGTGGCCGAGCGGCTATTCAAACACAAGGTTCTACGAGCAATCCTTTTGGCTCTACTTTGGTGTATGGCTATCAGAATGCTGCATTTGAGGTGAAAGTTTGTTAAAATTTCTTGCTTCATTTACTTTTGTATTCGATGCAACACTTATTTTGGTAATTTTTAGTTTTAGGTATGATAAGTGAGAGGATTGCTAATGAAGATCTTTGCTATTAGCAGGTTATGAAGAATGGCTATATTGCAACGGTGACACTTTTCCAGTCTTGATTCCTCTGCTTCAATGCTGGCAGATTTGTACAGCCGTCGCAGCACCAGTATTGTTTGTACACAAATATCCGGGGGGTGGGGGGGTGGGGGGGAGGAGGCAATGATAACTGTACAGTAATGTATTGATTTGTATAGTTGATTTGTGCTGTAGAATGCATTGACCTTGTATCTTCTGTAATTTATTCTTCTTTGAAGAGGATGATACATTGTTTTTCACTTTCGCTTAAAATTGCGGTTGTATTAGCCATCTGGGGACCGAGTTGGTCTGAGTCTTACATTTGCATGAGCGTGCGTGAATATCTGAAACCACTCGCCTTTGGATTCAAAGATGTGAAAAAAAGGGCACCAGACACAGTGACCTTGTAGTTTTCAAACGAGAAGCCTGTTTACCAGGCCGAACATGCTCTCCCTCTTTTGGGCTGTCAGGGCTCCATAGCTATTGGTTGGTTGCGGCATGCAAGTGGTAGTCCCTATAGAGGGAAAGGCCATTTCCAAATATAAAATCCACAGAATCTTCAATGTAGATGTCCTTAAAGTAGTGTCTCGCAAGTGATCCTAAAGAGTGTTCTGCGCTCCAATAAACTGGCAGCCAATAAAGGCTGCTGTAACTGCTGAAATCAGTGCCATTACTTGCTTTCCTAAAGCTCCTGCTGGCGGTGATGCTGCTTTGTTCTGTCGTAAAGTATTCAAGTTCTATCAAACACAACCTATAACTTACCTAAAACTAGTCCTCTTCATTCGAGCAATAGACAAATCAACTTGTTTGGAAAAGAATCAAGAACGACATGAGCATGCTTGTTTTGCTGAAATCATAGGACGAAACTACTACTTCGAATTAGAAGTTGTTGAGATTGTAATCCAAAGATTCTGGCTGACCTTGAAGGTGATGTTCTTTGCAATAAAGTAAGGAGAACTAATGGCGAATTACAGAATGCAGAACCATAGGTGCCCAGTGGCGCAACGGCCAAATGAAAGTTGTATGTCTCAAAACTATTAATATATATGTTTGTCAAAAGAATGTAATAGTCCGTTGTAGTCTAGCTGGTTAGGATATTCGGCTCTCACCCGAAAGACCCGGGTTCAAGTCCCGGCAACGGAAATGCTCTTGTTTTTAGTCCTATATTGTAGGAAAAGCTTGATGGCAGTGATGGCACAAAAGACGATGTCTGTCTGATCCAAAAATGGCACGCTGTTCAAGCACATCTGAGTTGTATGTTGCAAAGGTGGATTTTTCTAGTTGTTGGGACATGCTTGTTTCATTACAAAAAAAGGATTTGTAGAAAATTCATATGATCTGAAATATTTGCTGGAATTGGAGAAAAAATTTGAAAACTGAAAGAGCTTTACCATTGCCAAGCTACTAATCAGGCAATGTACTAGTGATGGGAAGGTGGCATGGTGAGAAACATATGGTAAGAAATACATTAGTCTGGTAAGAAACATATGGTAAGAAACTAGTCCTAATGGATCTTTGCTGCCAATATAGCAGAAGAGTTTTTTTATTTCATTTGATCATTTGCGACACAAGAAGATGCAAAGTTTCTACTTGCTACTGTGCAAGGATAATTGGAAATAGGCACCAGGAAAATCAAATGAATTAGTTGATATTCAGTTCTAGAACTGCACTCTATGGCACCATTATCACAGACAGCAATAGGCAAGGAAGGTGCAGAAAATTCAAAACTTAAACACATGACAATGGCTGAGAAAAAGCTAGCCTATTGCTTTGTATCAGTTCAACTCCAACATTCTGCTTAGACAGCTTTGCATCAGTTCAAAACCTGAAATTTGTCTTCTATTATTATCTGTGTTTTTTTCTGCTCATTTTCCCTCCCAATCAGGACAATACTAGCTTCCAATCTTAGTTAATTGTTTGCATTAGCATATAATCAAGAAATGGGAGAGAAAAAATGGAAAATTCCGTTGCCGGGATTTGAACCCGGGTCTTTCGGGTGAGAGCCGAATATCCTAACCAACTAGACTACAACGGATTGTTAGCGTCCTGGAAAGCAAACAACTCTCTGTCAGTTTTTGAGCTTGCCAAGCAGCTTTTACTATCTTTCTCCAAGCTCCCCACGCTCCGCTTCCCTATCCGTAGCAACTGTTCAGCTCGACCCAACTTTGTATTTTCCTTCATCTCCTGAAAGGTATGTCTTTTCTCAACATTATTGTTCACTAAAACTTTCATGTTTGATTTCGGGATCTAAAAATGCTCACTGGAGAACACTAATAATCTGGAAACTGTAGGTTGAATTATTCTTGCATTTATTTGGCCTTGAATTTCTCTATTTATGTGGCAAAGTCTGTTGCTTTATAGCCTTGGTTAATTGGTGAAGATAAAGTTTCAGCCTTTATTGAGATTTTAGCTAAAGTACTGTTGAGTTGATAATGGGTTGTCTTTTTTATTGGTTTTGATTGCATATTCTACTCTGTTGATTGGGTTATAAGAAAAGGAAATGAAATGTTATTTTTACATGTTTTCAAGGAGGGTGAACGAATGAATTCATTTTAGATTCAAGGTAATGGACTTTACTGTTTAATTTGACAGAATGTAGCTAATAGGAAAAACCGATAGGTAGTTTTTCCATTCTTGAATTCACCAACATAAGTTGATTATGAATATTGAGGAATTTGATAACATGATTGTGCTTTTAAATTTCTCAGCTATATACATTGTGGAATATAAAATAATGAAAACTGAGATGTTTTTGATGCACCATTTTTGCTCTTCATGAAGGTTTCTCCTGGAGAGTTTGTTTAATGTAAAATAGGCATGGTAATTTTTATTTTATTCTTTATTCAATTCAAGTTGCCATCTCATGTGACTAATTTAACACTGTCAGTTGCAGCTGTTAATCATTGACCTTTCATAGTATTTTCCTTGGCAATAGCTGATTAAGGTATTATAAAAATGAGTGTCTCTGGACTGACCAGCAGTCCCTCAAGATGTTGCCTTTGGCTACCTAATCGCAATCAAGGATTAGTATGCAGGCAAGTTACAGCTATTCCAAGTGATGGCAAACCTGATGAAAATTTTGGCTTACTCCATTTTGAAAGGTAGTGTTCCAATAACATGAAATGGTAAGCTTTGAGTTTGGTTGTATGATTTCATGGTTTTTTTCCTGTTGCGGTGAAGAAGTAGTTGGACCTCTTCTATTCGAAAGTGGAAGACACAGAAAACTCACTTGATCAAGTGTGCAATGGATGTTTCCTATGGTGATATGGCAAGTGAATCAGCTGGTAATATTCATTGCTTGAGACTAATGGATTTTTTTTTTCTTTCTGGATTATCATTGTTGGTTACCTCTGAATAAGTGTACTTGCTATGCTAGGGATCTTTGTCTGGAAGTAAAAGAAATTTGAAAAACCTTCTGACCTGACTAATTTCTGCACTGAAGAGATGTTGCACATGATGTAAATTGTAAACTAATGACTGTATTTTATTGATTTATGTTTAGTTGTTTGTTTGGATTGATGATTGAAGGAAAGTCATCGCAGTAAGCATATACCATTTAATAAGTTAGTGATTGCTGATTTTAAATTCAAGGTTGAATTTTTTATGATTTTGAAATATTGTAAACTCAACTTTAGCATAGCTTTTGTTCATTGAGCATGGACCTAGATTTACCCTAATATTGTTGGCTTCTTAATGAGCTTGGAATATACCTGTTACTTGCATTTGCTGGGAGCCTACAAATTGCCATTTGCTTGTGGAGAACTTGTTTCACTGAATTTTGCCTTTGTGATTGATTGCTGCTGACCCCATTTTTTTAGAGTTTGTTATGTGTTGCTAAATAGCATTTACCCCATTGAATTTTCTCTTTGACTGCCTTGTCAGGATCGGATATCTTTCCTAGAATTAATATCAGGGACCCATATAAACGACTAGGAATAAGCAGGGAGGCTTCCGAGGACGAAATTCAAGCTGCATGGAACTTCCTTATTAGTAAATATGGGGGGCACAAAACAAGTGTGGACGCTATTGAAGCAGCACATGACAAAATAATTATGCAGAAGTTCTATGAAAGGAAGAACCCAAAAATTGACATCAAGAAAAAGGTCAGGGAAGTCAAACAATCCCGAGTTGTACAGGCTGTCACAAGCAGGTTCCATAATCCGGCCAGTAAGTTCATTGTGAGAACATCCATAGCATTTATAGTGCTTGGAGTTCTCACTGTTCTCTTTCTAACTGAAGAAGGCCCAACCCTTCAAGTAGCCATATCACTGATAGCTACCTTCTATTTCATACATGGTCGGTTGAAGAGCAAAATCCAAGCTCTACTTTATGGGTATGTGATGGTGTTACCTTAAAATGTGATATGATGTCCTTGATTTTTTTGAGAAGAATATCACTGCTTTATACTTGTCATCATATAGAACTGCTTTATACTTGACAAAAAGAAAATGTTCCTAGCCAAATCCTTCCAACTTTGATGAATAGTTAGTGAACTTCTTCATTGCATGCCTAGTTAGTGAACTTCTTCATTGCATGTCTTCTTCCCTCTTCTGAATGCGTTCGTGAAACTTCTTTGCTATTGAACCCTGAATTGTTGCAAAATTAACAGGTTTTAATGATCAATTTGTTTCTGCAATGCAGGGCTGGAGCTTTTATATTCTACTGGCTGGTGGGAACCTTCTTGATGGTATCTGTGATTCCACCTATTCCTATTCTTAAGGGTCTGAGGAGTTTTGAAGTGCTGACATCATTGATAACCTATGTGCTACTCTGGCTTTCGTCTACTTATCTTAAGTAGTGCCAAACCACCAGGTGTCTCTTATTATAGAACCCCAATTTTGATGTAGTGGATAACGCAAGATTTTCTTGGTAGTGGTTCATTGATCATATTATGTTAGCTTATGAGAGTTGTGTCATATTTCTACTTTTGGCATTAATACTAGTTGTTCTGCTTAACATATTGGTCAAAAGCATAGTTTGGAAAGAAAGATTGTGGATGAATTTGTTTGTTGTCTGGTAAAAGATGTAAAACTAGATCAAAGAAAGATAGGTTGTTGATTTTGTGAATTGTGGTTTCTTACATAAATTTTCTTCCTTTTTGTTCTTTTCTCCTATTTTTTTCCAAGATTCTGAATCAGTATGGAATCACTCTCTCTTGTCTTCTCTTGTGAACATGCACAAAGACAATATGTTTGTGGGGTTGGATTGGTAGGACAATGAGAACTTTTATAGACTTAATTTGAATCACCTGAGCCTAAGAAGCCCCCGAGATTGAGCGGTTGAAAATAGCCTTGTCTTTGCTCTTCAATCTCTTGAGGATTTTTAGGTACAGAATGCCTGAATCTGTCCACAATAGTTCCTATATGTCCTACTAAGGAGATTTTCACTTCTCCACAATCTGTGGTGTCTGTATATAAGTATATTTGTCTATTTAGTTTTATTTTCCTTAGCAGACAGTTGCCAGATCTTTTGACTATGGGGCCATCGATATTACAAGTAAGAGAATCATCGGGTCATAAGCTCACTTCTGTAGCTTGAGGTGACCAGTGAGGCAAACACTGATTTTTTTACCTCTTTCCCTTTCAATTGCTATAGAATTGACGGAGAACGGTCCTTGTTAGAATATTTGCACCTTGTCCTTAAGGTGCAGAATTAGTGATCAATGGCTGATGCCTTGGGTTTAACAGCAGGCTACCCCTTGCTTCCAAATATGCAGACACAGGACTGCCTCTTTTGCTGCATCTGAAATACATACTATGAGCAGAAAAGTTAATTTGTTGGTTCATTGCCTCAAGTTAAAGGAAAAACTTGTAAATTATTGCCAACCATTTTATAAGCAAATAGCTGTCTGCATCTTGCCTTTCGGGTGATTTCTCCAAACTAGCAAGGCCAAAAGAAAGAAAAGCACAAAACAGGATCAATCAGCTCAGGGTAACACTGACTCCAATTTTTTCTGGTTTTACAAACAAGATTTCCTTAAGTTATATACTTAAGCTCCCAACCTCATAACAGCCACACCTCTGCCATTCCGACTTGCCAAGTTAGCATCCCTCATGTCAGTTGATGATTGGCCTTTGATATTACAGCCTCAAATAAGATACCTCTTGGCAAGGATTAGGAACTATAACTTAGAGACTTAGATTCAAAAGTTATGTGTTAAAAAAGCGTGAGGGGAGAGATAAGAGAACATCCTGAAAACGCAAAATGGCATTCGCATCTCTCCTCAAAACTTCACCTGTTGTAGACGAGTGGATTAAGGGTCAGACCTAGGGATGGCATCGGGTCGGGTTCGGGGCAGGTTTTGCTCGCCCCGACCCCGACCCGACAATATGTAAACAGCACCCGACCCGACCCGACCCGAAATTAATAAAATATTATTTTTTAAATATAAATATTTAAAAATATTATTATATAAATATATATAAATAAATAAATAATTAATTAATTAAAAAATAATTTTTTAATAAAATGTCGGGTCGGGCAGGGTCGGGTTTTAGGTATACCCGACCCCGACCCGACCCCAATCCGAAACCCGAAATTAAAAAAAACTCGATCTTATAGGGTCGGATCGGGCCAAAACCCGTCGGAGACGGGCTTGATTACCGTCTGACTCAGACCCTTCGCCAACCTACAGTTTCTGTAGTGAGGTGCCACCCCGTTACTCCCTCTGGACTAATCATGCGTGCAAGCTCTTATGCCGATGAGCTTGTTAAGACTGCATTAAGTGTCATAACTCATAATTAAAACCTCTTCGACAACTTCCTTAAGATATAGGCTAACACTAGAATGACCTAACGACAGAAGGAAACAATGGTCTGTTAAACAGAATAGCCAAATACTTTGTTTTTAGAGATCTAAATCTGCATGGGTTCTCTCAGTAAGTAATGGCTAGAATTGCAAGCTTTTGACAATGAGAAACTCAAACTTTTCGGAAGAAACAATGATTTTACTGATATGGAATTGTTGGATGCTTGTAGCAAACTATTGCTTCTCCAGGCCGTGAATTTCGGCCATGGATGAGTCCAATGCTACCTGTGGGAAACGTTTGGCCTCAATCGGGCTAGAGAATACTGACGTTAACCGCCAAGCCTACAGGACATTGCTTGTTTCAGCTCCTGGCCTTGGCCAGTACATCCTCTTTGAGGAAACCCTCTACCAATCCACAACCTATGGCAGGAAGATGGTTGACGTCCTTGTTAAGCAGAACATAGTCCCTGGTATCAAGGTCGACAAGGTAAGTCTCATGCCCCATTTGCGGGGTAAAATGTCTACTCTGTAGTTATAATGCCAAGTAGCATCTGTAAGACTGTAACTAAGAGCTTGATGATATGAAGACTGCAGGGCCTTGTTCCACTGGCTGCCTCAAACAACGAGTCATGATGCCAAGGTCTTGATGGCCTCGCCCACGTTCTGCTGCATAGTACCAACAGGGAGCTCGTTTTGCAAAATGGTAAAATTTTTTATCCATTTGGCACCCATATCTGAATATATTTTCAGTTTTCCATTAGCATTTCCATTGTGTTATCAATACAGCCAAGTGATATAAGGATTATAAACATTCTTCCTGATGAGAAACTGCTTTTCGTTCGCTTTATGCTATCATTAAAGACATACTTTCAATTGTTATTTATAGGCGTACTGTGGTAAGCATTCCCAATGGACCATCTGAACCTGCTGTGTAGGAAGCAGCCTGGGGACTTGCATGCTATGCTTCCATCTCTCAGGTAAGATGAAGCGATATTTTATTACAGTACTGTCTTGATTACATTTGTTGGCATTAGATAATCTTTTGATGTTTGGTCATGCAGGACAATGGGTTGGTTCCAATTGTTGAGTCAGAGATGTTGCTTGATGGTGACCATTGAATTGACAGGACTTTCGAAGTAGGCAAAAAGGCGAGGGCTGAGGTTTTCTTCTACCTTCGCCGGAACAATGTGACGTTTGAAGGTATCCTCCTCAAGCCAAGCATGGCCACTCCAGGTGCAGAGTGCAAGTATCACGGTTCTGAGACATATGCTTTGACTTGCACGATTTCAGAATTCGAATATTCACTCATCCGATATTTTAGATTAATCTTTACCTGTCGCGATTCACATCTTTATGAGATATTATCCACTCTGATCTCCTTGACTTTACGATTTTATCCTACAAAAAATATCTCACAAGGAAAAAGTGGTGTGAACTTTGTTATATCTTAGTGAACCTCTTTTTATGTCCAATGTGAGATTTAAGACTCCTTCTTAAATCTGTGACATGTTTGATATGAGATTTAACACTTCTTCTTAGATCCGTGACATTTTTTCTCACCCAATCAAACTCCTTTTTAGGTCTGTAACATGTTCGATGTGAGATTCAGGATTCCTCATTAGGGCCGTGTTCGATTTAGGATTTAGGACTCCTCCTTAGATCCGTAACATTCTCGCTCACCCAAGATTCAGAACTCATTCTTAGGTTTTAGGTCCGTGACATTTTCTCTCACCTAATCGAACTCCTCAGGTCCATGATATTCTTCCTAACCCAACCTTGCCCTCGTCACGAACACTAGCTGGCCACCCTACCTACTTCCCTCGAAGAGCTTAACGTGAGTCGAACAGTTTAAGGCTGGCTCTAATACCACTTGTCACATGTCGAGACTTAAGCTCCAACCTTGATTGGCCGTGTTCCATGTGAGATTTAGGACCCCTCCTTAGGTCCGTGACATTCTCTCTCACTCAATCGGACTCCTTTTTAGGTCCGTGACATGTGCGATGTGGGATTCAAGACTTCTCCTTAGGTCCATGACATTCTCCTTCACCCAACCTAGCCCTCGTCACGAAAACTGACTGGCCACCCTACTTATTTCCCTCAAAAGGCTTGGCGTGGGTCGAACAATTTAGGATTGGCTCTAATATCACTTGTCATATGTCGAGACTTAAGCTCCGACCTTGGTTGATCAACCTGCCTACCTCCCTCGAAGGGCTTGGCGTGGGTTGAATAGTTTAAGGCTGGCTCTGATACCACTTGTCATATGTCGAGACTTAAGCTCCGACCCGCGCGGCTCTAAGACCCGAACATCCACTTATCAGGTGTCCCAAATCAACCTACTTGTTACAGTTCACACCCTTGTGAGGTATTGTTCGCTCTTATCCCTTGAGACTTAAGGTTTTGTCCTACAAAAACGTTTCACAAGAAAAAAATTGTGTGAACCCTTTTATACTTCAGTGACTCTACTTTTATATCTGATATGAGATTCAAGACTCCTCCTTAAATTCGTAATACAAGAACAAAGCCACTCCTCGACAAGTTGCTGACTACACCCTTAAGCTCCTCCGCCAAAGAATCCCTCCAGCTGTCCCTGGAATCATAGTAATTGGCTATTAAATGTAAGCTTTTACACATGCCTAGAGGAAACTTCGCAGCTAGTGGTTGATTGGTTGTGTTTTGGCAGCTTTTGTCTGGCGGGCAGTCTGAAATTGAGGCAAACTTGAACTTGAATGCAATGAACCAAGTTCCTAACCCTTGGCATGTGTCATTCTCATACGCAAGAGCCCTTCAAAATACTTGCCTTAAGAAGTGGGGAGGCAGACCTGAGAACGTGAAGGAGGCTCTGGACGCTCTGCTTGTCCGGGCAAAGGCCAACTCTCTTGCTCAACTTGGCAAATACACAGGCGAGAGAGAAGCAGAGAAGGCCAAGCAAGGAATGTTTGTCAAGGGTTATGTTTTCTAGGTTGTTTGAATCAAATTCATAGAAGAAAACAACAATGATGGTAAGCCTATAAATTATGTAGAAGTAATGAAGATCTTTGCTGTTATCCTCGTAGGCAACAGTCATGCATCTTCGACAGCTTTATAGACATCAAGCAGTGAAAATTTAATTGAAAGAGCAGATTACTAATCTTTCTGTCATTGCTACTCTTTTCTTTTCCCCTTGAATTTAATTGAAAATGTAATTGAGATCTCAAAACTATAACGACTAGAGAGCAGTCAAAACAAATTAGTTTAGAATTTATTATGAAATGGTGAGAATTTCATCACATCACTTAAAAGATCTATAAATTCAATTTGCTCCATGTAAATATTGAGCTTTTCTTTTCTTAAAACGGATGTTATCCATCCACCAAGAAATTTGATTTTCCTTTACCTGAGAGCCCGTTTCATGTTAGTATTAACTTGATTAAGAGAAACTCTGGGTATAAGCATATAGCATTGCTCTTCAAGCATTAATCTCAAGCATTATCAAATCTCCCAAGTTCATAATAAGTCACACAAAAAAATGCCGTTTTTACAATGCCATTTCAACAGCACAAATCAAACATAACAAAATAATGACAGATTACAGATCAATCCTTTGCAGTATGAGCTACAGGGCTTGTCTAAAAACCACTCTAACAACTATGCTAGTTTAGGGAGAAGAGAAGGTGATGATAAGTTGACCAGCTAAGGAGTGGTTAACATAAGTGAAGTGAGGTACTCCAGGCAACTGGCTTCCAAATAAAATTTAACCGACTGGGACCCAGGTCTCCTAATCATCATCACATCTGCTTAGAACAGTGAATTATTGTTCCTTTCAGACATAAAAACAGGCATCAGGGGTCAATTTTGCAAGCTTAACAAAACAATTTGATGTATAGACTATATAGTTTTATTCCAGAATATGCTTGTGCACTGTTGGTGGACCTACCTCATGAGACAGAAGTGCAATGATTGTATCAAGTTCAAAACAAGGCTGTCCATCTCACATGATGAACGTCAGAAATGTACCATACCTCAATGTAATCTCACAGTTCAACTTGAAAATGAAGATGAAATGCTTGTTGACAATAAAAGTATCAATACTAAATCAAACAAATGCACTAGGATTAAAATCATTAAAAGAATTTCTAGAAAATTATATATATATATTAAACTACTTCGTTAATATGCTCCAGTTGTTCTTTAAGGTACGGATGACTATTTTCTCTTATCAAATTCCTATAATTCACTATTTGATTTCATGAACTTTAGAAATTATCTTCAACACCCCTTTATCAATTTTCCACATCTATCTTCTCAGTCTGATACTGCAATCCTCATATAGGTTTCTATCTTTAATACATCATGGCTGTTGCACATAAAATGAAATTATGAGGGCTTCCAAACAAGACATCTACTCAATCTCACTCCTTTATGGGTGATTACAGATATATAACATCAGTTGAAAGAACAAGAGAATGTGTTTTAAATGATATGAAAGAAATGGAGAAGCTTGATATAAAGCTATATTAATAGTAAACGTAGTTCTAACCTGATTGTTTGAGGCTTGTCCATGTATTCGATGAGGCTTCATATTCAAATCTATCATTTTACTATCCATTTTGAGATAGCCACCAGCATTAGCATCTGTCCCTTGAACAGGGGAGAGCTTGTGATTTTGTTGGCTCTCTCCTACTGTTGGTTTAGCTGGCTGATTTTGGCCTCTTCTGATCTCACTGGGATCCATCGGTTGTGAAGCTGGGCCCTCAATAATACCAGGTTTATTCCCCAGAAACTACATAAAAAACAAAGCAATGAAATTCCAAGGGCACATTTAAACTCCAGGAGGAATATATGAGCCAATTCTCTTCAAAGATAAGTGACAAACCTCAACTCTCTGCCTTAATAGAAGATATCTTCCATGAGTTCTTTTGCCTCCAACATGTACAATCATATCACATTGTAAACAAAGGGAACTTCCATCGATCTCACAGTAAAAGAAAGCTACATGCACATTCCAAGGGACTAACATAAGTTTAAGAAACTCCTATAGAACCTGAGAAAGCAACAGCTCTATAATGAATGGAAAAGTAAAAACAAAAAGACACCTGCATACCAGGTGCATTTTCACATATGTCACAGCGAGGAACATCACTGGGATTTGCCAGACCGACCCGGACATGCCGGCTAGCAAGCTTGTTGCACATATGGACCTGCCACAACGGTCAACGGTTCAAAGCAAAGCTTCAATTTTACAGGACAGTCCAGAACGATGAAAGAATTCTAATTCTAAGTCTAAACAAGTTTGAAGGAGCATCCTTTTGATAGCAATGCAAAAGAAGTTTTTGAGAATAAACAAAATCAAATACCAACCTATTTTTCAATCTCTACTAAATTCTACATGAAAAAAGACTCAAAGTATCCGTTTGATTAAGACTATTCATCAAATTTTGGAATTCCAGCTTAGAATTTATAGAAAGATCAGTATGAACAACTGCTTATCCAAGCAGTGGTACAGAAGAGACCACAACAAAAAATTCAATCCTGAAGAGGAAAAGAGGGGTCTTTATTGGGTTTAATAAAAAACCAAATATCACGTAGCTAGTAAATAAGCAATTGGACTAGCAAGCAACTATTGGAAAAATCCCGCCTCCTACAAAGAAGAACAATAGACCACAAAATCTCACATGGGGTCCAGTTAACAGCTAAAACACACCCACAAAGTGTATAATTTACATAAAGAAAAACAAGAATCAATTGAAGAAAGAAGGTAAGAAGAATGAATGAAAGAAAGAACCAACTACCAACCTTTTCATCACAGGCACGGCAAAGAGCAGCCTCATCGGCAGCACAGAAGACAATAGCAGCAGCACTTTCACAAGCGTCACAAAGGGTTCGCATAATTCTCTCTCACTTTCATCGTCTCCCAATCAGCCAGCAAAAACATCCATCTTCTTTTGACATAATATAATAATATGCCCCAGAAACAAAAGAACAACCCCAACTAAAAACCAAAAGAAAACATGTTGCTTTTATAATCAAATCAAACAATAAGCAGATGCAGCTGTTGTAACTTGTAAGTGTTGTTGGGGTTTGATCGGGTATAATGATGATGAGCGCAAGAACTAGGATTGGCGATAGGGTAGAAAAAAAAAGATGCTTCTCTTTTATAACATTAGAAGAGATTGTAGAGGGTGGGGAAAATGTGGGGGCTTTAATAAGCAGGCAACAGAGACATGACAAATGAATGAGAGAGAGAGGGCAGGGGGGGATATGGAGTGGAGATGTCTTTTGTTTTGTCAACTTTGGTTTGGTTCATTTGGTATTTGGTCACTTGATCGACGCAAGTTTTTCAAAGATAGTCTTGGCTTTTAGGAGTTGTGGAGTTGAGAGGCTTTCCTGCTTTAATCTCGACCACAAGTCATATATCTGCCATGGGACCCATGTCTTTTGTTTTTTTAATTTCCAGTTAACTTTGGTTTGGCTTTGCTTTGGTTTCTAACTTTCTTTTTGCTGCTTCTGGAAGCCTAGCCATCCACAAAGCATCTTCCCTCTCTCTAGTCTCTCCGAGTCATCGGTTTCTTTCATGCAGCACCTTGAAAAAACAACAATAAAAATCCAAAATAAAATGAAATAAAATAAAATAACCCCTTTGCTTCAGTCAGGAAGCAACCCTCAAAATGGACGAAGGCCAATGAATGGCAAGTTCAATCAATCTCTGCAATATCTGTAATATAATTTTTGTAGATTTTGAAAGGAAGTGAAGATGTTTACACGACACCTTAATATTTTTATTTCTTTATTTTTTATTAAATAAAATTTAAAAAAATTAATAAAAAATAAAACAACTTATTTTCGATAAATTTTGATTTGTTTCCATTTAATATAATTTTTTTTAATTCAGATTTGGTCGTGAATTTTTTTTTAAATTGAGGTCAAGTAAGTGGATTTAAAATATTTTATCTTATTACGAATATATATAAAAAATATTTTTATTATTTATTTAATTATATATATTATATTAATAAAATTAATTTTAATATTTAAATTTAATAAATTTATATGACATTCTCATTTTTTTTGTTTTAAATCTTTTTTAATTAATAAATTTTATAAAAAAACCAATAAAAATAAAAATAAAAAATATAAATTTATATTCGTTTTAATCCAATAAATATGTCCAAAAGGTGAGTTTTTTCAAAATCCAAGATCGGATTAAGTTTTTTTTGAAAAACTAGCTCAGGTCGAAAGTGGTTTTAAGATATTTTATTTTATCTCAAATATATATAAAATATATTTTATTTACTTTTAAATTTTATAAAATATATTTTATTAATAAAATTATTATTTAATATTTTATTTTAATAAAAATTATATTTATATATAATTAAAATATAATTTATATTAAAAATAATATTTTTATGAACATTATATTGAATTAAAATTATCGAATTAATTTTTGATCAATTTAGATTAAATATGAGTTATATATATATATATATATATATATGATTGGCTGAAATAAGATATTAATGAATAATAACTTGATGTTAGGTTGAATTGAAGTCAAATTAAATTATTAAATAATTGAATTGATGTTAGGTTGTATTTTATGAATTTTGCTTATTTGATTCAATGTGAACAAATTTTTTAATTAAAAATGGGTCGGGATATGACGGTTTTCTCTTATTGAAAATCAATGTCAAATTAAAGCAAATTTAAAGTACTTTACCCTGTCTTACCAAACATATATATATATATATTATTTATTTTATTTTATTTTTATATATTATATTAATAAATTTATAATTTAAAATATTTGTTTAATAAAATATTATATTTATATATATTTGAATGTAATTTATATTAAAAGAATGTTAAATTGTTGAATTAATTTTTAATTAAAATAAAATCAAATGTGGTTTATATATTTGTGCCGAATCAAGGTTACGTATAAACAATAATTATTCAATATCATATCGGATTTGAAACAAGTAAAAATCTTTTTTCTTTTTTTTTTTCTAGGGATTTTTTTTTTTTAGTTTTGGTTTTTTATTTTATTTTATTTTAATATTTTTAACTAGATAAAATTGAAAAAATAGATTTTATTTGATTTATTATATAAATTATGATAATTAAATGCATACCCTGTCCTCAAATTAATTAATAAATTTCATTAATCATTATTTTTATTAAAAAATAATAAATAAAATTATATTCACTAATGTATTAAATTTAATATTATTAATTATAAAAAAAATTTGGACTCGCGGTAAAGCACGGATATATTACCGGTACATATATCAATATTATAGAACTATTATTGAAGAGAGAAGATGGGCTCATGAAATCTTACGTTTTTTGTGGGGTGAGACAGTTTGCATGATAGATGGAAATGGGACAGAGTCATAAAGCCGTATGCTTTCTCCATGAAAGCCATTTATTTACAAGGTCATTGTCTTGTCAACCATTGATAAATCAACAGTGGGAAATAGTTATTGTTAGTACAATTGATGACTTCATCGAATCAAAATGAAAGTAGAACTATGCTTAAAATAGTAGAAGAAATTATTCTTTAATTGCACATTTCAGTTCCAACATATCTGTTTGACTTTTTGCCAAGGTTTCTATGATCCTGTGGTCTCCATTTTTTTTTTCCTCCTCTTCCTTTTGATCATGGTGTCCACATTTTCCCCTGCCACATATATGAAATCACAATTAAATTCAATTTCAAACCATTGAAATCAGATGAATGGTTGTGGTTGGTAATAAACAAAGCATTTCTGGCTCTTCCTTGTAAGCAACATTTTCTGAAAAAAAAAAAGCAAGCAGTACTTTTGACGTTTTAATCATTTAAAAATTTATTATGATATATAAAAAAAAAATTTTAATTTAAATTTTAAATATTTTTTGTGAGATAAATTATAAAAACTTCAAGTTAAAGTAGATAATTCTTTTAAATTAAATATAAATTTTTACGAATAATATCAAAAAAATTATTAATTAAACAAAAATTAAATATTACGTAAATCATATCCTTTAATAAGATAAAATCATAAAACTTTTAAGTTAAAACAAATAAAACCTTCCAAATTAGATACAATCCTCACAATACTGATTATAATGGAAATCTGAAGATGGAGTAGAGCTCTGCATAGTAACCCCAAGGCAAATCTTGCTATTTCATTGCCAACTATAGCTTAAAGGAAAAAGGGGCCTATGTTGGATAATTAACTAGATGGTAAAAATGAGTTGCAGGCATCTTCATGAAATGAAATATGCTTTATAACAAAAAAGCTGCTGCAAATTTGACATTTCACAAATACCAGTGGCAGCTGGCCTTGCCAGGCCAAGGCACAATATGCAACTCACTTAGTTTTTACAGATCATTGTTTTGTCGTTTTGATCTATCAGAGGCCATATTTCCAAATTATTGCAATCAGAAGCCTCACCTGGGTTCATAGGGTAGAGACATTACATAGGGATTACAGCTCAATCTCGCAAACTTATTAAATACTATAACCAATACAATTCCTTCATGAAACCAAGACACCAGACCATTATAAGACCTGTAAAACAATTGCAGCATACAATAGTGGAAAAGAAAGTCAAGTTGTTCACATTTTTTTTTGTGCAATTCAAAATGAAATGTTCATCATCTCCATGCTCAAGCTCTCCATCATAGCATTTTCCATGAATCCACATTTAGCTGGTGCAGCCTTGTTGAAACTGCTTAGCCTTGGCTTGAATGAGGTCGAAGAGAGGGGAAGGATTGGAATGTTCTCACAGTTGCAGAGCTCAATCATGTACCCATCTGGGTCATGGAAGAACACCTGATCAACTCTGTTCCCCTCATCTTCAACCACAGCTGTGACATACTTCAGTCCCATGTTTTGCAGCCTCCTCTTTACAAGGCCAACATCTGTACACTGTCATCACAAACCATTTCGACAAAAACTTGTTATAAACATCTTCATATCTGTGATATCAGTTCCTACTAGCTAGCTGCTACTGTAAATTAATGGTGCAGGCTGATTATACCTGGAAGGATATGTGATTATCCTTAGGATTAATTGGACGTGGTTCAACAATAGTGTCAAACTCATCAATTGATGGATTCTCAATTAAGTGTATCCCAATTCCATAATTATACAACCTGCATGAGATCAGGCAGATCAGCCATTTAATATCCTTTTTCGTTAACAACTAAATATCTTGAAGGCTAGAGCAGTAAGCTTACCAAGCTCCATTGAACTTGAAAGAAGAAGGGCGTTTGATGACAACAAAGCCCAAGACTTCTTCGTAGAACAGCACAGAATCCCAAACTGATCTACACAACAATGAGACATGATTCAATGAGAGAAGTGGCAATGCCTCATAGTTGTTTACTTCCTCGATCTCCATCATGTTTTCACTCTTACACTTTGACTCTTCCTTTCTCTTCTCTCTCACTTCTTTGCATTTTGCATGGCTAGGTTATTGCCCAGTGATCCTTTTATAAAGCAATATTTGGGAAACTCTCATTTCCTAAATTCAAATTCAAGTAATTATGAGGAACTTTCCTAGCAAATTCTCTCACTCCCATTCAGGCGCATAAACATTGGGGAAATTGTCTGATACCCTTTATTTTGAAGATAAAGGAAAAGTGCTTACCTTCAGGAAAAAAGGCCAATATGATCTGTTTTCTTGGGTTCTATGGCTTTGATTTAGACAGCAAGAGGTAATTAGACATTTACCAGAGGGTCCTTTACCACTGTTCCCAACTCAACATTCCATCAGTCCTGAATTTGCCGTGCTAGATAGTATATACTTCTTACCATTATAAGCCTAAAGCAAACCGATCAATGATCAATTGGAAACAATCGAGTTGGCTTGATTTTTTAAATGTTTCTTCATTTCAAATCAAATCTAATATGCTTTTTACTTTGAAGATATTTCACATTTCATAATTCACTTGAATATGTGGATTCTAATTAGCTAGCTACTGCTTTAGCACGCATTCTTTTGCACGGATCATTCATCTGCATAACCATTTATATGAAATTGACTAAGACTTTTCCTCCTATCAGGATAGGTAGAAATCAAGTTACAAGAAAAAACAAAGCTGTCTGGGTTAGCTTGTTGAAAATGCTGCTAAAATAAGTAGCTAAGATCAGAGACAAAATCTACTCAAAATGGTGATTTCGAGGGCTATGACCCAACAAAAATCAGGGAAGAGCAGAGCCCTTTTAGCCCTTCGAGTATCTTAAAAACAGAAAGTACAAAGTTCCAAAAAATGAGAAACTTCTTTGATATTTCCTTTTAAAGCACGATATTATCAAATTTCCTTCTCCGATGTTTCACTCCAAGAAAAAGGACAGAGAAACCTTGACACTTGACAAACCCTTCTATGAATCGTTTGAAGCATTTTTTCTACGCAATTGCCCATGCCTCGTGATCGCATCCAATGGTTGCTAATACAATTCCCTGTACAATTATATATACTAATTTCAGACAACCATCTCAGCAGTTTCAAACAAGGAAGGCCTATGTCCAAATTCAAAAATGAGTCCCTTTTTTTGGCCCTGAGCCTCTTCGAATCCTTTTTCTTTCTTGGTTTCGATTCTGGCTGGTGTTGACAATAACATTTGACATGTCTGAACTCTGATCAGTAAGAGTCACCGCCTCAGGCTTAACATTTTTTTCATTTCCACCAAGAATATTGATTATTTTAAGCCAGAAATACTAACATGACATTGGGTTTTCATTCTTAATTGATTTTGGTACAAATCTTGGATTTTCAATGCAACTATAGATTTGATACCGCATCATAAAACAGCTTGACAGGAAAGCTTATCCATATCCAAGCTGTCAAAACAGCCACAAATAGGCTGAGTGAGACGATGACGATGACGACGACGATTATAGAAGCCGTAAACTCTTGAGATTCCTGAACTCCATTCCATTCACAACAACATCAGCATCGATAGTTCTGTCTGGTACACGAATCAAGATTCAGGGAAGTAAAAATATCCAGAGGACAAAGCGCAAAATCGGTAGTTTATCCACGTAAGCAGATATTTGAAATTGGGCTGCGAGCCTGTCTCCACCCTTTAACTGTTTTAGGTTCTAGCAAAAGGTCCTGGACTATGTCCAAATAACAAGTCCAAAGCGAGGAAAGCATAATTATTGGGACACCTCAATCTCTCAATCTCACGATGAAATAATCTAAAATTATATATATATATGTATATATATATATTTAAATTTAACTAAAATTCTATTATGATATATACGTAGATCTAAATTTAAATTTATAATATATTTTTTGTGAGATAAAATCATGAAATCGTTGGGTCAAAACAAAAAATATTTTGTAGGTTAGATGTAAATATTCATAAATGATATCAGAGCGATGATCAATCAGACGAAAATTAAGTGTTATGCCGTAAGAGCTACTTTTAGAATCCGAATATCTGATGTGATCTTATGATCTATATTTGCTTATGCTTTATGTTGAACTTATCCAACATTTGATGTAATTCGATAAATTTATGTATTTTATGTTGAGTCTAAATCTCATATCAAAGATTATATAGATCTATTATAATATATAAATATAAATTTAAATTCAAATATGTTAAACGTATTTTATAAAATAAAATTATAAAATTTTCGAATCAAAATAAATAATACTTAACAGATTAAGTACAGATTTTCACAATTATAAACAATTAGCAAACAGATGCATTGCGATTTTGGACTCTGAGCGAGTGGTGTGAAGTTTTGAGTAATTTGGAGCAGCGTCACTTAATTAATATTGGTTTGATTTGCTTGTGCAAACAAATTAAACCAATCTGTCAAGTTGAAAATATTATGGCTACCTGTCCACTAATTCCATGCTTTTTAGCAACAGGTTTTTATTTTATTTTCCAAATACCTACTTAACCACTCTCATCTGCATGCCTGCTTCTTCCGCTTAAAGATACTTCACATCACCATTAAACTAAACATGCTGACTTATTTTAGTATTGCATGTATCTTAAATATGAAATATATCTTGTTCCTTTTTACATTTTAAAAATAATAATAATAATAATTTGAGAAGTAGGGATTCAAACCCATTGTGTTGAAAGAAATGTTGTTATTATTAGTTTATGTTTTACTTCACTTATGGTTCCTTTTTGTTAAACCTGATCAATAATGTCTTAAGTTTTGTCCAGATTTAATATTTTTTTTGAACGATTTTCGCTTAAATGTTCATTTGGTTACATCTACATTGTTTTATTTGGTATATAAGAAGAAGAAAACATTACTACTACAACTTTGAAAGAAGGGAGATTTGTATTTTAAAAAATTCCTATTTTGAAAAGAAACTTGTGATTATAAATGAAGTTATATTTAAACCACAGAAAAACTATAGAGTTATGGAGATGTTATGAAGTATGAAGTACTGTATCCATCGACAATGACTTGAGACTGGGTCCCAAATCTCACAAGGTATATATATGTACCATAAACCTTAACTGAAATGCCCTGTAAATTCAGGCTTCATTGCCGTCTTAGTAATGTTTAATCACTATCTTGTAAACAAATAGGACAGGCCAGGGGGCTCACTTGATATATATGCACCGAATTTCCCAAGGAAACCCACCTTTGTTGGAAAGCAAAACAGATTGATATGTACCAATCTTCGATGCCAATAAACCCCACTTTATTGAGTAGTTCTACATCTTCTATTTAATGTGTTATCCTTGTTTTTTGTTTTAAGCAAAACGTCCTAATTTAATCATATTAACAAAAGTAAAATGAATCGATCATTTAATTAATTACACAAAAGATAATAGTTTAATGTAATTCAGTCAAATCGATTTACGTTCACGGATTAAAAATAAGATTCACTAGTTATAAAAAATTCTAAACATACATCAAATCAATCTCACTTATCAATCAATACTCATAAGCCTTCTCAATCTTCTCTAATCTTATGGAGTATATTCAACCCTAACAAACACGTATCCTTTTATACATCTATGCACCATATTTATCTACTCACAAACATAATATTCATACACACCTATAAAACATAAATCTCTAGTAATCTTATAAGATATTTATCTCATAAAACTTTATAATTCTCTTAGATCTTTTTTTTATACTTAACCTTATAGAAATTTTATTTATTTATAAGCATACAAACTTACCTATTAAGAATCTATTTCTTCTTAAAATTTTTTTTCTGTACTTACCTATTAAGAATATCTGTCATCTAAGAATTTTTTTTCTACGAGTTTTTTTGTTTATCAAGTAATATCTAACTAATTTCAAATAAATTTTTTATGAGTTTTGAGTCACTAATCCTAACATTTTATACTTCTTTTTGTGTATTTTTCTTATATTTCTCTGCCAAAACAAAAGAAAACAAAAGGAAATACAACCAATAAAAAATTAAAAACAAATGAAAACATTGCTGAAACATGACCGAAAATTATAGACTGCATCCAGGGAAACAAGGGCATATGCTTAGCTATCCAATACTGTAGAGCTTGAAATTGAAGACCCTATTTTATATGTAATTCAGATATGCAAGTCTCGGACAAAAGTTCAAATCAGGTTATCAGTTAGGTTTTCCTGCATGGAATCTTTTCTGATCAAGAAATAATTATATAGGTAACCCAATTATTAAGAAAGTATTATTGTCAAATCTATATGGTTGTTGCAATGTCTTCATAGTAAAACATATCCACACACCTAATCACATATGGATGTGATTATGATAAAGTAGCAAAGAATTACCATCTTGCCAATGGGGTTATGAAGTTTGCATTGGATCTAAAAGGACTTTGGTCGGTTCATATTCATGTCTAAATTCCAATATAAATTATAGTACTAGTAATATTCTATAAGAAATAAGCTACTATTTGTTACCACTATATTTGACAAGAGCAGTTCCAAATTTATTATTGTCCTATCAAATTACAAAAGAACTACCTAAAACTTCAGAAAGGAACATCTGTGGTGCTTATTATTACATTTAAAAATTGTAATAAAAAGTTATTTTATTCTAGTAAATGCTAATAGAGATGAATTGAAAGATAAGGCATCTTTCTCTCCCTAAAATACTGATAAGAACATGACAAACCGACACTCTTGTTGTTTTTGGGTTTTGATTATCTTTTAATGTCAGGAACTTATTATTAAAATGAGCAAACCTTAGATATGGACACATCCATTGAACCATATTAATGGAGAATAAGATGTATTTTCTGCAGCAAATCTCCTTTATTTCATTGGTTCAAACCCTTTGCCTTATAGAACATTCTGGTCAGATGTTTTAAACTAATGTTCTTTTTTGTTTTCTTTTGTGGGTCCACTTGCATTTCAAGAAAGAAATGTATGAAAAAAAATGATTCATACACCTAATTCAATAATTTTGACCCATGTGATAGAAAAGCAAAAAGAAAAAAAAAACAGAAAAAAAAGTAATGAATGCTCTATTTTTGCCCCAAAAAACCATTTTCCACTTTCAAAGAAAAAAGGATTCACCAGAAGGGATTGTTTTGGGGGGAATCAAAATGGGAAGAGCACATGCATGCAATCTAATATTTAAGCCTCCATCGAAAATTTGAAGCAGGGAATATGTTAAGCAATTGCTTTTCTAATCACATGGGGTGCTGGAATTATTAATCTTGGGCTTTGGTCAAAAAGGGTTCCCATGCTCTCTGTCTTTAGCAGCTTTTGTTTGCATCAGTTTTGTTGGAAAGAAAATTCAAGGACAACTAATACAGTAGACCCCAAAGTCAGCAGGAAGAGGACACTGCAAAATTAACCACAGCACATCATTCCATTCTTACATAAAAAAAAGTGATTAATTGTATTTTTCTTCTTGTGTTTGGGATTTTAACTTTTTAAATTATAGTTGAATTTGACAAACATGAAATCATCATGAAAAGTTTGTCATAAGTTTGTCATAATTCTTAATGAAAAATGATGAAATGAGGATTGTTTCCTTGTTTCTTGACTCTAGACATGCAAAAACATTTTTTGTTCTAATTTTTGAGACAGATTATTCATGTATCCATGATTATAATCCAACATGTGTGAACTTCAAGATTTATAAGTACATTTTGCACGTAAATAGGAATGATAAAAAAAAAAAAAAAGACATTGAAAATGATCTCAAACCGGTAGAGATGACTAAGATGAGACATGGTATTTTGTATATTAAATGCCACGCATAACAACTTCTATGGAAGTGAGTCAAATATAGAAAAACAATCCCTGCCATGGTTTTAGAACCCATCAAGCTTCATGAATCATATATCTTATCACCTACCTAAAGGTGGAAATCTAGTTTAGATTCACCATTTTTTTTTTTTTTTTGGTTTAGAAAAGCTAGTTTTATCTGGAACTCTTGAGCAATGATTTAATGCCATAAGCCAATGGCTAACCAGGCTTGGTCGCCAAGCAAATTAGGTACAGCTTTTATGGCCAAAAGCGTAATCTCACTAATCAAAAGCAAATTAGGTTAATGAAAAGCATTTTCATTTTGTTTTAATTCAAAGGCTAATCATGTTTTCATTTTAGGAGCTGTTTCCAAATCAACTAAAAATCAAACAGAGAGTAGATGCCATAACCGCATCAATATCTCACTTAACTCATTGCGTTAAAAGACACACCTTTCCTCGCAAGAGAACTAAGATCACAAAGTTTCTTCTCTTTTACTCGCTGTTTAATTCAATGGGTTTTATTTTAAAATTTCTGTTATAGAATTTTACTCTTATGTGCATGCAAATGCAGCCTGGTAGGAGTCCCAGTGTGACGTTTGAAAGCTGAAGAAATTGAAGTTGGTTGGTGATGTAATGAATCTGGCAAATATGGCTCAAAAATAGGTTGGAATTTTTGCCGTAATTCTATGTGATCCATATTTGGAATTTGGATTAATTTATTATTGTATTTTGTTGTTTCTTACATGGCCAAATATAGATAAAACCGGGACAGGCAGAGAAGAAGAGAGAAAAAAAGTTGCTAAGATTAAACATTCCTTGAAAAAGACCATGCAATGTGAATTGAGATTCTCAATCCTAAGGTAAAAACTTCATATTTCTCAAACTATCTTTATTTTTAACTTCAATTTTGTTTTTTTAATCAGTCCAGGAAATATTATATATTTAAATGGTGTAATATGATAATCTGGCTTTGACAGTCTGTAACTAGGGACCATCTTAGAAAAGTCCAAATATTTGTATTAATTAAAGCTCAAATTAAGTAACCTGGCCGTATGTTTGTTGACTTCAAGAACTATTGCGGCTACTGGTAAAGGATAGAATTTGTGTTTACATTAGCATTTTTGAATAAAGAAAGGCAGATAAAGAAATGGGGAGGTTTGGGTTTCTGGGTTGAGACAAGTTACCGAACAAAATTTTGGGTGAATTTAGCACTAACCCATGATTAGTTTGTTGATTGCAGACAATGATTACAACTGCCTAAAAGTTGGATGGTCCTTGTGCTTTATAGGAGCCCAACAGAACCTTCATTGTCAAACTGTTTGAATGTTGATGCACTAGATAGAATAGAGAAGAATAAGCGGTAGGGAGTTGAAGTAAAGAGGCCAATATCATTGACGTTAGTCTCATTGCATTTAATTTCCTATTCATGGTATAATTTCCAGCATTTTTGGAGTGGGAAGCTGAGAGATGGGGGCAGATGGTAGTAGAGAGGAGCAAATGCAAGAGCCAGCAGGCTGTCAGGAGAGAATTTTTGTTTCAGTTCGTCTGCGCCCTCTCAATGAGAAGGAAATTGCTAGACATGATGTATCAGACTGGGAATGCATCAGTGATAACACAATCATATACCGGAACAGCCTTTCGGTTTCCGAGAGATCCATGTACCCATCAGCCTATACATTTGGTAAGGGTTTAGATTTCAGTTTATGTAGATTTTGATTGCTTTCCTCTGTCTATCCTAACGTTTGGGGGAATGAGTTTTGAAAAAAGTCTCAATTTCTGCAAATAGCTGATGAGGTCGCTTGCATTCGAAATAAAAAAACTACATTTTCTCTTTATTATGTTTAATATTTTACTGCAGAAGCCCTTGAGTGGCCCCTACCCCAAAATGAAAAATTAGGATGGAGAAAAAAGAAACATTGTCCTTTGAATTGCTTTCCATGGCAGAATTTTGGATTTCCTTTATGATATCCAATTTACCACCAACTACCAGTCTACCATGATAATTTTATAGCTACATTTAGGTTTCAGGCAATATTTTTTTTTCCACTGCTATGTCTAAAGCTTGCACAAAGTAATGTTGCTCAGCTTTCTTATAAATGAATAATGAGGTGAAAGGGGTGTTAGTTATTACCAAGGCCTTGATTCTTGTCAGGAAAATTTGTAGAGACAGTATTTGTTTTAGCATTTTATAATGCATGGAGTTGACATCAATACTTTCTCATAGTTTTCTGATTTGTTTTTCTTTTAAATTCTTGGGTCTGCTTGCTGATTTTAGACAGAGTTTTTAGCTCTGATTGCCCCAATGAGCAAGTGTATGAGGCAGGAGCAAAGGAAGTTGCTCTTTCAGTTGTCAGTGGTATAAACTGTGAGTGCATCTTTTTCCTTTATTTTTGGATACTCCTTGTAAAGCTCTTTTTGACTCCACAAACAACTTCTGATCACCTCTGTCAATCCCGAACATGAACTGTTTTTCAGCAAGTGTTTTTGCTTATGGACAAACAAGCAGCGGAAAGACATATACGATGATTGGAATTACTGAATATGCCATGGCAGATATATATGACTACATACAGAGGGTAACGAAGACACAATGGTTTTTTTGTCGCTCGCTTGTGCTTATGCTGTTGGTTGTATTTTCATTGTTGACAAAAAACAAACTGTACTTTTTTGTAGCACAAGGAAAGAGAGTTTATCCTGAAGTTCTCTGCTATGGAGATTTACAATGAATCTGTTAGGGACCTCCTTAGTGCAGACAGCACTCCCCTCAGGCTTCTAGATGATCCCGAAGTGAGTTACATCCTTTTTTTTTTATAAGGAACCACTAATCTTATGGACTATCTGACTGTCTCACTAACGGGCAGCTATTTTGATAGAGAGGGACAGTTGTTGAGAAACTCACAGAAGAAACTTTGCGGGGCTGGACTCATTTTAAGGAGCTTTTATCTGTGTGTGAAGGTAAGAGTTATCTCAATCAGTCTTTCTTTCACTAGCCCATGACTGCATATTTAAGCATGACTTGGTGCCCATTGGCAGCTCAAAGACAAATAGGAGAGACTTCTCTGAATGAGACAAGCTCTAGATCCCATCAAATTTTGAGGCTGGTATGCTTTGTGTTTCATTACAAAACTTTTAGATATTGTTCACTTGAAAATGATATGATGTTTATTCTTACTTTATTTATTTTTTAAAATTATGTGCCTATGTGCCACACTTCAGACAATAGAAAGTTCTGCACGTGAATTTTTATGCAATGACAATTCTAGCTCCCTTGCAGCCACTGTGGTATGAAACAGTATATTTCTTTTCAGTCAAAGATTTGATTGGTCAACAGGTATTGGAAAGCAACTGACATTTTCATTCTGTTTTGTCTAGAATTTTGTTGATCTTGCAGGAAGTGAGCGTGCATCTCAGACATTATCAGCTGGTGCAAGGTTGAAAGAAGGTTGCCATATAAATCGCAGTTTATTAACACTTGGAACTGTTATCCGTAAGCTGAGGTTAGCTTTTTATAAGAATTTTATTTTAATGTTTGTAACACTTTGAGAATCCTTTTTAGGGAAAAGCAGTAAATTTCATTGATTTACTGTCCTTCAGTTTGATTGGACATGATCAAGCATATCAGAGACTGATCAATTTCCCTGGTATTGAGCCAAATATAGCATCGAGTATCATAAAACTTACAAAATAGTTATCATGTGCTTTCTTTTCTCTTTCCCTCTGCATGCATGTGCCTGTTGTTTGTGAACTGATTCTGATTCACCTTTCCTCAGTGTTACCTTCCTCTAATGTTTATATTACATAATGAACTTCAAGCACAAAACAAGTAATAATTACCATATCTTCTTATATATTTGTATTTGGCTGCAGCAAGGGAAGAAATGGACACATTCCTTTCAGAGATTCAAAGCTGACTCGTATACTTCAGTCTTCCCTAGGAGGCAATTCTAGAACTGCTATCATTTGTACGATGAGTCCAGCACGAAGCCATGTTGAACAATCAAGAAACACCCTCTTGTTTGCAAGTTGTGCTAAAGAAGTGACTACCAACGCACAAGTCAATGTGGTCGTGTCTGATAAAGCATTAGTGAGGCAGTTGCAAAGAGAATTGGCTAGATTAGAGAACGAATTGAGAAGCGCAGGAACAACTTCTATTTCCTCCGATTCTGCTGCGTTGCTGAGAGAGAAAGACCTTGAGATTGGAAAGGTGATGAAATATGGCTAGTGAATAAATGCTTCTGACTCAATAACTACCCTGTGCTTGCAATATCATATTTTAAAAAAAAAAAAGAAAAGGGAATACACGATAATGATATCCAAATGAGGTCTATATACCAGCTTGATAACAGTATCTAGTGCTTCTATATACTGCCATAGACAATCATATTTCTTTCTGCCATTAACTACATTTAGAGTTTCGTTATGCTGGCAGAATGAATATTATATTTATTATATTTCGACATTTAAATCTTCAAGCTTCATGCAAAAGTTTTTCAGATTATCATTGTGAAAATACATGTCATAACAGCCTTATTTACGTAGTTATTTCTTTGTTGTGCTACCTGGCTGCCCATGGTGCATCCAAGTTCAACCTTAATTATAAAGCCTGATTTTATTGTGCATTACCCTCTCAATAATATCAAACATTTTCTGCCATTAGTCTGCAATAAAATACCTATCTGGGCATTATTGCTTCCAGCCTTCCATGCATCATATTATCTAGAATATCATTTAGCTCTAGGCTGTCTTTAATAATTAGATTTATCTGATTGAATTGCTATGTAATGTCTCAAAGATTTTCGATAGTTCTTAACATCCCTGCAATTGGTGTTAAATAATTATGAGATCATTGAAGTGCAAATTTAGGCCTCTCACTCTTGCATCACCAATTGAATCATTTTAAAAGCCTGGCTGGTGGATATTTCCAACAAAAATAGTTGTTAACCACCAATCTTTTGAATTGATCCTTTCAAAAATTTAGATGAATATGTTGTCAAATCTTTGGCTTAATCAATGAATTTTAATTTTACTTTTCCTACATGCTTAATGTAGCTGAAGAACGAGGTAACCATACTGACTCAGCAAAGAGACCTTGCTCGGTCTGAGGTTAAGGATCTGCAACAAGTGGTTAACAACAAATATCCTGGATATGAAAGACCGGCGAAAATATGGGTATGTGTAGATTATTAAAGCATTTGATGCCTCTCTTACGTTCACTTCACCTTCCAAAGTTTAATCCCTACCTGTCCTCCTTCACAGGCAAGTCCAGACCCTCAGTACCCTAAACTGCGTGTGCGAAATTCATGGGACTTCGAGAATTCAATCACTGAAACTCCTGTTTTAGCTGTTGGTGGTAGATCTTGCACCCCTTCAGTTAGAAAAAGCTGCAGTTCTGAAGAGAGCTTCCTCCAGCTTCCCGACTTCAAACTGAATATACCGCATCCCAGTTCCTCCCCACAGCCTTCACCTAAAATTCCTAATTTTGTTGGAAGTAATCTATGCCAGGAGGAGAATGGTGAACATGATGAAAATTCAGAGACAATTTGCAAGGTAGTTCGTTGCATAGACTCGGGAAGGTCAAGTGTGAATAGATATTCAGGCTCAAACTTGTCAGAGTCTAACCCAAATATTTATCAAAATTATAAAATGTCATCTCCTAGGGAAAACGCAGCTATTTTAGGACTGATGGATGATGGTAATGAAGATAGACCAAAGGGAGAATCCAGGTCACTTTATTTGAAAAACAATAGCAACCATCCTGATATTGCTATTCCATCTCCTGAAAAGCAATATTTATGGCGGCTGAAAGAAGAAATCTCTAGCTGTAGAAGCTTGAAATTAACTAGGAGTAGAAGTTGTAAAGCAACTTTTATGACTGGTTTGGCCTCCCAGTGGATTGAGAGGGTAGAAAAGGATGAGAGCACACCTCCCATAGGGAATGAGAAAGATTTCCCTGGAAGACCAGACAGTTTCCATAGAAAACTTTCTGCATTGAAGTATGATCTTCACAATGAGGGGCTGTCTAGAAATGGCTCCCGAAGTTCTTCAACAAGTGCTACTCTTTATGACCTTAAAGCTCAGATATCAAGAAATGAATCTCAAAGTTCTTTGACAAGTGCTGCTGGTATTGAGCTTAAGGCACAGAATGTCCCAATTCCAGAGGATCCGAATAATACTGGTTTCTGTACTTCAATTGGAGGAACACAACTTGCTGATCATGCGGTGAGTTTTTTATTTCTTTAATGAACCCCTGTTAATTACATGATCACAACAGGACATCCATGCTAAATATTAGCCCTTATTTTTATACTTATGCATTAATAATTGAGGGTACTTAGTAGAAAATTCGTTTAAATATGATTCACGCATTACAGGTGCAGGTGACGGAGCCCATTTTACATGGAAAGACAGTTAAAGACGTCGGCTTGGATCCAATACCAGATGGTTATGGAAGTCCTTCAGCATGGCCTTTAGAATTCAAGAGGCTTCAAAGAGAGATCATTGAACTTTGGCATGCTTGCAATGTGTCAATGGTCCACAGGACCTACTTCTTTCTGCTATTTAAGGGAGATCCAAAAGATTATATATACATGGAGGTGGAACATAGGAGGCTGTCCTTCCTTAAGAATGTATTTTCCCATGGTAATCAAACTGTAGAAAATGGACGAGTCCTTACCCCTGCTTCAAGGTATATATGCTTATTGAATGCAAGTACAAAATCTTAGTAGCTTTTGGTACATTGGTGATTAATTCAAAACAACCTATTTATCTCTAAGAATATGTCGTAAACAGCATGAAGGTTTTACGTCGTGAAAGGCACATGCTGAGTCAGCGGATGGGCAAGAGACTTTCCAAAGTAGAAAGAGAGAACCTCTTCCTTAAATGGGGCATCGGTTTGAACACCAAACACAGGAGGTTGCAGTTGGCTCACCGCTTGTGGATTGACAGTGAAGACATGGACCACATTGCTGAGAGTGCTGTCATTGTTGCAACGCTGGTTGGCTTTGTGGACCCAGAGAAAGCTTTTAAGGAAATGTTTGGGCTCAACTTTACACCAGGACAACGCACACACAAGAGACGATATAGTTTGAAACGCAGTTTAATGTCTATATTATAGGTATTATATATTATTATGATAGTTTATCATACAAAAACTGCTCCTGTTTAATTGATTCCCCCCACAGTTTAGTTTCTTGTTCACATATACATCTTTTATTGTTTACAGACTTTGATTTTGGATTTTCTGATTCTGATTTTAGTATAATGCAAAGAGTTTGTAAATCAAATCAGGCAATAACTGAGCGTTGTGGATGGTGATAAGCATGTTGGGAATATAGGAGAAGGATGACGAAGGACTTGTTTGATTATTTTCAAAATGGAAAGTTAAACATGATTAGCATTTATTTGATTCATTCTAAAAGTTTTAAGATGTGGATTTCACAAAATTTGTAGTTTGCTTTGTCTTCCCATGCCGTACCCGTTTTTAGTTTGATAGTGTAACGCCGTAATCTCAATGATATATTATAATATATATATATAGAGATTTAAATTAAAATTTGTAATATATTTTTTATATGATAAAAACGTGAGATTTTTTTATCAAAGTAAACAATAATTATTAGGTTGGGTGTAAATTTTTACAAATAATATTAAAACGGTCATCGATCAGATGAGAGCTAAGTGTTACACGGTGAGAGCCACTTTTAGTATCCTAATATCTAGTGTGATTTTGTGATGTGTCTGTTTTATATTGAGTTTAATCAGAAATGATATTAGAACAATCATCAATTAAACGAGAGTTAAATGTTACATGATGAAAGTCATTTTTTAAATTTTAACGTCTAATGTGATTTTGTGATTTATATTGAGCTTGACGAAAACGTTAAATTTTAATGAAAAAATTTGTAATGTCACATTCTCATATTGAAATATTCTACATATAATATATATAAAAATGTTTAAATAAAAATTTATAAAATATTTTTTGTAAGCTAAAATCGTATGAAATTAAAATTATTAATACTTCTAAAAACTCCGCGAATAGAAATTTTCTTTATCCATATCAAAACATTCAATTGAGGATGGCAAAGGAATTGATTGCTCAATCCATCTGTAATGCATCCGCTCGAAGAAATTTAATAGATGGGCAGGCGCAAGTTCATCATGGGCCTGATGAGTAAGTTGTTAATTTTGAAGATCCCAGGCCTTTGTGTTGGTACAAAGTGCAAAGGACTGAGACGGTATAATAGGCAATAACTCTGATTATGGGCTGGAATCTTCAGTCTCATTAAGTGTGTCTGCTGATCAACCACTACACATTTATTGGGTTAGGCTTTAATAAGCATTTAGTAGAGTTGGCTACATTCTTCGATAGAGGGAAATTTCTTTCATAGGCGAGTTAATCATGGGAAGAAAAACGAGCCATTTATTTTGGCAGATGGTGGAAAAACAAACAGCATTTTTTTTCTGGTGCACCTGTCACCTGTGATTGCACAAGGAAAATGAATAACAGTAAGCATTTATTTCTTCTCTTTTGTTACAATTCCTCTCATGGGTCCATTCCTGGTCATAAGGATTCCTGAGGTTTCAGCATGTCATCATAGTGCAAAAGCACATCATACTTTCTCTGGCCTCGACAGAAATTAATTCAAATTTGCCACCAAAACAATTGTTTCCTGTTGCCCACATTTCATTTTTTTTTTCCAATTAATGGGCTACTTTTGCATCATTCAATTAGGGTGGGGACTACCAAAGGGCCCATAGTGTTGATTGGCCGTTGTCTGGTGGGCTTACACTTGCTTGTTTCTCAACAACACATGGACACTTTGTGTAGGCTTCATAATAATCCAATTGAAAAGAATGTGTGACAGTAATCTTCTTCCCCTGGATGTATGCCATTTTAACATCTTGACCTTCGAACTAAACAGTGAAAAGAGAAAGGATAAAGATTGAATATCAGAATCAGAAATTTTGAAAAGATAACAGTATAATGTCAAAGGAAAAGAAAAAAAAGAGATAATTGGAGTTAAGGGTTAAAGACTTTAAAGGCATCTTGTAAAACATGACAGCACAGCCTTGATAATCAAACATTATGAGGTTACAGATGTAAAGAATAATGCAGAAAGTGAATCCCTAGTCCAGTTAAAATGCTTAGTTGAACACTTGAACTCAGCCCCTATCCAGCCAGAAAAGAGAACTAGAAATGTTAAAGAAATTTTCACCCACCAGTTCACCACCAGCAGTGACCAGGCACATGAACATGAACCTTCCTATTTGATACAAACAGGTTTTTCCTAAATGGGTTAATAAATCTTGAAAGCCAAAAAGAAAGGCTAAAACATTACTAAAAACAAAATGAAGGATTACAACAGGGCAAAGATGAAATCACACAGGACTCAATGATTCTGTCCATATCATGTCATATGAGGTTGAAAAGAGCCAACCTCCTTTTTCTAAACCCCACCACTTGCCGTTTCGAAATAAGTTCTTATTCAAAGTGTTTTGGGGAAGAGGAAACCAAACCCACCTCACGCTCACAGTATACCCCAAAAACCCATACACCCTTGGCTCGTGAGAGAGCATCATCAGCACTTAGCAGCAGCATCTCTGTTGTTTTTCCTGCGTAGGTTTCTCCGCTGACTGCTCCTCCTGGCACACTCTCGGCCCTCTGCCACAAACCGTATGGCAAAACCAACGTCTTCGTTAACAGAAGCTCCCTTCCCTGCTCTCTTCATAAACCTTTACACCCTTTAGTCCTCAAAGACTCCATTTTTTTTTTGCCACGGAACCAAGCTTTGCCATTGTTAACCAATGACTAAAGGTGTCATTTTTTTCCTTTCTTTGCTTCTTTGCTTATCATTCTTTTCACTAGCAGAGAAGAACCAAGCTGAGATCCAAGCATTGACATCTTTCAAGCTTAATCTCCATGACCCGCTTGGAGCTTTAAGCGGATGGGATCCATCAACACCTGCAGCTCCATGCGACTGGCGTGGAGTTGCATGTTCCAACAACCAAGTCACCGAGCTACGTCTACCTCACCTCCAACTGAGTGGACGACTCAGTGACCGTCTCTCTGATCTCAAATATCTTAACAAACTCAGCCTTCGTTCTAACTCCTTCAACGGCACCATACCTTCCTCTCTTTCCCAATGCAAGCTTCTACGCGCTGTTTTCTTGCAGTACAACTCACTCTCCGGGACACTACCATCCGAGATAAGTAATCTCACTGATTTAACCATTTTAAATTTAGCTCAAAACTATTTAGCCGGCGAAATCTCAGGAGATCTCCCACAAAATATTAAGTATATTGATCTTTCTTCAAACTCATTTTCTGGTTCGATTCCTATAAGCATTGCTAATTTATCACAGCTTCAACTCATTAATCTCTCGTATAACCAGTTTTCTGGTGAGATTCCTGCTAGTTTTGGTCAGCTTCAACAGCTTCAGTATCTCTGGCTTGATTATAATCTTTTGGAAGGGACTTTACCTTCAGCTTTGGCCAACTGCTCTTCACTTATTCATTTTAGTGCTGAGGCCAATGCGCTTGGTGGGGTTATCCCATCAGCTATTGGAGCAATTCCTAAGCTTCAAGTTGTTTCAGTTTCTCATAACAATCTCTCAGGAACGGTGCCGGTTTCTTTGTTCTGTAATGTTACTGTTTATCCGCCTTCCATTCGGATTGTTCAGTTGGGGTTTAATTTGTTTACGAATGTTGTTGGTCCTGAATCAGGGCAATGTTATAGTATTTTACAGGTTTTGGATATTTCTTGGAATCAGATTGGTGGGGTTTTTCCTTTATGGTTAACGCGTGTAACAACGTTGACAATGTTGGATGTTTCTGGGAATTTGTTGTCAGGTGAGGTTCCAGATCAGATTGGGAGTTTGTCTAGATTGGAGGAGCTGAAAATGGCTAATAATTCTTTAACTGGGATGGTTCCTTTTGAGATTAAGCAATGTGGCTCATTGTATGTTCTTGACCTTGAAGGAAATCATTTTTCTAGTGAAATTCCTGGGTTTTTAGGTGGTATGACTGGTTTGAAAGTGCTCTCTCTTGGGGGAAATATGTTTTCAGGTTCAGTTCCAAGGAGTCTTAGGAATCTTACTGAGCTTGAAATATTGAATTTGGGGCATAATAGCTTGAGTGGAAGGTTGCCGGAGGAGATAATGGAATTGACCAATTTGACTACGTTGGACTTAAGTGGGAACGACTTTTCTGGTGAGATTCCAGCAAGTATTGGGAACTTGAGTCAGGTTGTTGTTCTGAATCTAAGTGGTAATGGGTTTTCAGGGAAGATGCCGGCAAGTTTGGGCAATTTGTTCAAGCTAACTACTCTTGATTTAAGCAACCAGAACCTCTCTGGTGAGTTGCCCTTTGAGCTCTCAGGTTTACCTAATCTGCAAGTCATTGCTTTGCAAGAAAATATGTTATCTGGGGAAGTTCCTGAAGGGTTTAGTAGTTTGATGAGTTTGCGTTATGTGAATCTTAGCTCCAATTCATTTTCTGGTTATATACCAGAAACTTTTGGCTTTCTTCATTCACTAGTTGTTCTTTCATTGTCTAATAATCACATAACTGGGGTGATCCCACCAGTGCTTGGAAACTGTACTGAGCTTGAAGTTCTCGAGCTTGCATCAAATTCTTTGACAGGTCACATTCCTGCTGATCTCTCTCGCCTTTCAAAATTAAATGTGCTTGATTTGGGTGGTAACAACTTAACAGGAGAAATCCCGGAGGAAATATCCAAATGCTTGTCTGTTACCACTTTGTCACTAAATGCTAATCATCTTTCTGGAAGCATACCAGATTCTTTGTCCAAGTTATCAAATCTCACAATGCTGGATCTTTCTTCAAATAATATTAGGGGAGAGATTCCTTCTAATCTCGGTCTTGTTTCTGGATTGGTCTACTTTAATGTCTCAAGGAATGACTTAGCAGGGAAGATTCCAGTTACACTGGGTTCTAGATTTAACAATCCATTAGCATTTGCGGGAAATCAAGACTTATGTGGAAAGCCATTGCATCGAAAATGTGATGATGTAGCTGACAAGAACAGGAGGAAACGGTTGATTCTTTTGATTGTTGTGGTAGCGTGTGCTGCTTGTCTCTTGTCATTATGTTGTTGCTTCTATATCTTCAGCCTATTAAGATGGCGCAAGAAGCTCAAAGAAGCCGCTGGAGAGAAGAAACGGAGCCCTGCAAGGGCTAGTTCTGGAGCAAGTGGAGGCCGTGGTAGCACAGACAATGGAGGGCCAAAGCTTGTTATGTTCAATAACAAGATCACTCTAGCAGAAACAATTGAAGCAACTAGGCAATTTGCTGAAGAGAATGTGCTTAGCAGAACCCGATATGGGTTAGTTTTCAAGGCTTGTTACAATGATGGAATGGTGCTCGCTATTCACCGCCTACCAGATGGATCACTTGATGAAAACATGTTTAGGAAAGAAGCTGAATTTTTAGGCAGAGTGAAGCACAGGAACTTAACAGTTCTCCATGGCTACTATGCGGGACCACCTGACATAAGGCTCCTTGTATATGATTACATGCCCAATGGCAACCTTGCAACACTCCTCCAAGAGGCATCCCACCAAGATGGTCATGTCCTCAATTGGCCAATGCGCCACCTGATTGCTCTTGGCATTGCCCGTGGTTTAGCCTTTCTACATACATCCAACATGGTTCATGGAGATGTCAAGCCCCAAAACGTTCTATTCGATGCTGATTTTGAAGCACATTTGTCAGATTTTGGCTTGGATCGTCTCACAGTTGCAACTCCAGCAGAAGCTTCCACGTCAACTTCAGTTGGCACATTGGGTTATGTATCCCCAGAAGCAGTTCTAACCGGGGAAACGACCAAAGAGTCAGATGTCTATAGCTTTGGCATTGTCCTGCTTGAATTACTCACAGGAAAGAGACCAGTTATGTTCACACAGGATGAAGACATTGTGAAATGGGTCAAGAAGCAGCTTCAAAGAGGCCAAATCACTGAACTTCTAGAACCAGGACTACTTGAGCTTGACCCCGAATCATCAGAATGGGAAGAATTTCTCCTAGGAATCAAAGTTGGGTTGCTTTGCACAGCTCCAGATCCTCTTGATCGACCAACCATGTCCGATATCGTGTTCATGCTTGAAGGTTGTCGTGTGGGCCCTGATTTTCCCTCATCAGCCGATCCAACTTCTCAACCTTCACCAGCGTAAACAACCAGAAATCCGAAGCCCTTTTTTGTTTTTCGTTTTTTTTACTTTTCCTGTCTCATGAAAACTTTTAACCATTTTTTTAGTTTCATAGAGAAAATGTAACACTAGGGTGAAAATTGTTTGTTCAGGTAATTCTTGTTCCATTTGCTTTCTCGTTTGTTACTTTTCTTTTTACAACTCTGCCACTGTTCCTTTCCAATTGATGCCAGCCTGTGGGAAAGTGGGGGATCTATGACAGAGTGAAGTAAAAAAAGGTCAACACGTCTCCCAGTCAACGAAACAGACAAAAGCTCAGTTGAACTGAAGATGCCCGAAAGCGGACAACAACCATTGGGGGCCCACAGTTGATTTCGCGCCAAACGCGACAGGATTGGTGTGCCGTGGATTCGTCACGTGCCACAATAAAAATATAGCCGTTAAATTGTAGAAACCGAGATGTTCTTAAAAGAAAAAAAGGTGATTTTTTTATATTATTTTTTCCTGTAAGGAGTGGGACGGCCGAAAGGGCCTTTGGATTTGGTTTGTTGCCTAGTCGAGTACAGCTTAGATCGGTGGTTTCGGACTCGCGTGATTCCACGTGGGGATCTTTTGTTGCCCTGGAATTTTTCATTGTTCATTGTTCTAGTCCTGGCGATGGATAAAAAAGCTGAAGAAGAGGGAGGCAGGAGAAGAAGACAAAGCACCCAAAATTTCAAGGTCCCACTGGAACAAAAGGGGATGGGAAAGTGACAGGGGGAAATAAAACGATGGCTCACTGCCCTCAATTACTTGTTGAACCTTTTTGGTGGGTCATCAACTTTATTGAATGAAGATTTGTCAATTTTTTAAGCCGTAGTTTGATTGTAACAGATGCAATACCAAATCAACTACCTGTTTTAATTTAAGTTTTCCAGGAGTCACTGCAGTTCTGTTTTGGCTTTTCCCCTTGTGTATGAGATGGGCAAATACAACCTCCTGACTCTGAATTTGTAAGAAACAAGCAGGAAATATGGGGAAATTAAAAATTCAAGATGATGACATTGAGGAATGGAGAATCCAAATCTGAAGCATTGACCCTTAAGCGTCCTTCTCTTATAATAATAATTATTTAAATACAGTAGTTTTCATTTGTATTCATTTTTCTTGGATGGTAAAGGACAGGTTCCATAGACAAGGTCAAATTGAGTTATAATATTGTCCAACTGGACAGACTATAATTTTGTTGGTCATGTTCTTCGTGATGCGGTTTGCTTGGTGTCAAATCAATAACCAAACTTTATCTCCCCACTGTCTCCTTTAATCAAGTCAAGCAAAATCACTCAAAATGCATTATTAACTGATCTACTGAAGGGTTCTAATTTTATTGCGTTTACGGGTAATTGGGTATTACAATCATGCTTGAGAAAAACAATAGTACAAAAGTATATGGTAACATTGGAATTTTTTTTTTTTTTTTGCCTTAAGATTGAGCCTGGTTTTACAACATGTTTAACCTTAATAACTAATCATTCTTGTTCCACTCAACCGAATAACCACTTAAGCTCTTTCAATAGTTCCAATGTCTGTTTTGCTTCCAAAATGATCTAATCTAGGCTTTAACATTTTTGCAAAGTAAATGTTAAGAGAGAAAATTTACCTTACCATATAAAGTTGACAAATTCTCGCTCACGTCCTTTCTCCATCAATTTTTTTTTTTTTCAATTTTTACCGAGACTGAGAGGTATCTTAATTATGAATGTAGGGTATCTGCCTAGCCGTAACATTTCCTTGAACATTGCTGCTGCAACAGTTGACTTAAAACCTACTCTTTTTCTTGGATATTCGAAGGACTAGGGACAAATCAATCAATCTGTTCTGTATTAATTGAAGTTGTTTCCACATGGTCCAGCTTGCTTAAGTAGTACCCTAGCCTAGGGCTCAAGTTGACATAGATTGGGCCAAACAGCTATACAACTCATCGATCAGAAAAGATCAGTAGATCCAATGGGCCCATAGGAAAATTCTAAAAGATATTGATTTTGCTTACCCGTTTCGCCCCAAAAAACATTAATGTGGAAGTTAAACACTGAATTGAATTGTAACTTTGGATACAAAACCAAATAAAGCAGTGCAAGCAAAAACCAAGTCTAAATGGAAGGAAAGCCACGCTCCAAACACCCAAGTTTTTAATGATTCTAAAATGATCAAACACTCGAAACCCTATGACTAAAACCTTTGTTTCTTGTTTTTAATCTCATATTCATTGAAGTCATGGTAGAAATCAGTGAACTCACAAGGAAGCATTTGAGGAACCAAATGCGGCATTATCAACTGTTGCCGACTATAAGTAGCCAGCTCTGGTTGCATGGATGGAGTATAGAAGCAAGTTTGGAATGCTGCCTTAGGCTCCTTGAACATCACATTGTTTTGCATGGCAGTTGACCTTGGATCATCAAGAACTGGAATTGAGGGTCGATTGAACATTACACTATTGCTTGGCATGCCAATTCTTGGATCATGACGAACAGAAAACCATGGCGGAGGATTGTACATCACATTGTTTGGTATGCTACTGCTGCTGCTGCTGCTGCTACTAGATGCAATCCCCGATTGAACTCTGAAATCAATATTATTCATCATTGACGTCCTTAGCGATTTATCAATGGGATTCATCAAATTGCCAATGGGATTCAGGCTGAGTGAAAGCTTTACCAAAGCCTCATCAGCAGGGGAAAGGGAAGGTAGTTGTATGTTAAGAGGTTTTACAGGGATATGAGCCTGCTGCTCCCTACTAACTCCAAAATCCAACTTCTTTTGAGGAAACTCAGGAAAGGCTTGGATTTGATCAAAATGGTTTAGAATCTCCAGAGGGACATGAGCTTGGATGTGATTATCAGAATGGTCTAGATTCTCTGGAAGAAAGGCTGCAGAGGCGTAATCAGAAGGATTTGGCCTTGATTGGGAATTGAAACCACCTAAAGTCCTAGATTTAGAAGATTGCATCAAATGACCTTGATCGTCTCCCTTCATCAACATGATCTTCCTCTTTACAACTTCAAGGTTCAAATCAAGTTTAGTAAGAAACGTTGCAATTTGTTCAGGGGAGAAATTGTCGATACGATCATCCCATGTTGGAAACTTGGCTTCCAAATTTGCTTTGCGTACTTGTGCAACCTCATCATGAACCTGTCTCTTGCGCATGTTGAAAAAATCAAAGATACTAAAGATTTTCGTTTGCACATCCGAAGCAACCTTACTCTTGTATTTGTCGATGATGCTGTTAACCTGAACAGGATCTGAAGGCCAAACTTCAACCTTAGCAGGGTTGTCCTTCAATTTGGGTTCAAAAATGATCATGCACATCTTCACATCGCAAAGGATTGAGAATTCATAAGCCTTCTTTTTCAAGCCTTTCATTCGCTTCTTAAATACACCAGCTCGAGTCTTCTCGTGCTCTATAAGTTTCAGGCTCAATTTTCCACGACCCATCTAACAATAATCATGACATTAACGAATAAAAAGGAAGAGAAATTTTACATTTATACACATTAAATATGAATTTTTTAATCCTAGACACATGGATTCATAATTCATGTTCAGTTAAATTTTTTTCAGCTAGCTAAATCGGATCACGCTCGGGTTTCTTCGTAGATCACATAGGTTTAAGGTTTGCTTTATTCCTTCAGTCTGATACCTCATAAACTCATTGTTTATGGCATTAATTAACTGAGTAAACACGATTAAAGTAAAGAGAGAAGAACAATAAAAGGCAAAATCGATGAACAAAGTTTTGTTAACTTGAAAATAGAGTTACCTTTAGATTTTTCGCTGGCCTCTTCCCTGGCTACCTCTCAGTTCAAATTCAATACAGTCACAATCATGGAGTTTTTCAAGCTTTTTTTTTTTTTAATAAGGGAAAAGGGGCTTTCCCTTAATAATTATTATAATTATTCTCATGATAATTATGGAATGCAAATCAAGGATGCTGATTCTTGATTCAGAAAACCAAGGAAATTTTATGCTTCTTGCTATAACCAGACCATTGTGGACATCAAAGATTTCATAAATATAGCGATTTTATAGTTGTTTTTTTTCTAATTTTTTATTAAAAAAATCGCAATGTGGGCGTAAAAAATTGAATTGTATGTGTTAAATTTTAAATTTTAGATATATTAAAAGTTATTTTTTAATTAGTTTGTGGTAAGATTGACAACGGATCGAATTGAGGCGAGTTTTTGCTTGTTCCGAATCGACCTGACTTTATAATTATAAAACTTGAACCCGACTCAAATTTTTTTATTTTTTTATACCTAACCCAACCCGATCCAATATTGTATAAACCGTATCCGATCCAAAATTAATAAAATATTTTTTTAAAATATAAAATATTATTTTTTAAATATAAATATATAATTATATAAAAATTAAAATTTAAAAATAATTAAAAATAATTTTTAATATAATATCGAGTCGGGTTGGGTTTGCCTAAAACCCAAACTTGACCTGACACCAATTTTTGCTTAATAATACCCGACTCGAAATTCGATTTCTTTTTTTTAAAAATTGACTCTATGAGATCAGATCGGGTCTGAACCTATCAGGCTCGGATTGGGCTGTCAACCTTAATTTGTGACCCACGAATTATATTTTTATATAATTATACATAAAAATATTTTTTTAACAAAAATATAAAATTTACATATCCATATATCTAAATGATATCTAGGAAAATAATACTTTTAAAATATTTAAACATTCAATAAATAATATTATTTAGTACTTAATTAAATACTTTATAAAATTTACATATTCATATATTCAAATGATATCTAAGAATAATTTATTATTATATGGATACTACATGTAATTAAAAAGTTAAATGAAAAAAAATCAAATTAAATATTTTTCTATAAGTGTGATCAAATTTGCCTTAATTACTTTAAAACTTCAACGTGATTTCACTTATTTTTTTAAATTAATTAGAGGAAATGCATGATTCTTTTTAATAACTATTTTTCTTTTTATTAATTTGAATATACATATTTTAGTTATAAAATCGTATCATTAAAAAAATTATTTTGTTTTTAAAACTCAAAATTTTAATAATTTAAGACATTGAAAGAAATGTTTTTAGAAAAAAGTAATTATATACTAAAGTATATGCTAAACCCAATATTTTTTATACATGTTTGAGAAAAAAAATCAAATATTTATTATATATGAGTGAAAAAGAAAAAAAATTATTATATATGTATGAACTTTGAGTTGAAAACCCAATATAAATTCAAAAAATATCAAATTGGTTAAACTTTGTATTGAATCACATAAAACAAAATGAAGAATAAAACTGTAAATAAAAATAAATGAAGAATAGTTTCTCTCCCTACTCATTACATATGAAATACTTAATAATCAAATAAAAAAAAAAAGAGAAAAGTAGACTTTTAATCATTTTTATTGACAAATTGAATAATAAATTCATCAAAGAAATAGAAACACATAAGTGCCAAATATTAATAATAAATAGAAAATGAAAAATAAATATATAAATAGATTAAGTCAAATCATTCAAAGAGTCTATAAATAAAATTAAACTTTTGATAAAAGTATCATCATTAATATTCTTTTTTTTAATAGTATAACTTTTTGTTTTAATATAAAAATCTTGCGACTACAAAATTGAAAAGAAAATATTAATTATCAATTAATTTTCATAATAAAATATTCAAGAACACTAAACCAAAACTGAAATAAAAATAAAAAAAAGTTAAATAATCATAATTAAGATTAATTTAATAATTCTAACTTGAATAATCAAGGAAAATATATTTACAAATATATAATACTAAACAAAAAAAATAAAAGAACATATCAAAAATATAATAAAACTCACAAAATTATAATCTTGCAACACCTCTTTAGAGCTTATTATTAAATGTAAAAAATTGATGTAAAATATCAAAAAGTCATACCATTATTTAAACAATGTATTAAGGGGAAAAAAAGAATAGAAGAATATAAATAAAAATTTTTTAACAACAGTTGTTGTATATGTCAACTTCATCATACCACCGTTATATATATATATATATATATATATATATGTACATGCATACTCATAAATCAATATATATTATTATAAAAATTTTATTATTAAAAATTTTCATCTTCCTTAATTGCATATTATTATAAAGTTTAAATTTTAAATACATAATTTGACCTATTAAATTAAGGTAATGTAAGTATAAAAAATTATAGAGAACTAAAAAAAAATTAAAGCTATTGAATGCATGGCCAATAAGACTTTAATTTATTATAAAAAATAGAAAGAAAAATTCGCACTTAAAGTTGAAAAAACGAAAATTAAAAGCCATTATATAGTTAATAATATTTTTTGGATGATAATTGAAAAATATTAAATATTAAATTAGTTTGTAATTTTAATTTTGAAATTTGAATTGTTGATTATGATCTAAACATATGACATCATTTGACACTATTCATGAATAAAAAAAATACCCTACATACATAGACTTATTTCGTTTTTTTTTTTTTTTTTCATGTTAATATATTGAAGTTATTTTTTGTGTGTGTGTATATATTATTGAAATTTGAATTGTTGATTATGATATAAACACATGACATCAAATTGAATAATAAATTCATCAAAGAGATAGAAACACAAAAGTGTCAAATATTAATAATAAATCAAAAAATTAAAAAAAAATATAAATAGATCAAGTAAAATCATTCAAAGAGGTCTATAAATAAAATTAAACTTTTGATAAAAGAAATTTATCATCATTTATATTTTTTTTAACATTATAACTTTTTATTTTAATATAAAAATCTTGCAACTATAAAATTGAAAAGAAATATTAATTATCAACTAATTTTCAAAATAAAATATTCAAGAACACTAAACCAAAACTAAAATAAAAAGAAAAAAATTAAATAATCATAGTTAAGATTAATCTAATAATTCTAACTTGAATAATCAAGGAAAATATATTTACAAAGATATAATACTAAATAAAAAAAGAACATATCAAAAAAAAAATAATACTCACAAAGTTGTAATCTTACAACACCCCTTTAAAGCTTATTATAAAATGTAGAAACTTGATGTAAAATATCAAAAAATCATACCATTTTTGAAAAATGTATTAAGAGGGAAAAAAAAAAGAATAGAAGAATACAAATGAAATTTTTTTGACAATAGTTGTTGTACGTGTCAACTTTATCATATCTCCATTATATACATAATTTGACCTATCAGTTTTTTTATTTTTATTTTTGAAATCAAACACCCAAAATTAAGATAATGTAAGTATAAAAAGTTATAGAGAATTCAAAACAAAATTAAAGCTATTGAATGCATGGCCATTAAGACTTTAATTTATTGTAAAAAATACAAAGAAATATTCACACTCAAAGTTTAAAAAATGAAAATTAAAGCCATTAAATAGTTAATAATTTTTTTTGGACGATAATTGAAATATATTAAATATTAAATTAGTTTGTATTTTTAATTTTGAAATTTGATTTGTTGATTATGATCTAAATACATGACATCATTTGATACTATTCATGCATAAAAGAATTACCGTACATACATAGACTAATTTCATTTTTTTTCTCATGTTAATATATTGAAGTTATTTTGTACATATATATAAATATAAATATATTAAATGGTTCTAGCAAATTAATTTGTTTATACAATCATAAATAACTATTAGTAAATATGCAAAATTATTCGTGATTAATTAGCTTTCTATTTAAATTTTGATTTTTTGAATTAATGATCAAATTAATTATAGCTAATTTATAGGAGGCAAGAATATTGATGTTTAAACATAATTAATTTAGCCATAATAAATTATTTTAAAATTAATTATATAACATATGGCATTTATCTATAATATTCCACATGTAAAAAATGTAACCTATCCACATAAGAGTATTATCTTATATGTTAAAAGTTTTGACTTTTATATATTTATATAAGATAAAACGTGTGATAAAGAGCATAAAAATATAACATTAATTCATGATTGAACATTCAATCATTTAAAAATAGGTTATTTAATTTTTATGAATTCACCAATAAGACAAAAACATTAAGAGAATTTATAATCTAAAAAATAAATGTTAAAAAAATCTAATAATTCAATAGCAGTGAATTCATTGATATTTACTTTGTCAATTAACCATTAAGTAATAAAATTAAAAGATTTTATTAGCAAGCACATTTATTACATGATACTTTTTTTCGTTGATATGTACATATATTTTAACATATATTTTAAGATTATATTTGAGACTAGATTATAAATATAAAATATTTAATAATATTAAAATCAAATCAAGAGTGTGTAGTACTAATTTAATCGTAGGATAAAATTTATATAAATAAGATAATGAAATTAATAAATTTTTTTATAAAAAGTATATAGTTATTAATTTAATAACTATATAATAACTATATAGTTTTTAAATTTTATAAGTTTTTATTCGAATGTCAAATAGTTTATAGATAATAATTTTTTATATGAATTAATTAATTGGAAGTAAAAAAAAAATTTCTCTCATGAGATAGAAAAGAAATCTTTCATTTAATGTAGTATTGTAATATTAGAAAGACAATACATAAAATTAAAATTTGGTCTTTCGATAAGAATTTAAATTTAATTTTTTTTCAGTATTAATTATTAAATAGTAATATATCAAAGCAAACTCCTATTCTTATATAGTGTCAATGTTGAATGTTAAAAATTAAGAATGAAATTTAATTTTGATCAATTTAAGGTAAACAATAATGAAAAATTAAATTTTAATTGCAACTTAAATTGTAATTTATTCATAAAAGGCAAAAACATTGGCTATTTATAAGGAAATGATTATAATATTATATTTACTATATAAATCATTTAGATAAATCAATTCTTAACTCTTAACCTTTTGAGAGATTTAAATCCTCGTTGAACTTTGTTATGTTAATAACACTCGATTTGATCAATACTAACATTATATGAAAACTTGATTTTTACTTTAATTTTTAAAAAACAAATTTACTCTTAAAAACTTTGGACCTATTAACACAATTTCTTATTATTGGATCCATTTTTTCAAACTGTCAAGGCCTATTGATGGGTAAGTAACAAATCTCAAGTAATACAATAATTTATTATTTCTATTGTTCAATTTACTCCATTGAATGCCAACACATTTCTAATGCATTTCTCAAACTTAAAAGATACCAATTAATTTAGTTAGAGGTAATTGGTGGAGATTGTACGTTAAGTTATTAATGTGAACTTTAATTTTGTTTTGAATTTTCAAAAGAAATGACTAAGCAAATCAATTAGCATAATTCTCATTACATATAATAATATTTAAGAAATCAATACATTTATAATTTAGATAATGAATTAAAATTTTGTTTTCATTATATGTATAAGATAATTGAATTTCATTTGGTATTGGAATAATTGAAATTTATAAATTGTTAATCCCATGCAAGACTCATTTGTGTAAGCCATTTTGTTTGAACATTCCCTTGCATACTATATCCTATTTTCTTCATGGTCCTAATCATTCACTATGATATTTGAGATTAGACATGTTCCTGATAGCAACTTGTTAGCAATCATAAAAGCTAGTAAAATTTTGTAGTCAATATTAATCATATAGCATATGTATATATAAATATGCACATAAAAATATAAATTACTTCATTAAAAAATAAACTAAAAATTAAATATAAAGATAAAATAAAGCAAGTCATTTTATATTGTGTATGAAATGTTTAGATTAATTTCTAAAGCATATCAACATATTTGTATATTATACTAATATTATTCCAAAAACTAAAAGCATATTAGGTTTTTTTTCCTAAAAAGCGAATTATAATATTAAAAAACAATAAAATAAATAACATTTTGAAATAAAGAGGAATAAAACAAATGGAAAAAAAAAACATTTCAATGGAACAAATAAAAAAAATAGAAAAAAGAGAGATAGAACATAATAGAATTAAGAACAAAAGTCCAATACTATTATCTCTAATGGACAAAAACATATTCTTATTTATAATGTTGAAGTTGGTGTGAAAAATTAAATAAAATTTAATTGAGTGTGATTTAAGATAAAAAACAATTAACTTTGATTACAAATTGAATTGAAATTTATTTATATAAGGTAAGAGTAATGAATATTTAAAATAGAATAAATGTAATATTCTAAATTAAATAAATTTACTTTTTTTACATTATCAATAAATCAAATCAAATTAAGCGTATAGATTTTTTTAAATGAAAAATGCATAAAATAAATTGTATTTATTAGACAACACACGGCATTTATTCATAATTATACATGTGTAAAAAATAAAACATCCACATTGAATATTTTCTTTTTTGTTGAAGGCTTTGATTTTTATATATTTGTAAAAGATTAAGTATAAGATTAATAAGGTCTTCAAGGTATTTAATATTTATTAATAATAAGTTGACTAAAAACTAAAAATGAAAGTAATGAAAATAATTTATGGAATGTATAAAAATTATCATTTAATAAAATTTTAATTTTATTGTCATTGTTACATTAATTTTAAAATCTCTTTTTTCATTTCTTTCAAGCATATTGAATGCATATTATACTTGACATTCGAATTATGAAACATAAATTACTCTCAATTTAATATATTACTACTCTTGATTTGGTTATTAATTTATTTCAATCAATTAATCATTTAAAAATAAATGTTAATAAGAATCGTTGAATGTGTTTTATAATAATAGAAATAAGATATTTTTGATTAAATTTATTTTATCATTAAATTCTAAATTTTAAAATTTAAATGCATAATTAATTTTGAATACATGTCAAGTTTTTAGATTGTCCTTATGTGAAAAATATAGACTATCTACATCCAATTATTTCCTTTTTTGTTAAAGGATTTGGCTTTTATATATTTATATAAGATAAGTTAACTAAAAACTAAAAATGGAAGTAACGAGAGTAATTTATGGAATGTGTAAAAACTATCGATTAATAAAAATTTAATTTTTTCTCTATATTACATTAATTTTAAAATCTCTTTTTTCATTTCTCTCAAGCATATTGAATACACAAAATACTTAGATTATTCTAATTATCAAGCATAAATTACTCTCAATTTAATGTACTATTACTCTTGATTTGTTTCTTAATTTATTTTAGTCAGTTAATTATTTAAAAATAAATATTAATAAGAATCATTGAATGCATTTTATAATAATGTAGATAAGATATTTTAAATTAAATTTATTTTTATTATTAAATTCTAAATTTTAAATTTAAAATGCATAATTAATTTTGAATACATGTCAATTTTTTAGATTGATTACATGTTAAAAATATAGACTATCAACATCAGATTTTTTTTTTTGTTAAAGGCTTTGACATTTATATATTGATATAAGATAAAAACGATACGAACGAATTGAATTAAATTTCGAATTTTTATAATAGCTCATGCCACACCATTTGTTAGCATCAATCACTTAAGAGTATGAGCCTTAGAAGCTTTAATTTTTAATAGGAAAACCTATTTGATGGGTTTTTTTTTGTTTTTTTGGGTAATTTTGAATTTGTATACAAAGTGAAAAGCTAAGCCTTTTTTTTTTTAATTAATTAATTAAGGTGAAGCAATTTGCTATGTGTTAAATGATACAATGAATATATGTGTTAAATGATACAATGAATATTATTATGGTCATCGTTTCCTTATATATTTTTTACTTTTTAAACTTTTTTTTTATAATTTTACTAATAGAGTAAATTAGTCATTGTTGTTAAATATTTCATTCCTTACATTTAGGAGTATACTATTCTTCCATAAAAAATGTAGTATATAATTCTCAAATTAATTTCTTTACCATCTTTGAACAAAGATAATATATATATAATATATAATATAATATATATATAATTATATTAATTATTTCTTCCCCTAAACAATCAACCGATCCAAAATTTTATTTGATATTCTTGGTTTTCTAAATATTATTATTATGCCACATAGTGGGATGCCACCACAAATCCATTCATCCTAATATGCTTCAAAATCTCTTAATTATCATTTCAATTGATATAAGGAGGAAAATGTTATTACTTGGCAAGATGATCAGATCAGAGTCATAATAATGGTGGTCTTTACATTTCATTAAACTTACATGTAGATTACAGGAATAGATGAGAAAAAATTGTAAATAGATTAATTTCAAATTAAATCTATCTTCTAATCATACAAACAGCATAAAACCACTTAAACAAAATCCATGAATGTCTTCATGAAAAATGTTTCACAATGCATGCTAGCGGCATGAATTGGAGACGAAACAATCAAGTGACAAAAACTAGCAACAACCCATGTCTCAGAATCTATCATTCTAATCTGCTTGGGATTGACCAGCCCGGGAGGAGAGGATGATGCCAACAATAAGTCCATACAGAGCCAAAGCCTCGGCAAAAATGAGAATAAGAATCATTCCAACAAAAAGCTTTGGCTGTTGGGCATTGGCTCTGAAAATAAACGCAGAGAAAAACTAAATCAAACTACATACATTCTCGCACTTGCAATAATCTAGACACCAAAGATAAAGCAAATAACTTTTGCAATTAAAATGATGCACTTAAATATACAAGAACGTAATCAAGAGAAAACAACAATGATTATCTGCAATAGATTGAATGCAATGCATAGAAATGCCACAAGTCTGTATTCATTGGCAACAATTACAAACCTCTCCTCAAGACCTTTAAAAGTTATTTTTTTTCTCTTTCTCAATGCTTTGATCTCTATAACTTCTAAATACCTTAATTAAATCAAAACAAACTACATTTTGTATGATAAGTAAAATTCCAACTAATCTAGGCTCAAATTCGCTCAAGTAGAACAATTTGCCACTATAGCTTCATCAGAATTTCTAAGTGAAATGTCAACCATATGCTCTCAGTTACTATGACATGAATATTAAAGTACTTCCATCAATTGCAGCAAATTCTAAAACTAAATGTTCTCTAAAATTTCTGAAATCACAGATTAAACTATGCCTCAAGTTCAAAGCTTTTACAAATATAATTGTTGAAAAATCTACACAGCAAAAGAACAGAGGATGAAATCTGAATCCTGCAAACAACATTTCAATTTTAAGGAGTTCAAAAGGAAAATGAGAAAGACAAATAATTAAGATCAAATTAGATGACGGTACCTAACGCCAGCATCACCGACGATTCCAATAGCCATGCCAGCAGAGAGACCAGCGAGGCCACAAGCGAGACCAGAGGAAAGATGAGCATAGCCATCGAAAAGATAGTAAGATTTGGCCTTTGGGTTAATCCCAGTGCTTATAATAACCGCAATAATCAACCCATAAATACCTAAAACTCCAGCCATGACAACGGGGACGATCGATTTCATTACCAGCTCTGGCCTCATGACCCCCATCGACGCCACGCCGACACCGCTCTTGGCCGTCCCGTATGCAGCTCCCATACCTGAAAAAAAAAAAAATTGGAGAGGGAACTAAGCACCGATCAAAAATTCGAAAACTTTTGGAGTTAAGAGTTGGGTTTTTACAGGAGAAAACGAGGGCAGCAGCGGCTCCAAGGAAGCCAAAGAAAGGAGCAGTTTCATCGCCGCTGAATGTGGACGACATTTTAGTTTTTCAAAACTTTCACCGCCGATTTGAAGAGATTTGAGAAACTTTGATCGGTTGATTTCTTCAGCGATCAGAGAAAGATGCAGAAGGAACTGGGAAATTTCTTAGTGGACCCTCGTGAACGTGATCGTGCCATAGCCATATCATCAAGTAAAAACCGTATCTTCGGCCTGATTTGATACAAATTTTTATGGGCATGTTTTGGGCCTTATTTGAGCTGAATCTGGCAGATTTTTATGGTTCCTTTATTATGGTGTGATTGAGTTAATATGATGAAAAATTAAAATTAAAATTTGATTAAATTTTAAATTTGAATTTAATTTGAAATAAAAATTAAATTATTAAAATTCATTTGATTAAATTTATTTATTAAATAAAAAAATGAATTCGATTTCATACTCAACTCAACTTCAATTTGGATTATTTGAGTGAAAACTTAAAATTCAATTATTTATGCTCAAAACTTAAGCTCAAGCCTTCAACGCTAGAACATGTATAGAACTGTTGTTCAAACCACAGCCAACGAATAAAAGCGTAGAAAGAAACGCCGAGGAACTGTGGACTTCTACACTAGCACAAAAACCAACAAAGGAGATATAAAAGTTTGAAGAATGAAATTTGATGGGAATTTCATTAAAAAGAAGGTAAAAAAAAAGGTTGTTAGTATAATCTTGCTCCTCTTGGCAAATCCTAATAAAAGGATATGAAATGAATTGAGACGTGAAGAAGGGCTCAAAGAGGAATAGAGGAAAATAAGGCCCGGAATCTAAAAAGAACCCAAGGCATGAATTTGGCACTTAGTTGAAAGAGAAAAATCCATGCATTAGTCATGTAAACTAAACATCCATGAGAGGAAAATTCATGCAATGGAAATTAATAATGGCTAATATGCAAGTGATGGAAAAAGGAAATTATATTTTGTCCAACTACCTCGAAATTTTATTGGATTAGAGTCAAACGTGCACGAATGCTTAACATCTACTGCATTGTGATTAAGTTTTTGGTAAAAAAGATGTTTTTTCCATGATTCTTTTGTACTTAATTTCATCATTGTATTCAGTTAAACTTGTAGATTACAAAAATGTGATGGTTTCACAATCTAAAAGAGCCCTAAAAAAGTTTACTTTTAACACTCTGATCAGTTTCATCGGTTGTACTTACTGAGAAATTTGTTATAATGAACATGGTAGGTGATTAATCTTAACTTGCTTTGAGGGAAATGTAAATTCATACAATGGAAATTAATAATGGCTATTGCCTTTTCTTTTATTTTCAATGATGGCTCCATCAATTTTGGAAGTAGCAAATAGCTAAAGAAACCTATTCATGGACATGATACCCCTTTAATAAAATGTGCGAGTAGTCAAGGAGTTTGTTTGTGAATTGGACCCCCCCCCCCCCCCCCGGGCACTTGCAACCCCAGAAACGTCTGATCTGATCACGAGCCATGGGGCACAGATTGCATAGGGAGGAGCCCAGATCCCATTGCAAACCACCAGCGCTTCCAGGACCCTCTCAGCTCATCTGTGACCATCGTGGCATCTTTAATTCCCAATGAATGGCCCATCTCCAAACCATATTTGAGAGTTCCCTGTTGAGATATGTGCATCCAAATCATCCGTTTGTAAATTGTAATCCCCTGCTGTCCATCTGGAAAGTCATTACAGGCGGCCAAATAATGAACGTCCGACGCATAATAAAAGGTAGACACATGTGCCTGCTGTGAAATTCCCCAGGATGCATATATGACTACTGGACTAACCCTCATGGGGTTCTTGACTTCTTGTTTCTTGTCAGCCAGCTTCCATCCCTAAAGCCTGGCTGTTGGATTGCAGTGAATTGAAACTTTAAAGAGACATCATTAATGAAAATCTCAGCCTCTCATCGCTTTATATATATATTTTCCTATTTCCTTTATTCCATATTATTTTTTCATTTCTTCTTCATTGATACACCTAAAAAAACAGAAAGTTCAATCTTCAACGCTACTACTCCTAGCTCTTTCACTAGATCTTTCTCTCACAATGATTAATTCTATTATCAGAAACCCTGGTTACAACAATATGCAGACCATTTTAGAGAGGAAAGTGTTTGTTTGGGTGCAGTTTTCAGTCAGTCACAAGCTTTTCAGAATATGAAAGCAATGTATTCACATGATGGTCAATCACCATCTCATAGAATGACATATTACTGATAAATTAAAAAGCATAAACTTTTATTTTATTAATTCCCAAAATTCTAAAATTTTGATTTTCAATCATAATTCTCCTTAGTCTAGAAAAGTAGTATATTTTCTTTCATTGTCAATACATACAAATGTTAGAAGGAATGCCAACAAGGAGTGCAATCATGGCTGATGTCCCTTGAAAGAAGCTTGTGTTTCACACCAATAAAGAGTGGAAGGTAGTTCAAGAGAAAACCACTAATTATTTGTTCTTTCTTTGTTCTTTCTTTGTCGAAAATATAGAAAAATAAGAAAAGGGTGATTTTTTCTTCACCAACCATTGTGAAGACGAAGCTTTAAAAGAAAAAATATCTTGTAACAAACAAAAACTTGGAAGGGTAAGGTGTTGTTCTTGGATTGAGAATGAGAAAACGACAGGAGTTTGGAGGGTGGTCGATGTCAAAAAAGGGGTTTATGATCCTAATAGGACCCCCAGGATCACCTTTTGCTGGTTACGCTAACTCTTATGTCCACAAAATTTTTTTTAATATTTATAAGTTACTAAGTAGTATTATTGTTAAACAGTGAGAGGAAGAAGAGAGACAAGGGTTTTTGCTTCATTGTACCGGATGCATTTCATCTAAAATTTTTATATATTTTAAATTTAAATTTTAAATTATTACAATAAATCTTTGGAATCATTCATATTTAGATTATTTTAAATTTAAATTAATTCAAATTTTGGTATTACTTAAATTGAATTGAATTGTAATGGATTGAATGAATTTTTCAAGTTAGAATCGACTTTATCAACACTACTTTTTATTATTGCTAGTAAGGAAATGTTATCATAGTAACAGTTAAATAGAATAATTTGGTTGAATCTTTATATATAGCATAACATTCACATTTTACCAAACCAAGTCAGCATGAAATTTCCGTTTGCTAAAATATGTTGAGGCTCAGTATGTAGTCCTAACATCAATTGGTTATCATTTTAATGGGCAATTTTCAGCGAGGGTGTGTTTTTTTTTGTAGAATTTTAAATTTCAAGAGAGAAAATGACATTGAAGTGAAGGAATATAAGATTTTTATATTTAGTTCGTGGAAATATAAGATTACTTAATAAAATTTGTTACTATTTTTTTTCTTAATAACATGTGAATAGCATTAAACTTTCATAATATTGATATGTAAATGATACGTGATACATTAATAATACATTTATAATACAGATACGTGATAACATAATTTTCTCCCCCCCCCCCTTTTCAAAGCTATTCCAAAGAAAAAAAAGAAAGTATTGTTTATATACATAAATGTTATTAATTGGCTCAATACATATACCATCTCAAGATACTCTATTATGCATGTTTTGATAATTATACATATAAAGCAACTTAGATTTGAATTATTTCGCCCTCTCATTTCACTTTCTTTCTTCCTCTTCTTCTTTCATTCACTTGTTCAAGGCGAATTTGAATTATTCTTCAAAATACCAATTTTTGCACAAAATTTTTCTGTTTTTTGTTACAAAATTTGTACATACCTCCAACATTTCTCCAATTTTTTCTGAGAATGACACCCTACATGTTCAAATTTGACCTAAATTCTTAGGTTGGTTTCCCATATGCTAAGAGTTTGTCTCTTCCAAATAATATATGTTTGGAACAAGATATATAAAATATTTTCCAACGAAAAGAATAGTGTTATTCAATAATTGGAAGGGAAACAGATGGCCAAAAAACTTTTATATTGGTCCCTGATAAGAATATATAGAGAAGAAAGCCAAATAATTGGTATCCAAATTTAGCAATATAAGACCCGTGCCACATGCTTGATTGAAATTTACTCTTGATCGTTGTATAAAGTTAACCAATTTTTCAAACCATATATCCCCATGCGTCCATGCCGTTTCCATGAAAATCATGCATTTCTCATATAAATCATTTTTTTTTGTATATTTGAAACTATCAAAATTAAAATCTTATTTGTTAAGAGTCCAGTACTTTATAATAAATCATACTCAAATCTTGCTTTTGGCCCATGCATTATCCCCAGGATTACAATGAGAAAACTTTAATCATTATATTTTTTTGTCTACACAATATACATACCATATGTTTAAATTATTAATTACTTGGGAGAGAACCATGACATTAATCAGTAATATTATACCACAAGATTATTCTCAAGATTATCTTAAAATGTTTAAAATTATTTCTTTACTTTTAATCCCTTTGCAGGAAAATGGCATGCAAAAAAACTATATATTGGAAATAATTAGTACAAGTTACAACCTAATATACTCAAGACCGCAGATATAAAATATAACCCGTCTCTATAGATATTTATAGAATTACATTCATTAATCTATAATGAAATCTTTGTTTGGCATTAAAAAAAAAAAAAAGAGATATTGCATTCGACCATTTGATTCAGTCAACTTATGTATAATTCTTTGCGTAAAATGTAAAATTAATTTTTTATTTAAATAAAAAAGTGTAACAATATAAAAATAGGGATGTCGTAACTTCGTATGTACATACTAATTTAGAGATAGATTAATACGAACAGCAAAACTTTTTTTTATACTAATTTTTTTGGATATATAATAAGTCACAATTTTTAAATAAATAATAAATATAGATATTGAGATTTAAATTTAAATTTAAAAATTTTTAAATGTCATTAAGTTTCGGATTTATCATTGTAACTTAATATCAATCAACAATTTTGAGATGAAGCCACCAGTTTGGAATCGGGCTTGACGGGGTTGATCCTTTCGAAATGTGTTGTTTTAAGTCTTAACCCAAGCTGGACCGCTTGACTATTGTTGGTGGCATGTCTATTGCTTGTTTGATTGCTGCTTATGTTTCGTAATTTTAGAATTGAAAAACTGAAAAACCAACTTGATCTGAGTTTAATTTTAAAACTAGAAAGAGACTGCCCAAGTTGACGAGGTAATATCACGAGGAGCGAAACTGAACGTCGAAGTAGGGGTTATTAATTATTTTTGTCTTTCCTCTGTTTATCTTCTACGTAGAGAACGATGTCAACCCACCAACCGATATACGCCACGTGGCTTCAACTGTTTATCTCAATGTAGTCTTTCTTTTCTCTTTTATTCCTTCTCCAAAATACTTGCCGTTAAATCATTTAAAGGCAGTAATTCCTACTTGAAATGACCAAAATATCCCTAAAAGTGAAGCCTGATTTTGGAGCGCCCTTTCGTCAGTTGGCAGCCAGTTTCGGGAAATGAAAGGAGGGTGTTTGGTAAATTAAAGAAAGCGGGTAGCCATGCAAGCCGCGAGCTGATAGCCGACAACGTGGACTTACGGTTCTTTGGCGGCAACACGTGGCCATGGTTTTCGTGATGCATACCAACGTGGCAGTTGTCAGAAAGTTTTAAAACGAAAAGGCCAAATGGCAAGGGAAATTATTGAAAAATGTAATTTTACCATACCAAAAAAACAACATTAATTCCAATGCCAAGTTAATTAGAAGTGCGCAAATACTTGAAAACAAACAAAAGAAAAGGAGAAGAAAAAGAAACAATTCATAATGATTCTCCATACCAAAGAAAAAAAGAATTAAAATGAAAAAAAAGTAGTATACCCTTTATGATCGAATTTTCTATTTCGAGAAAATATGAATATTAATTTATTCTTGCATGAAAAGCTTGATATTAGGATTTCAAGAACCTAACATATGCATATGAAACGTAATTATATTGAGTCTAGCATTAACTAAAAGCATCTTTTCAACATTGTTACAAGAAGCTACGAACTTATATCCCATGACCATAATTACAACTGAAATTTCAGTGAAAAGAAAAAATAAGGTTTCATGTGCAAGGGAATGAAAATTTCGTGAGATCTTCATCATTTGAAATGTATATCTGTCAATCGAGTTCTTCATTTTTTTTTTTTAACTTTTCTCATTGTGAACTGACAAATTTGGGTCCACTAAGAAAAGAAGAAAGTTAAACGATCGAAATGGTATATTGACTTGTTCATGAAATGCCGCGTAAGGTAGAGGTTAGAGAAGAGGGTAGGAAGCTAGGCATTGACGTAAGCAACTGGGGACAGCTATCAACCATGCGCAATCGAGCGGTCCTCCACCCCACCCATCCCTTCCCTTTTATACGGTCTTCATCTCTATCCCTCTCATTTGTCTGTCTGTCTGTTCTTTAATTCTTCTTCTCCTTCATTCTTCTGTCTCAAACCGAATAATCAACTTAACCACTAGTTCATCCAGGTAAGCTTTTGCATTTGCATGCAAAATCATCTTTGCTTTCAACATTCTATAGTCTCAATATTGTTTAGTACTTTCTCATGTCACCTTCTTTGTAGAATTTTTGCATCAGCTTATTATCGCTTGCCTAGATTACATATTTGGATGTCAAACCCCATTTTCTCTATTTTTCACATAATTTTGTTTGGTCAAAGAAGCCAACTTATTCCACAGAAGTGTAAAATTTGGTAAAATTTTGTTAAAAACTTATTTCTTTACATTTGCAAATTCTAACACTAACCCACCAACCAGTTTTATATATAATTTTTGCTGAACTTTCCAATGGAGATGGAGTCTTTCTTTTTCCTACTTAGCAAATTAACCTAGTTGAGAGACAAGCCTGAGTCGGACTCTCTCTCCCCATCTCTTTTTCAGTACTCTAGCTGGATAGCAACTTGTTGACAAAATAACCTTAACCGATTGACTCTCACCTGTGAAAAAATGAATGCCTACCTTACCAAAATCTGAATAAGTTTAGAAGTCATTTTTTTATATATTAAACGTTTGGAAACTATAGCTATTTGAGAATCGGGAGCCAAACCTTGTAGATGGTTTTTTTATTTATTCATTTTGGGGTCGGCATTTTTCTCTGATATCTGTCAATCAAAGAAAAGAGGTCAGAAGTGCTATGGAAATTCAAGACAAACAGACAAAGTGGACAGTCCATTTCATTCGCAATGAGACACAGCTTCTGCAAGTGCCTCATCAACACTGCTTTTCGTTTCTCTTTATATAGTTTTTATCCCTTAACTCTTTGTCAGGTCTTGATCGAATGGAAACGGTGTCTGTCTTTTTACCTCTCAAGAAGAAAAAAACACTTTTTTTTTGTTTGTTTTTTTCTCTTTCAAACAAACGCATGCTTAATTGTGATAACATCATCCATCTTATCCATTCGTCCATCAATATTCGAAACCAGTGTAAAACAGAAAAAACCCAATCTCAAGTTATAGAGAAGATCTCGAAATCTCAAACTTAAATGTATTTATAGTAACATTTCTTTGATTAATTTATATTTTTTTTGAAAAAAGTAATTTTCATTTGTTTCAACCCTTTTACTAAAACTCACTTGATGAGTTTGAAATCTAGACTTTCTTTTTTTAAAGAATAATTTGTTTATATAGTACTATTTGTTATAATAGTTTAGTAATGGAAACCCCGTTCTTGATGCATCATTTCTACCATTCACCAACACAAGACAACATCATTAGCTCAAACCTCTAGTTGTCCGTTTCCTTGAGAGAGCTGCACCACAAAGAGAGAGAGAGAGAGAGAGAGAGAGAGAGAGAGAGAGAGAGAGGGCTGTGTTCCAACTTCTCTTGGTTTTCATCAAAAACCCTCATGATTCTGTCTTTTTTCTTTTTTTTTTACTGTTTTCACCTTTTCTCCTTTTATCTATGAAATAATGGGTTTTGTTTTATAACACGCGCTAAGTATAATTTTCTTTCATCAGAGAGATAAAGAACATTGGGGGTGAGTGCTGCTCACTACCAAATGAGCTAGCAATCTGATGATTATGATAACGCTCGTCACCTTTTTAATTGGAGAGATCTCTCCAATTTGTTGATTATGATTTTGAGATGATGAAGTACAAGAGTGGGTAGTGCTAATTGCGGTGGTGAATTTGATGCAGAAACAACAGTTATGATGGAGTCAATGGAGTCATGTGTCCCACCTGGATTCCGGTTCCATCCGACAGACGAGGAGCTTGTTGGGTATTATCTGAGGAAGAAAGTTGCATCACAGAAGATTGATCTTGATGTTATCAGAGACATTGATCTCTACAGGATCGAACCATGGGATCTTCAAGGTATATAACTCACCAACATCCTTGTTTTTTTTTTTCTTTTGGTTTTGATCATCTTTTAGGGATTTTGTTTTACTGATCAATTATGCAGTCTGGGTTAAAATCCACAGTTAGGGTTTCACTCTTGCATGAGAACTTAATAACCCAAGGCATGGATGTTAACCTGAATATCTTTTACTCTTTTAATTATACAAATATATTAATGTTGATGAGCAGAGAGATGCCGAATCGGATATGAGGAGCAAAACGAGTGGTATTTCTTCAGCCACAAGGATAAAAAGTATCCAACAGGGACAAGAACTAACAGAGCAACCATGGCTGGTTTTTGGAAAGCAACAGGACGAGACAAAACAGTGTATGATAAATCAAAGCTGATTGGCATGAGGAAGACTCTAGTTTTCTACAAAGGAAGAGCTCCAAATGGACAGAAAACTGAGTGGATCATGCATGAATACAGGCTTGATGAATCCCAAGAGAATGGACCTCCACAGGCAAGCATACATATATATATATTAATATATTTGTTTTCAAAGAAAGAGTTAGGCATCCATTACTATCAGTGATGAAATAAAAAAATTTAGTGTCTGCCTTGTAAATTCTCCACATGTAACCTAACTTTTAGTGACGAAATAGATTTAGTTGAAACTTTGTCGCCGTACACAACTTAATATGAGGAATGGAATCACTTTTTTGCTTTTCATACAAAGATCATTTGCTTTACGAGTTTATATTTGCTTTTCTTCGAATTCCTTTTCTGACATGGGCTTTTCATCTCTCCCTTATTTATCAGTTTGTTAAAAGCAAAATTCCATTTCTCCTCTATGGTTTTCATATGTCATCACCTTTGGTTATAATATCTACTTCTCGTTACCAAACAGAAAGAAAGAAACGCTTGCAAAAGCCAAAAGAACACATATTCAAATTGAAAAAGGAAAAACTTTAAATTATCTGAAAATATAAATTAAAGCAAACAGAAAGCTTTTTTAATTAGTTTCTTAAGTTTTTGCAGGAGGAAGGATGGGTGGTTTGTCGAGCGTTCAAGAAGAGAACCACTGGTCAAACCAAGAGCAATGAAGGAGGGGACTCAAGCTATTTCTATGCTGAAGCAAGTGGTATTAGCTCCGTGGTTGATCCAATCAATTACAAATCGAGGCAACCCAATAGTTTTTTACCCCAAAATTTTTTGTGTAAGCAAGAGACAGACGCAGATAATTTAAACTGTGTCCACTCTGATCAGTTTGTACAGCTTCCTCAGCTGGAGAGCCCATCACTGCCATTAATAAAGAGGCCAAGCACGATATCTCTAATATCAGAGAATACTAATTATGAAGGAGAAGAAGAACAGAATACAATAATGTGCAACACCACCAAGAGAGTCACTGATTGGAGAGCCTTTGACAAGTTTGTTGCTTCTCAACTGAGCCAAGAAGACAGATATGATGGTGATCAAGGACTTTCAAGCTTTGACGCCAATAATAATAATAACTCAGACATGGCATTGGCATTGCTGTTATTGCAGAGTAGCAGTAGACAAGAAGGGAACAAGCTGAGCGAGTTCTCGAATTAAAGTTCAGATTGTGATCTGGGAATATGAATATTTGATAAATGAAGGAAAAAAGAGATCACAAAGAGGCTTTTATCGTTTAGTATTATAAACATTTGATGCATAATGAGACATATATTTGTAAAAATATGGTTGCATGCAAAGTATTCAAATTAGCTGGAATTTTGGGGCTAAGAATTTTTTGTTAATGCAGTAGGCTAAGTTCTTACATGTAACAATATTGTCATGCGATCTCTCTCCCAAATAACGCAAAGGCTTAATTGAATAGGGTTTCTACCAACCATATGACTCCCATCATCCTTATTGGGACAGTGTGGTTGTGACTACAGACAAGGTCTGAACAAGACTTGAAGATAACTAGCATGCTACCATGATTCTTTCATGCTTGCTATTTTTTTCCCCGCATATATCTCTTGCCGGGGTCATGTTGAAGGGAGAAAAGTCAAGGTGAATGTCACAGTTCTGAAGCAGCTTCTCTTTTGTCTCAAGCAGCTATTCAAAGCTTCTACCACATTTTGTTTCAAGCGACTTGATTCTGCGCAATTAGAAAACTTTGGTTAATATGGCATAATACGTAATGAACCCTTGAAATGTTGCTAAGAAGCTGCAAGAAATTTACTCAAGTGCATGCAGACACAGTAACAGCAAGAAACTTTCAAAGAGCCTAGAAAATATAAGCCAATAATGTGAGGCCTGCCAAAGCTCATCCAACTTTGTCATACAAGTCTATTTGGTCTAAACTTTGTTTATATTCAGATTGGTTTCACTTTCATGACATTTTCTTGGCAACTGGATATGTATTACTATTCATGCTTAATTTGATTTTCTTGGCAACCGAACATGATGGAGAATAAAAGTAAGACCAAGGGCAATCTCCAGAAGAAAGTAGAAGAGAAAATGATTGATTTAACTTGATCAAATATAGTCAGCATGTTCGCATCTGGATGTGGGCTTGGTGGGTCCTTGGCTTGTCTAGCATGCGCTGGGCACGGTGGCTCCTGTTGGGCATGCCTTGCAATTGTCGTTATGTACAACTTTTTTTCTTTGACCCCGTTTATGGCTAGCCTTCCCATGTCCTCTTAGTGCCACACATCAATCAAACCGAGCCACAAGAACAACAACATTAATTTTCTTTAATTAACACTTGATAATTACTTTTTCATCATAATTAAGAGATAATTAATTACCTTTTCTCTAACAGTTGCACAAAGTTCTGAAGGGGTACATTAATTTGTCTGCTTTTCCTAATGTGAGTTTGTGACAAAATGATTCTGTGATTGGACAAAGAGAAACGTTTCGGGTGGACCAAACGGTCCTGATCCAACATTTTCCATTCATATTTAGGCCCTAACCTGATCTTTACTGTAATTGTCACGTTAGCATGTTTCTGTACTTTCTGGAAGTTTGTTATTGAGCCAATGGCTCTCCTTAACCCCTCATCATGTCAATGGAGAAGGTTTAATTTGTTCACTCTGGTTATTCGAATCACGTAAACTAATCAATCAAGTGTTTATACACAAAATGTTTTGATTGATGTAAACACATGTTCAATGCATTGGAAATGGTAACAGATCCCTCGACATTGAGCAATACTCCTAAATGAGGTCCCAACAATCAAACCAAATGGGCTGTGTCTGGAGAGTGATAAAATGAACCTAGGCCTGTTAAATTGGAGCTTTATAGAATGCCAAGAGGTTAAAGGAAAAAGTAAAGCAAACCAATGATTCATTCAATAAACCATTCCATGCGCATGATTCAAACAGCCAGCCCCAATTACTAACATCACCGTGCATGATGCATCAGATTATTCAAATATAGAACCTCCAAGATTAAGTCAGAGGAAATCTGACCAAAATTAACTAAGGAGGTCTTTATCAAAGTCACATAGAAAAACCAATAGAATCCACAATAGCATACATGCATCGCATCATAATTTTAGGATCACCGACCAACTTAAAATTCCAAAGAGAACTCTATTTTTTTGTTGGTGATGAGTTGGTGAGTCGAAGGTGATCTGGAGGTCAAGTTGGGACTGGAAGAGACTTACAATAAGAAAGTATGATCAGGGGCATTCAAGTTATATTTTGAGATGCGCTCTGACGCTAAATCAAACAAATATCAAAGGTTTGACGAAGATAATGTACAGAAAGAGGTTAAGGATGAAGGGCTTTGGAGGCTAGCACATGATCGTACCTGAACTTTTTCTTTACTTTATATAAGAATGAAACTTTTTTTATTTTTTTTAGATAAACTGAATTTTTATTTATCCAAAATCATCAAAAATCTATTATAATATAACTATTTTATAACTTAACAAACAAAAAAAAAAAACAATTCGTTAATAATTTATTTTAAAAATTTTATATAAATTTCAATCTTTATTAAGTTTTTTATTTATTGTATCTCTTATAATATATTTCAATTCATGCAATCTGTATCTTACAATTTTCTTGATTTTATTTATTATTTTATGCAATTATCATCTTCCCTTGCTTGAATGGAACTTTTTCTTTCTTTACTTTATATAAGAATAATGTGAAGGTGATTTGGACGGTTATTAACTTAAGAGTGAGTGGTCATTAATAAGAAATTTACGTGGAATTTAAAAAGAAATTACGTGAATAAATGCAGATCGCATTTAATGTGTTTTGACAAGTTGAAAGTAAATTGACCTATTGTGACATATTAATGTAACATTAGCGAAAGATTCAGGTCTTATTTAGGGAGAGAGCCTTAACAGGCGAGCTCTTTATAGGCGAACCTTTGGATATAGCAAAGAGTGTGGCGGCGAATTTCTATGATGATGTGGCCATTAATTATCTTTGACTTGATAATGTAAAGTTCGATTTAATTGACCAAACGATTGGGCATAACCGAACCAAAAGGAACAGTTAATCCTTTGATCATTGGAGATTATTAAGACAACGTAATACTAGTTACAAAACCTCTTCATTAAATATAGAATATTTATCTAACCAAAGCATTAAATGCTTTCTCACCAATCGCAAGTTCTTACACCATTAAAATCGTCAATTTATTATCAGCAACCTTGTCAGGACTTGGGACAGAATTAGAAGAAACAAAAGAGACAAAATGCCACTACAGGTAAAATGACAGAGCAAGCAACACAACCGTCAAACATGATCAAGAAAAAATTCAGTCATAATATTACTAATATTATTTTTTTTAGTTACGTTAAAAAGATAAAACTTTAATACAAATAAAAAAAGAAAAACTTTTGATATCTCTTCGATCGTGAAAACTTGAGAACAAAATATTACTATCATTATTCGTAATCTAGAAAAAAGATCCCACGGGCCCAAACCCAAACCACTGATGGCAAAGATACGTTCAGAATAAATGTACAAAAGTCCTAACGACACAAAACCCAACACCACTAATAATTTACCATGAGGCATGTGATGTGATAATCATGAATAGAATCATGTTCCCATTCCCAGTCCCATTCCCATTGCCGTGCTTTGATTTTCATCTTATCATTATTTAACTTGATTCAACACTCAAAAATATGGAGAAAACCAAATTCTAAGGCGAATTCAAAGAGTTCCATACATACAAAAAGTCTGTTTTCCATTGCAGATCATAACTGATAAGATCAACCAAAAGCCCCCTACCTTTTTTTCAAAACCCATATTTAACTCATACAACCAGACTACAACTAGATATATATCCACAAAAATAAAACCTAAAGCACTTTCTACACTTTGTTTTAAGCAGTGGCCTTCTTGGCTTTTTTAGCAGCAGGTGACTTGATAGATTTAGGCTGCTTAGGTTTTGCAGGAGTTGATTTCTTCTTAGCTCCAACTTTCTTTGCTGGCTTCTTTGTTGCTTCAGACTTCCGTGGCTTTGCAGCAGCTCGCTTAGGTTTCTTCTCCGTTTTAGCCCTTGTAGCAGTGGCTTTCCCTTCTTTTCCAGCCTCGGAGAGCTTGTAAGAGGCCTTGATCTTTATCAGTTTGCCTCTGGCAGCTGAGTTTTTAAGCTGAAGAGCTAATATTTTCCTGAAATTCGCTGGAAGCACCGCTTTGTGCTTCTCTTCCATGTACTTGGCTATGGCGTACGGACTCGAACCACTCTTATCGTTCAGAGCCAGGAGCGCCTCCTTAATCATCTGCACAATAATCAACCGTCTATTGAACTTCCAAAAAAAAAAAACCCATAAAAATAACGATTTAAGAAACAAGAAATTACCTGGAAATAAGGAGGATGGGCAGCGGTTTTTGGCTGTTTAGGCCTTTTCTCCTTCGGAACTTTTGGTTTTTTCTCCTTTGGCACCGCTTTGCGTTTCCTCTCCTTGACAGGTTTCTCCGCCGGCTTTGGCTCCTCTGCTGCCGACGGCTGCTGCTCCGTAACCGGAACTTCAGGTTCAGCGGTGGCCATAAGTGATCACAGAAACAAAACAGGTACAATTGAGAAAGATTTCACAGTATCAAGGAAGGAACTCAGGAGGAATCCAGAGGAAAGGCTTTGCTTTGATATTCCGTGGAAATGACACTCTGGGAATTTAAAGCCAGGGCGGGACCTGCGTCAGACGCCAGTGTCCGTCTATGATTGGTTGATTTAGAGAGACGAGGATTGCGAACATGGACAAAGAATTATTGGAGGCGTACACGTGGAACGAAATCAAAGCTTAGTTAGTCTGGTATTTTTACTTTGTAGTGCCAAAAATGGGATAATTCTGCTGCCTGTGTGGACAGGCTTTCAAAACATGGCTGTGGGTTTTTTTCTTTTTTTTTTTTCATTCCGGGGTGTGTTTTCTGATTGATTTTGGGGCTTTATTTCTTGGGATTGCCTTTGATTTTTGCCACGATTTTTTGGTCAGATTGTAGCTAAAGAAGAGGTGATTATAATGTGATTCAAACGGGGTAAAATGGTTGCAATTTGAAGGTGTGATTTGAAGCCTTTAATTAAAAACAGTTTGCTTCATGATTTTCTCTTTTTTTCCTTGGAAATATTTTGTTTTTCCATTTCACTTTTGAAATACTACAATCTTCAATCGTGTAATATAGTAGTAAATGCAACTATTCATTAGTTAAACAAGTTTCAGAAATGAAAATATCACTATTTTTTTCCTCTACATCTTTTTTTTCTATCCTAAATTGTTATTTTTACTTCTTGAAAATAGTTTTACCGTGTACTTATAACTAGTGTAATTTTACTAAAAAAATCCACTTGATTTTTTTCTTTTTTCTTTTCTTTAAAATTACTTCATTTCAATGTTAAAGTATATTGTAGGCTTCAACAAAGACACATTGAATTTACATTAGATTTTTTTTTTTTCTAACTTGTTTAATTTTAGCAGCAGAATTGACTTATTTTTTACGCCAAATAACGGAAAAACAATTTGACAAAGAAGAAGGTCCCTTGTTTAGAAAACAGCTGATACACCAAATTGAATCCATGGTTTTGATATTTGTTGGACATTTGAAAGGAATCTTATCCACCCGCCAGAAAAAAGAAACGAAAATTGAAACTTTTACTTCTTACTTCTAGCAATGGCTGATATTGTTGAATGCATATCAACGGAAAGCTCCCATTATCAGTCAGCTGGATCACACAGTTTTACTTAAATTAAGTACTTACCAGGCAACTTAGTAATGAAAGATGAACCAGATTTCAACATTAAGATTAATCCAACAATGTAGAGAGAGCAATATTGACTTGATATCTAGACAATAATCAAGACAAAGTTGACATCAGATGCAATAGATGAATAAAAATGAAACTTAAACTTTCAGGGAATGGATTAAAAACAATAGTGATAACAAATGTAATTCAAGTTTGGACAAATTCATTGTCGGAAGAGATGGAAAACAACACAGAAGTTGCTGACACAAATAGTGTATCTTCAGACCAGAGTTATGCCTACGAATCAAAGTTCAATTTACAGAGAAGCTTAATTAGATTGACACTTTTTATCTCATCCGTACATAATTGATATATTCTTTTTTCCTTTATTATATATTGAGATTGATGTTTATTTTGTTCCTGACACCAATACAGATAACAGAGTAATGTTGCTAGTTTTGTTTTTGTTTTTTGTTTTTTGTTTTTTTATCATTTCCTATTAATTAAAGACAACTTTCAACTCTTGTCACATAAGAGGGAGTGCTGCATCTGCCGACAGAACATAGTTGTAGTAATAAGCCATTTTTTAAACCTTTCTTTTTCAAAATTAATAATCAGGAATCACACCATTAAATCTTGATTAACAATTTATGAGGGCATCAATCAAGGTTTTGGTTTTCCCAAGCTTATTTGGCCACTGGCCATGCATGTCTGGACACATCACGTGATCTAATAACTACAAGTACATGAGTAGCAACCCAAACCACTGACACAAACAGATCACAAGATGAACAAAATTTCATGCTCTGATCATGTACAATGTACATCCATTAACCCACTTTTACTTCGAACAGAAGTTATGAGATCCAGATTCCAGCATTCCAAGACAAGAATCAAGCTTAACTGCAAATTTATCATTACGAATTCCGCGGAATTTAAAGAATCAAACAACAAAAACCTTCTAAAAGAAAACGTTAAATAAAACTATAAGAATCAAATAAATACCCTCCCCAACTATAAAGATCTAGGAAACCAACCAAAAGCAGGAAATTTTGGATGGCTATAAATTAAGGCTGTTGCTGGGCATCCATATAACCAGCATCAACCAATACCTTCTCCCTCCTAGCCAACTCAATATCTTCATCAACCATCATCTTCACCAATTGCTCAAACCCAACTCTGGGTTTCCACCCAAGAATCTTCCTTGCCTTGCTCGAATCACCTTTCAAATTATCCACTTCTGCAGGCCTAAAATACCTCTTATCAATCACAACATGATCTTTCCAATTCAACCCAACACACCCAAATGCCACTTCCAAAAACTCCTCCACCGTATGCGACTCCTCCGTTGCCACCACGTAATCGTCCGGCTTCTCTTGTTGCAGCATCATCCACATCGCTTCGACGTAATCCCCAGCAAAACCCCAATCCCTCGAAGCTTGCAAATTCCCCAAAAACAACTTGCTTTGCAACCCAATCTTGATCCTCCCAACAGCACGAGTGATTTTACGGGTCACGAAATTCTCTCCTCTCCTGGGGGATTCGTGATTGAACAGAACTCCGTTACAGGCGAAAATCCCGTATGCTTCCCTGTAATTCACAGTGTACCAATGCGCAGCGCATTTGGAAGCTGCGTATGGAGATCTGGGGTGGAATGGGGAATCTTCAGATTGCGGTGGAGGAGTGGAGCCAAACATTTCCGAGGATCCAGCTTGGTAATACTTGATATGGGTCCGGCCAGTGGCGGCGATGTGGGATCTAACAGCTTCCAACAATCGGAGGGCTCCCGTAGCCACCACGTCAGCAGTATAATCGGGGATTTCAAAAGAGACCGCTACGTGGGACTGGGCAGCCAGATTGTAAACCTCGTCGGGTTGGATAGTGTCGATCCAACAACGAAGCGAGGAAGCGTCGGTGAGGTCAGCGTAATGGAGCTTCATCCGAGCCTTGTGGGCATTGTGTGGGTCAATATAGATGTGATTAATACGCTGCGTATTGAAGTTGGAAGAGCGGCGGATCAAGCCGTGGACTTCGTAGCCCTTGTTGAGGAGGAACTCGGTCAGATATGAACCATCTTGACCGGTGATGCCAGTGATCAACGCGATCTTGCAGTCAGGAGTTGCGTCACCGTTAATGGTGGAAGATTCGAAACCGGCCCTGTCGGTTGCCATTTTTGGAGGTCGAATATGAGGGAAAAAGAAATTGACAACGGATTTCCAGAAACAAATGAAACAAGAACACGCTTCCAGTGATTTTAGTTCTAAGCGATTGGAGGTTTTAAAATAGTGAGAGGAGTTTAGAGAGGGTAAAATGGTCAATGAAGAAGATATAAACATCCTATGAACTTACGATTTTGTCCTTGAGAAGTTAATCGTTCGTCGTGCGGTGCAATTTGATTGGTTGAGTGTGGTGAATTGTCAACTTGTTATTGGTTGATGACATGAGAGGATTGGACTTCATAGGTTATGCCAAACCATTATGTTTTTTTAATAGAATTTTATTAAATGTAGTAATCTAAAACATAACGTCAACACGATAACGAATATAAAATATAAATGTAATATAATTTAAATTTTAATAATAATTATATTTAAAATTAATAAAATTTTAAATATATATTTTATATTTTTATATTAATACAAATTATAATATAATTTTTATGTAAAATACAATATAATTATATAAATTTTAATATTTTACATTATATAAATATATAAATTATTAAATTTACTTATTTTATTAACGTAGGTCATGTCAAAATTGTAGAATGACAAATAAATCCGTTAACCTCACTAAAATCTCCCATGACCCAATCCCAACTTAAACATTTTTTTTTTTTTTGGTTGAAACTTGAAATGCCTTTTAACTTCCTATCTTTTTCCTCTCCATAAATCAAGCACATAAAATTTCAAGACTCCTTTGTTCCACACAGGGCGTTTCCATATCAAATGACCGTGTACAGAATTGTTGAGACATAAGGTCGTTGGTTGGGTTGGAGAGGGAGAAGGAGGAGAAATATATTCATTTAACCAAAGCTTTTATTTACTATAAACAAGCAGACAATCTCACACCAAAACAAAAATGGTTTCAAAATTAAATGTGCCTCAGCACACAAATCGTCCAAGCATTTAGGTCATTGTCAAGTGTATAAAAGCAATCAATAACATTGGCCATAGGCATTGCCGGAAGTAATTTCAGAATATTCTTGGATACATTTTCCGAACAGACTGAACTAATTGCTCAACATATCCAGGCATAATCACCAATAATCAACCGGTTCTCATGATGACGTGAACCCCGCTATCGGTCTCCACAACTTCACTTATCTCACCAACCTTAAGACCATATGTTGCATCCTCGAATGGCTTTTGCATCTGGCCCCGACCAAAAGGACCTGCATAAAAAGTTTGTATGAGGTATTTTTTGGATTATGGCCTGTAATGCTAGTACAAACTAATGCAAGGTCCTGGATAGTTAACAATAATCAGAATAGGGGCAGGTTATTTGTAGGATGTAGCAGTATTCAAGGTCAATAATGACATAAAATATATAGCATGACCATAATTGTAAAATGTCCTAGAATTGAATGATAGGCTAACGTTCTTTGCGGATGAACTAATGTGCCTTGGAACCTTGGGATCAAATCCTGTAGCCAAAACTCCATCATGAATAAGAATTAAGAAGAGTTATTGGGAAAATTCAAATTGTCCATTTTATATATGTATAAAAATCCATTTTTATCTTTATTTCTTTTTCAGAAGCACAAGATACAGAAGAACACAGGAAAAGGGCCTTAACCTAGTAAGACAATTGCTGAAATATTACCACCATGAGAAAGAAAATGAAATCAGATAACAGGCAAAAGAATGTGATGTAAAGGGATTTTGTCAAATTCTAAGCTTCTATGTGTTTTAAGTAAAATAAAATGCCATATCTCAATTGTAAAAACAGAGTCAAAATCTTGACTTTCAAAGCAAAACACAGCCACTGAAATTGATAAGACTTTAATCCTATAAAGCAATACACTAACACAGAAGCAAACTAATCAACAAAACTAGAGTTTCTAACATATTGGATATCTCTTAAGCTGATGAATAACTCAGCAACAACCTGTTGAGCAAACCAAGTTGACAATCACACCTCCAATTGCAGGGGATCCCAAAATTCTAATATCTTTAAGACTTGAAACCCTAATTCCCCTTTAACCCAGTAGTAACCAAAGTGCCCTATTAAACAAGTATATTGAGATTATCTTTTCAATTCTTGTATTAACTCCAAGCTTCCTTTTTTTCCTCTCATAATTCAGCTTCTGGCGAGTTTCTAAGCAACCAAACAGAAAATAGAATTCAATTAAATGACAACTAGAGTTCCGAATAGAAGTCCCCTATTCTCATATCTAAAACTAAATCTGCAAAATCCTTAAAAGCTTCAACTTTTGCACAGCAATCAAGTCAACAAACTCACCGAGATCCCCGCCGCGTTTAGCGGAGCTGCAATCGGAGTAGCGAGAGGCAACCTCGTCGAACTTAGCCTTGCCTGAAATGATGTCGTCTCGAAGGGCTTTGAGCTGTGAGACAGCGGAGTCTCTGGTGGTGTTGGAGATGACGCGACCTTCTGGATCCTTCCAAGATGCCTTACGGCGAGAACCTTGATGCTTGATCAGTATGTGAGATGCCCTCACTTGATTGGCTGCCGTTGACGATGACATCTCGCTCTTCTTCTTGTGGTGGTGATGGTAATTAGTGGAGATCGAGGATTTCTTCCTCTTATGGCCCGAATCTATACTCACAACGTCCGAGAAAGCAGGGTTTTACCTTCTGACGTGGCGCTCACTCATTGGTGGTAAAAATCAATTTAATTATCTTAAAATCCTATGTAGTTTCGGAGTTTTATATTGGATGAGACGTAAGCATATTAATTCTATTCGTTACATATTATTTTATTAGTGATCAGTCTTAAAAAAGACATCAAGATAAATTTTAGTTTTTTTTTCTTTTTTAATGTAAGATTTTATCCTCCTCGAATGATAAAAAATAAATAAATATTAATTTTTAAAATAAATATTTAAAATTTTAATTTTTTTAAAAAAATTTAATCATTATAATATAATATCATTAATTTATCTCCTTAAATAAATAATATCATCTAATTTATTAATAATATATCAAATTTATTTATTTATAATATATCAAATATAAATATATAATTAAGATATTCTTGTAATTCAATATACATATATATATTTTTGCTTTTTCATAACGATTTTCACAAGTACAAAACGTATTTAATCATTAAAATATTATTATAAATATGCAAAAATATAACATTAAATCCAATTTCCATCCAAACAGTCAACATATGCTAAGATCATATATGGAACCCACAAAATCAAGTCGCCCAGCCTGATGAAGCAAAACTGAGTTCATTCGTCTGAAGCTCGAATCCAATGGCCAACTAAACTATACATCTCTCAAAACAGGCCAACCTTTTCTAATAATTTCATTGATCTTTGCATCAATCTGTTTTTGAGTCCTTGGGGGGCAAAGCTCTGCAGCATATCCGTTTAATTTGGCTGCCAGACTTGACCTCTCCAGCTCATTTTCAGGCAGGTTTCCTATCAGTTGTAGAAGCAATGGATGGCGTTTGAGCTCAAATTTCTGTACATTTAGAAAATTGAAATGTATTAATCATTTTACCAGTCAGTTCCACAAATACGTTGACCTTCTAAATCTATACAGCACATCTGAGCAAGATAGCATACATTTTTCAGTTATCCAAATTCATATGCACATAGAAAACCCGGTTAGAGGATCAGTAGATAATTTTTGTAACACATCAGTCATGCTTGAGCTTGCCAACTACATTGATCTAAAAGCAAAAATTTTAAGCATTGTGGAATAATGGCAACTAAAATGACAAAGATTGCAAATAGACAAGAGGAAAAACAATTCTCTTCAAAACTGGGATGAAATTCAAATTATTTAGTTCTTCATACCGTCCATACCCAGCATTATCCTAACAACAGAAATCTTTAGAATCCTTATATATTGCTAAACAAGAATCCAACCCAATGATCGCGTTATTTCAGGTTAAAATGTACCCAAAAGTTAAAAAAAAGATATTCAAAGGCAAGTTACAACTTTTGAGCAACTTGTGGATCACAAGAAACAACAAACAATACCCAATTACTCAAACAAGAAAAGGAAAAAGGAGAGCATTAAACCTGATGTTCAGGTTCTGCAGGATAAAATGATCCAAGTTGTTGAATTTGAGTTGTCACAATGCTGCTCCGAGACTTGGTTTGTTCCCTTTCTTTGCTCATGGAAGCTAATCTAGCCTCTTCAGTCCCATTGATAAAAATAATAGACCTGGTTGAATTGAGATATGAAAGCTTATCAATAAAAGGTATGAAATGAAGTAATAATATGGTGTTTTTTGGGTCATGATGGTTACCTGTATTGGTTACCTACATCTGGACCTTGGCCAAATACCTGTCTTGGATCATGACTAGACCAAAAAATCTCCAGAAGTTGCCTGAAATTAATCGCCTTGGGATCATATTCAACCTGATCATCATTCACATACCCATATTCTATCAAATTCAAATGGAGATAACAACAAACTGTCACAACTCACAAACTCAGCAACTAACTCAATAACAGATCAGTGTCTATATTTTCTCAGGAATATAAACAAAATTATTCCTGATTAAATATGACCACAAAGTTCTATATTTCGAAACAATGAAAGGAAAATAAATATAAATGGCATTTTAAAAGAGACGAAGAGAAATAACAGACCAACACAGACTCGGCATGGTCGCCCAAACTTCTGTATTCGGGGTTGATTTTGGATCCACCAGTGTAACCAGCAGTAGTTCGAACGACACCGTTTAAACATCCGAAGACGGCTTCCGATCTCCAGAAGCTACCGAGAGATAAAACCGCGGTTTTCAGGGACGGTTCTGATAGTTCCCTGGGAATGCTTGAGATCCGATCCGGAATCCGAATGGAAAAAGCTGTATCGGCACAGAGAATTGACAATGAAGCCAAAGTTAAGAAATTGAGGAGAAGGTTCCTCTCAGCCGAAGCCATTTCTTTTCGGATTCTCTAACGGACAGAGAGAGAGTGTGAAAGAGAAGGAAATTCCGGGTCGGTCAAGTATCCATAGCCATGCTAAGAGTGGGCCACGTTTGTTTTGGAAAGGATGCTGAGCCCACTATAAAGTCCATCGGGCATTTGTGATTGTAAAGATACGCACCAGCAACCAAGATCCATATTTCTTTTTGTTTTTCGGCTCGTAAAACTTAAACCTTGTTCTTTTGACCAATATCAAATTCTTAATTCTTAATTCTAAATTCTGTAGCTGTCTGTAGCTGTCATAGGGAATTACTTTCTGGCACCATTCAGGATTCAGTTATGTTTGAAAACAGCCATTATGAAAGGCTACAGACAGAACAAGGATCTAAAACAATGACATAAAACATTTGAGTAAAAATCCAAATTGAAAACATAGACATCCCTCAACCAACTCCAAACAGTACCATTATCTGAAAATTCAAACAAAATTTCTAGCAAAAATGTGCTTAATACTCTTGAATGCTAATATAAAGGCCAAAAGAACTAAAACAAGTAAAATCATAGGCCTAAGCCTTATCAGCCTTGGCAGCAGTGGCAGCAGCTTGTCCTCTGAGCCTACCAGTCCTCCTTGCAGCAATAAGACCAACCTTCTGTCCAGGAGGAGCGTCACGCCTAACAGTACTAGCATGACCAATGTGTTGATGGTTACCACCTCCGTGGGGATGCTCAACTGGGTTCATAGCCACACCACGCACCTTAGGCCAGCAGTTCCTCTTCACCTTAAACTTGTGGTAAGCATTGCCAGCCTTAAGAAGAGGTTTCTCGGTCCTACCACCTCCTGCAACCTGGCCAACCATGGCACGACAGCCGCTTGGAACAATCTTCTTGGCACCAGATGGAAGCTTGATCCTGTAAAGATTACACACCAAAAGGTCATTGCCAAAATAACTAATTACTCCAAACTTCCACCACCATGTCCATCTATAATTGATCACTACCCAAAATTTCGCATGTAATCAACTAAACGACTAAGACAATAAAATTTAACATGACAGAGGCCAGTGAAAGTCAACTAAACACTATGCTAAAACCTGAATACCGGATTGAAATCAGAATCCGTGTGCTTACATTTCATCCATCAGTTAACACTATAACAACAATTGTATCCACCAATTGCATTAAAGTTCTTTTTCATTACCTAGGGGTACATTTAAGCACAGGCATAGATAGTAAACCCTAGATTGTAGCAAAATATACATATATAGGGCAAAGCAATAACCAAAGCAATACAAAAAAAAAAATCAAATAATAAATCCAAATAACAATAACATATAAAACAGATCAAAATAAAAATTTAAATTAAGAGAGAGTAAGAACCAGAAACCTGGTTGTGTCGTTATCAGGGTTGTGACTGATAACAATAGCATAATCACCAGAAGACCTAGCGAAAACCCCACGATCACCAACGTGATGTTCGACGTTGCAAACGACAGCTCCTTCAGGGATAGATCTAAGAGGCAACACATTTCCGACCATAAGAGTAGCCTTCTTACCACAGTACACGAACTGTCCAGTGTACATACCCTCGGCAGCAACGAACAGTTCCTTCTGCTTCTTGTAACGGAAAGGGTGACGGAAGACCACGCGGGCTAAGGGCGCGCCACGGCCCGGGTCGTGGATGACTTCGGTGACCACACCTTTTAGGTAACCATTTCGTTCGCCGAAGTCGAGACTGCGAAAACGGGCGGGACCCTTGCGGTGGTGGGTGTGGGCCTTGAAGACGGAACCCGCACCCTTACGTTGAGCTCGGATGACACGACCCATTCGGTGAAAGTTTGTGCGGCTATGAGGAGACCTCTCTCTCGCAGGCGGCCGATGGCAGCGAGCAGTGAAACGGGGGTTGAAGGCTAGGGTTTGGGGTCTAACAAATATATTTTCCTGATTCTAGGGTTTTAAGGGCTAATTGTTGGGCTTTCTTTGGGTTTTTGCGCTAAAAAAGATAGAAATTAAAATGAAGAGGCCCAGATTTAGGCCTAATTACTCTGGGCCAGTCTTTAATTTAGAAGCCTTTAGAGACCCAAAGGCCAATTTCAACCCAAAAGAAAATTTTTAGACATAATTTTTTGCTATTTTACTTTTTAAATTTGTTTATTTCATAATACATTTTAATCTATCTTTAATGACGGTGAATCCAATATTCAAATAACCCCTAATAGAAAAAAATCAAGTACTTTAAGCATTATATTTTCTCTTATATTTTTTCTTTATGTATTTTTTTTATTTACTTAAAATTTTCTTTCGAATATTTGTAATTTAAAATAATTTTTATAAAAATAAAAAAATATAAAAATATCAACTTATACTTTTTAAATTTAAAAAAATGAAAATATGTTAAGACATGTAAAAAATATAACTATTTAAAAGATAAATTATATCAATAATTTTTTGAATCTACTCAATAAAATTTAATTTTGCAGTAATTAATTAAAAAATAATTTGAGCAAACATTCCAAGTCATAGGATAAATTAGTGAGTAATTTCACTATATTTTTAACTAATTAAAAATATTTTTTCGCTTAATTACGTCTGTAAATTTTTAATCAAAATTAGCTCTTTTAATAAAAAAAATCATATTTTATCCAATTGAAATGTTTAAAACAAAATCTATCTATTCATTTTAATTTTATAATTATAATTAAGTCAAGTCAAGATTTCACTATATTTTCAATCTTAATTTTTCTCCACATTAAACTCAAAATTTATATTGTGTCAAAAAAACTCAACATTTATGCAAGACAAAGGGAACACCTAACCTAAGGCTTCAATCTTCAATGAGCTTACCATGATTAAACCATTAACCTAAATTTGTACAATAAACCATTTAAAGAGAAATAAGTAGCACATCTTTTTTTTTTTAAATTTGATTTCATTGAATGACTAACTCTAAATTGTAAAATTATAACATTATGACTTAGGTACATTGTTGATAAAAACCATTAAAATCCATCAACTTGTTGGTTATGAAATAAATTAGATATATGCAACTATTGGGACAATTTATCTTCACTTTATTTGATACAAAGTTGCAATTATTAGAAAAAAAATAATAATGAAGGTTTCATAACTTTGAAGCATTAAAGAGGTTAACTAGAGTTGTACTTTTACCAACCATGTGGTGAAAATTAATGTAGTCCTTTCGTAAATTATTGAAAGCCCCACACCTTTGAAAAGAAATAATAATTAAGCTAAACCTTTAAAATAAACTTCAAATTTGATCTTGGTTGTTTATAAAATGATATTTATTAATTTAATAAATTTTTTTATTCGCATAATATAAAATATTAATAATTTATTATTTTATATTTTATATAAAAATTATATATTAAGATTCATAATTTATATATTTTTAAAATTTTTATTACATTCGTATATAATTTTTATTAAAATTTTAAGTTGTCATTTTTTATATTATTTTATTATATTTTAAATTATTAAATTTAATATTTTTTTACTCTCCCATAAAAAATATATATATTCTTTTAAAATTTAAAATAAATTACTTTATTCTAAAACTTATTTTAAAATAAATTATCTAACACTTTTTGCCCATGCCAATCAAAGATACCTTGTTCAATGGGGTCCCCAGAGAAGCCAACTAATTATTAATTAATCAGTGTTAGCTCCAAATTTTTGTTCAATATTTGTCCCGAATAGCAAAAACTTTTGAATCTTGGCCGTTAATCGGCGCAAGGCAAACGGCCCACCAAGTGTCCACAAAACACCATAGGACTCCGTCTAGGAGGGGAGATGCAGTGTTGCCCAGAATCCACTACCACGTGTCTGATGGTGACAAGTGCGCAAATCATCGGAAAATCAATTTCAAAGCTTTTTTAAAAGTTGACAAGACGCCGTCGCTGTTTCCCATTTCAGGGAGCGTTTTAAAAGTGGGCCAACCCGCTCCTGCCATCGTCTTGTCTCTGTTCTCTCTCCACATTGTGAAGAAGGATAAAATTTGTGAATGATTTTTAACTCTTCAAATCAATTCTGGTTCAGTGATCGCTGATAATCTGCATTTCATCTAGTAAGTTCAATTCAGTTTTTTCTTTTTTTTTATTACTTTCATAGTGAAAAACAAGAGTTTTATCTGTTTTTGTTTTTTTTTTTTGTTTTTCAGGGTATAAAATATATTCCGAAATGGACCGGCGAGCTTGGCCATGGAAGAAGAAATCTTCCGAAAAAGCTGGAACTGACAAACAGGCAGTTGTGTCAGATGGAACCAGTGCTCCATTGTCTTCCTTAGCATCTCTTGGAGATCAGGTTGGGTATTTTTAGTTAAAAAGGCCATAAAATTAAACCATTTATGAAACTTGTTCCTGATTATTTGGTGTTTGGGTTTTGTTATGCTTTGCTGTTTGCTGACAGGAAAAATGTAAGAAGGCAAACTATATTCAAATATCCATGGAATCTTACTTACATTTGACGGGGTTGGAAGATGAAGTTCACAAGTTAAAGGATCAAGTCAAATTATCTGATGATGAAGTGAAGGATTTGAAAGGGAAGCTATCTGTAGCTCATTTGGAGATCAAATCTAAGGATGGTTTGATTAGCCAACATGCTAAAGTTGCTGAGGAAGCTGTTTCAGGTATGGGTTGGAAAATTATTTTCACTTGTAATCCTACCGCTAAGAGTTATGATTGAGAACTTTTATGTACTTTTTAGGATGGGAAAAGGCGGATGCAGAAGCTATTGCATTGAAACGACAACTTGAAACTGTTACTCTCTTGAAGCTTTCTGTAGAGGATAGAGCATCCCATCTAGATGGTGCTCTTAAGGAGTGTATGAGACAGGTAAGGAATGTGAAAGATGAAAGTGAGCAGAAATTGCATGATGTGGTTCTAGCCAAAACTATACAATGGGACAAAATAAAGCTTGGTCTTGAAGGGAAAATAGTTGAATTAAATCAAGGGCTTTTGAGGGCAGCAGCTGAAAACCAAGCACTTTCAAAGTCATTGCAGGAGAGGTCAAATTTGATAGTTCAGATTGAGGCAGAAAAATTTAAAGCAGAAGCTGAAATAGAACTTATGAAGGAAAACCTTGTGTCACGTGAGAAGGAAATAAGCTCACTGAAGTACGAGCTGCATATGGTTTCTAAGGAGCTAGAAATTCGCAATGAAGAAAAGAATATAAGTGTGAGGTCTGCAGAAGCAGCAAACAAGCAACATTTAGGAAGTGTCAGCAAAATTGCTAAACTTGAGGCAGAGTGCCAAAGATTACGTGGCCTTGTTCGTAAGAGGTTGCCAGGGCCAGCTGCATTGGCCCAAATGAAGCAAGAAATTGGTAATTTTGGTCGAGATTTTAGTGGAACTCAATCAAGAAGGAATGTGATCAAGAATCCTATCCCAAATTTGTCTCCACAGATAGAATTTTCTGCTGACAACTTGCTGCAATCCCATAAAGAGATTGATTATCTTACTATGCGTTTGTTGGAGATGGAAGAGGAAACAAAGATGCTTAAAGAAGCTTTGGCTAGTCGCAATAGTGAACTGCAGGCTACCAGAGACATGTGTGCTAAGACAAGTGTAAGGGTCAAGAGCTTAGAAGCACAAATACAGGCCCTTAATCATAAAACAAGCTCCCCTAAGTCAAGCATTGGGCACCCTGCTGACGACCTTTCAAGTCAATATGCTAGCAATGCACCCAGTATTACTTCCCTGTCTGAAGATGGGATTGATGTGGAAGGACGTTCAGCTGAATCTTTGCTACTGGCAATCTCTGATATCTCTCATTTGGGGATGGAGAAGAGTACTCATAATGTTAACAAGCGAGAGAATTCCAGTTGCTTGGAATTGATGAATGACTTTCTGGAGATGGAGAAATTGGCCTGTCTGTCAAATGATGTTGGTGGAGCTAATGCTGTTTCAAGCAATCCTGATAATGCTGGAAATTATGAAGCAGAAGATAATACATCACGCAATGCAGCCAAAGGTCAGGACATATTCTCTGAGCAAGAGCTTGATTTTAGTCCATCATTAAAGCAGGGTTCGTCAAGCATAAGATCCTCAATGGAGCTTCGAAAGGATGTGGAAAATCTGCCTTTCCTAAAGCTTCAGTCTATGATTTTTACGATTTTTGAGTCTCAAACTAAGGACATGCATTTAGGAAAGGTCTTGGAGGATATCAAATGTGCTATGCTGGAAATACAAGGATCTCCGTCTCAGTACTCAGTCAACTATTTATATGAGGGAGCTCAAGTAGGTTGTGGTCCCTCCAATCAGAAGGGTGTACGTGGAGAGAGTTTGATTTTCTTAGATCAAGAGAATCTTGCAAAGCAAAATTTGGCATCTGCAATATCTCTGATTCATCAGGTTGTACTATCACTTGGCAGAGAAGCAATGGGAGTTCAGGATCCTCATTCTGATTGCCATGGGCTAAGGGAAAAATTAGACGACTTCTCTGCCTATTTGGATAAATTCGTTTTCAATGAGATGGGTTTGGTTGACTTCATCTTGAAACTTTCTCATGTTTTTGCCAAAGCTAAAGAGCTGAATCTTGGTGTCCTGGGATTTAGCGGTGATGATAGAAATGCCAGCAACAATGATTACATAGACAAGGTTTCTTTGCTGGAGAATGAGGCTGTACAAGGTAACCCATCAAAACATGCATGTAGCGGAGCGTGCCACCATATTTGTTATTCCTATCCCGACTCAGAGGTACTTCAGGACAGAATCTTGGATCCAAGTTTTCCACGAGATGTTACATCATGCTCATGCTTATTGAAAGAGTTGGAACAGCTGAAATTGGATAAAGAAAATATAGCTGTGGATCTTGCAAGAAGCACTGAAGATCTTGAAAATGCAAAGTTGCTGCTACAGGAGACACAGAAGAGTCTAACTGAACTGAAGTTACAGTTGGCTTCCTCTCAAAATCTCTACAGCCTAGCTGAAACTCAGCTGAAATGTATGACTGAGTCTTACAAGTTACTACAAGTGCGTACACAGGAGTTAGAAGCTGAGTTAAACCTTTTACAAGAAAAGTCAGCGAAGTTAGATGATGAGCTACTAGAAGAAAAGCGTGGTCATCAGGATGCCCTGGCTAGATGCAAGGATCTTGAGGACAAAGTGCAAAGGTAAGCAATGAACTATTCATATTGCTTGATGATCCTGTGAGCAACGACAATCTGCTAATAAGCAATCAATTGACCAAATAAGGTAAAGGGAATTCATCAAATCAATGACTTAAAGAGCATTCCGAAATGATAAACTATTTGTGAAAGTCATTGATTCTTTTGATGTTGCATTATAAGCTTCGTCAGTTGTTTTATTGGTGGTTATATTACATGAATCACTATCTTGTGAAGCATTATGTCTTCTAACTCTGTAAATAATCTGATTTTGTTAAAGGAACACTGCCTGCTTTGTATGTTCGTCATTAGCAATAGAAGATTCTGGCATGAAGATCAAACAGGTATGTCGCATAATAATAACTTTTTTGGAGAACCTACTCAGACAAAATATTAACAAGAAAATGTGAAAAATGATAATCATGATGGTCTTTCGGATATGCCTTTCTAAGATATCTCTAGAAGTGATCTATATGCTACCTTTTGCACTTCCTTTACATGCTCTTTTGTTATATAGAATGTTATCCGCTCTTCTGGCTTTTATTTTTTTTGCTTGACCTATTGTGATCATCATCATATAAAGGCTGGAGGTTTGTTAATTGATCAGGATATTCCTTCCTTATTTGATGCTTTCAGAATGACTGTTAGCTTGAAAGCTTTAGCTGAAAGTGTCTGTCCTGTCACTCTCTTGGCAGGAAAGAGAGACAGAAGATGCAGCCCAAAAGCTTGCAGCATGCCAGGAGACCATTTACCTTCTTGGGAAGCAGTTGCAAGCTTTTCGCCCTCAGACAGAGAACCACCAGACTCAGTACAGTGACAAGCTGCTGGGTGAAAGTTCATAAGGCAGACTGAATCATAGTGGTTCAAAGGCACAGGACATTCACTACTCTGATGATTTTAATCACATTGAGACAGACAGTGTAGCTTCTGCTGATGTGCAATCTGTGAGTGAGGAATCCTTGCGTTTTGGTCATTCCACCTCAAGTCACTGGGATTATGAGTCCAATCTTTCATTAAGGTCGTCAGTGAGCTCATCTCACCTCAATCATAGGCGTACCAAGTCAACATTCTCTGCTTCTACTCTTGAGGAAGTGAAACATTCGCGTAGTTTTGGCCGTCTTTTTTCTTTGAAAGGGAAGAATAGGCAATAGAATTATGCCCTATACTGTTGTATAGATTTCCGGGTTAATGGGATATATGGCAGGGGTCAAGATTGAAATGAATAGTTCATAGATACTCTTGAATTTGCCATAGCAATTGGCTAGCCCCATCCGTTCTAGATAAATTTCCTTTACTTCTCTTTTTCACTGGGATTGTAGTTGGGGTTCTAATTGGAACTCGCACATTGTAGAAATTACAGTAATGAGGAATTGAAATGGCAGATCAAATTACCTTTCTATCAGCCGAAGGAAAAAGTGCCTAGGTCTCTGACTTGGACCTTATATTAGATACAATGAACTAATGAACTGCAATTCTTTCCTTGTTGTAAATGCATAACAGATGCGTACACGATAACAACTATAAATGTAACAAACGGTCAATGCATTATTCACAGAAAAACAAAGGTGTCATCTCTGACATTGTTTGAGATAGCCAAATGCACTAAACAAGGGATGCATTTATGATATAACAAGCCTGATTCTATGGTGAGGCTGAGGCATGAAGAAAGAAGAAAATAGCAATCATTATGGAAACTCAGTTTTGGTTCCTGGAATTTTCAAGCACAATTCGCAAGCATCTCACATGCAGGATTAAACCAATCTGACCAGGAGACATCTCGAAGGTCAAAGCAAACCTGAAATCCTTTGCAAAAGAAAGCGTGCATGACTAAAGAAGCTGGAGGAACTCAAACGTGCGAGGCTGACAATGATGATGTCCTATTAAGCTGATTTGGCAAGTTGGGAAGATTTAAGTCTGGTTTTTTTATGGCATTGTAATCAAAGAAGGCATCCCAAAAAATGAGAACCAGAGTCGTATGGTGTAACCAACATGTCTGCGTTACAACTTAGTTTACCAAACCCACTTCCAGAAGTCTAGTGTTCTGTTTATGTCCCAGCTCAAGTTTGAACCCAGATCATTCTACGAAAATGATAATGGCATTGGCAAGTAGTATCTCAGGCTTCACTAACAAAGAACGGAATAAAGATCAATTTGAAACCAAATATCTATTAGTCCCATACAAGATCAGTTGAGTTGGCAACTAAGTGTATTTTTCAGCTCCAAATTATATTTGTTCATTACAGTGTGTTGGCATGTGAGCTTTGTCTCACATTAATCACAAGGCAGTGGAAGTGCGTTCCTAACTATTTATCACCAGCAGACATCAAATTACAGGCACTGATACAAATGTGAAAGACATGCAAAACAAATCTGAACCGTCAATTTGCAGGACCATCATCGTGAATGCAATAGTCCTAATAGATACTTGCCAATCAATAAACAGAAAAAGGTCTTTTTTGCTTATGCGAGTGGCTCAGGCAATCGAATTCAGCTGCTTCTGGACTGCTTAAATGGAGGGACTGCTTGACAGATACGCTCAATAGCACGTGGAATACGTGCCACTTGAGGGAAAAACTTACGTACATGCACAATATACTAATTTTGAATAATGAAAGAAGAAGAGAATGTCAATAAGTTATGGTTAGAAAAAACCACTCATGCATAAGGGTATATGAATATGACTGCATCATCTTTCTTCAATACCCTGACCAATCCTATGTATCAAGGTTTCTTCATCTGATCATGGCTGTTAGAGAGCGAAAAAAGACTTCTTCACAAGGAATTGTGAGGCCCATGTCGTGGTTAAAGCCAAAACTTTTTCTTATGCTTTGAAGCAGCTGTGATCATTTAGAGTTAACCTGATCATTGGAAGTATGTATCTGGGCATTTGTTGATCTCCAATGAAGAACAATATGGGTATGTACATATAGAAGCTTATGATATATCCAAGGCCATTAACTTGAACAACGTTTTGAGAATCTGTTCTGCATAGCTGCCTTGAGTATTGTTTGATTTCTTTGATAGTATTGGCTCAAATTTGAGCTGTAGGTAATATGTAAGGTAAAAGAGGCTAAAACTAGAGAATATGACTTCAAAAAGTTTATCAAAGCCATACTAATTCAAAGAGGAATTTATATGGGGGAAGCGTGGGAAGATAGAATTTTGTATTGAAACAAAGTAATGTGGTATGTGGGAGAAATGAACAGACCAAGGATGTATTGCAGATGACTGTATGTAAAGGCAAGCAGGCTCCAATCATGGGACTTACCCTACCCTGTTGCCTCTACCAAGGACAACATGGGTCCATTTTTCTCTGTTTTTCCTTCCCAAGTTTTCCACCATATGTATCTTCTGATACATAACTTATTCTAAGGCTGAGAAAATTCATTACCACCATATAATTTCCAGTTGTCATCTTAAACTATGTGTCAATGTCTCTCTTTATCTCTCTCAGAAAAATAAAACAAAAACAAACGTCACTATCACTCTGTTTAGCATGATTCAGAATGTTCAACTTCTTAGCTTGACCATTGGCTTAAACTGCCTATAAGTACTATAAATATTTATTAAATCATTAATTACCACATTTTTTTCTTGAAAGGCATTAAATTTTCATCACATACTTAATTTACACGATTTGGCATGGCAGCTAGCTAGTTCTCAACTTTTGGTAGAAAAGGACCTGAAATGTTAGCTGGTTGCATACTTTCTTTAAACCTTTAAAGGACCACAGGAGACCAGTTCTGCAATACCAGTTCTGTAATACTCCAGTCCAAAATAATAATTGGACTAGATTAATACTAAAGCTCATCAGTTTATTAAGACATTATTTAGTAAAAGAAAAAGGGTTGAAGTATTAGATGAAAGGAAACCTAACTATCGTGAAACAGAAAAGAAATAAAGTTCTTCTTCTTCATCTTTTTTAAGGTTAAAGAATATGAAAAATCAAGTTGAAGATTCACAATCAGAGGCTACTATCAAGTTAATCCCTTAAAGGTGAGTATATGTCCTCTTTTTATTTGAAAAGAAATATCAAGTTGATTGCTATTATTTGGAGTTGAAGTTTTGAGAGCAAAACCAAGAAAAATCACGAAAATTTTCATTAATCTTCATGATCTATTTGGGTGAATTACTGAGCTTTGTATATTTCATGTTCTTAAGATTATTAATGATTATTGAATGGAGTTTGAAGGCTGAAAGTAAGGATTTGAATTTTTAAAAATTGAAGGAGAAATTTTATTTTTGGATGAGATATTATGATTTGTAATAATGAATTAAAATAGAATTTTGCATTAATGGATAGATTATTGCTATGATTATTATATATCATTGGAAAGCATGTTGAATCTAGTTTCTAATGAAACAAACGAAAGTCAAATATGAGTTTTCTATGAAGAGTTGTCTAATTTTAACTTAAGGATATGCAAGCTGTAAGACAACCGCATCAGGGTTGAATTACGAAATTCTTCTTAATTTGTATACAAGGATTTACAGATTAAGCCATATATGTTTGGAAAGCTTATTGAGTCTACTTTCTAATGAAACAAGCGGAATTGAATTTGGAGTTTACTGTGAATAAATATATAGTTTTTATTAGAAGATATACAGGCTGTTTGACAGCAGTATATGACGTGGATTTAAAAAATTGTTATAATTAATCTACAAGGAATTACGAGATGTGCCATATATGGTTAGAAAGCTAATTAAGTCTAATTTCTAACGCATTAAAGAGATCATAATTCCGATTAGGATATATTGAGATATGACTCTTTTAATGAAAATAGATTAGGTTGCTAGTATTAATTAGTTAAATTAACATTTTGTGTAATTTAGTTGATTTTTGTATAAATGGTCTCAAAAAGGGTTGATTAAATTCTAATATGTTGAAATGATCTTGGATAGGCCATTAATTATTTTTGGGGGAAAAACTAAGTGGTGGAATCGAATGGAAGTAAGTAGAATCTCACACACTTTGCTTGTTTTCGAATTTATATATATATATTTCTAAATGAATGAATATTTTAATTCATTATTTTCGATGTATGAAAATAAGATCAAGTATATGATTATTTTGTGTTTCTCTATATAAATGATGGATCATGCTTATGAATGAAATGAGAAAATAATTTATGTTTAAAGAATGATTTTGTGATGGCTACGTTTTTACATCCCTGGGAAGTGGGATCATCGACACCAGAACTAGTTCTACGATCCTAGCTAACGGGTAATAGTAGTTAGCAAAGACATGATCATACGACTCTGGCTAACGGGTAATAGTAGCTAGCGTAAGCCCTGGCTAACGGGTTATAATAGTTAGCAATGATCATGAGAATGAAATTGTCGATACGGTCAATGTCACGGGTTATAGCAGTGACCGTAGCTAACGATTTGAATGATAATGATGATTTATGATGATTTTAATGATTGATCCATGATTTGGTTTGATTATGATATTTGAATGATAGCATATTTTACAATGATTTATGAAGTGACATATTTTGACATTGATTTATGAATTTATGAAATATTTGACGAAACGATGATCTTAAAATGTTTTGATATTATGATTTGTTGAATGTTTTGAATGATCTATATGATGTGTAAGGAAACGATGCTTGATCTGGTAAGGTGTGTGAGTCTATACTTACTAAGTTGTGGTTTGCTCATTCTCCTTTTACTTTTTTTTTACAGATGATTAAGTGATAAGTTTAGTTAGTCTTGTATGAAGCTAAAAGATGAAATGAGTAAGATTACTTAAACGTCGAAGAATATGTTGACCAATGAGAATTTTAAGAGGTAGTTTTGTATTTTATATGGTTTGTATTTGAATATATAAAGATGTATCATCAGTTGGATTAAAGATATGAATTTTACTTGATAAATTATTTTATTAAAAAATTTTAGAATGTTTAAGAAAAAAAACTTCATATTATTTTGAGATTTTTTTAAAATAATATGATCGTGTTATGCCTCGATTCGAGGCATAACAAGTGCAGCCCCATCTTGTTGTCGTGGTACAATGTACGTGAATAAGATGAGGATTGTAATGGTAGTATAGGCCATAAGGGCATTGAATGCTTGCCTCAATCACGGAATGTCCAAAACTTGGTCCTTTCTTTATAGTCGGAGTTCGTCAGTCTCAAAGGAACTTATTTCCGGTTGTTTATGGACCAACACAACACAAAGCGAGCAGTCTTTTGTCCCACGTAACACAAATTTTGGCCTGTTGAGCAATTAGCTTGGTCGAGCTAAATTTGCGCTGCCTAGTCACAGCTCTTTATTGCTGATCAATTGAAAGTTTCCGGTTACTACAAACAAGGCTTAGCCCCACGTTGTCACAGTGTCATCGAAAGCGAAGCATGGCTTCTCCTCCTAAATTCCTCTTATGTCATCCACATTAGACAAATTTTTTTCATTGCTTTCGGCCTTACATTTCACCAACTCAAAGAGCACAATGTAACATCACCCCAGGTTTTATATCCGTTACAACATATTTGCAAGCTGTCTCGCAAGGTTAGCTTAGTTGGCAAGCAAATATACTCTCACCATAACGACGACCAACTATTAGAACATCCAGACTTTGTCAGGTGCCAAGGTTAAGGACTAAGGGCAATTCAAGCATATGAGACACAAACTTAGCATATGGGGCTGCCCATGAGCTTCTGCCATAAACATGAAATTCTAAAACCACAATAATCACAATTGAGTACTGAAGCAAATGCATTCCTCCTTGATAAAGCACCACAAATACCTTGTTACAGCCTTTCAATCAGCCAACATGGGAGATATTTCCCATGTTCCAAAGGCCAAAAGCCGGCTTTACAAGCTACATGGTAATCTTATCTGTCTTCTTAAGTTCCTTGCTTCCTTTGTATTCTTTTTCAAATAACAGCTAGCAAACGAATATAATCTTGCATGCCAAAACCCAGAACAAATTTGTACTAATATTATAGCTAACTTCGTTACTTCAAAGTGACAAGGCCGTAACCTGAAGGTGTAAATTTAGAATGAGATGGGCCATGAGGCTTTGAAGTCTATTCTCCATGTTCTGTCAATGAAATAGATAGGCTATTCCATCATTTTCATTGAGGTTAGAGTCATAATAGATAAACTTTTTATGGCTAGCTGATAAAAAATCTTAGGCATTTTTTATGTTTCAGTAATGCGGTGATCCATTGGTGACCACATTCCAAATGATGATATGCATGTGAAGGCCATGTTACTTTTGTCTTGAAAACGCCTTAAAGAGACAAAAATGGTTAATGTAACTACGTAAGGCTGCTCAACATCACAAATTGCCACTGTGCCGGTGATATCTTCAGCTTTGCCAACTTTCCCCATTCAAAACTGCCTATTAATGACAACCTCTTCGACCAAACTCCTTCGTTAAGTCAGCTATCAGTGTTGGCTACAGGGTTAATATTGAAGTTAGTAACTCCAGATGGAGGCTTGATGATTCTTCATAATTCCAACCGGGATAGATACAGTAATTTAACACCAGATATCTAAGATCACACCATTAAGCTTTTGAAGGAATTAGGATAGAATTGGGGTGTGGGGACATTAAGCTTTTGTTAAATAATGGAGTAATAATGCATATCATGCTCTAAGATAATTCTAATATCAAAAGCTCAATGATTGAGTACTAAACTCAAATGACGAAAGGTCAATGGATAAGAACCTAGCATCATTTGTTCCAGCTTCGCTTTCTATTGCCACAGCCACAATCGAACTCCATTTAGATGGACAAGAAAAAGGGTGGCCCATAAAGCTCCATTTAGAAGTCATCGAACACAAAAAGATTTGTGAAATGGGCCCCACGGCTTGACAGGCTGCGGTCACAGGATTATATACTTGAGCAATTCCAAGCAAACTCAATGGCAATACACTGTATTTTTGAGGAAAATGCACACACCAAAGTCCAAACAACATGGAGTCTCGTTGGTGCAACACCTGGATAATCTGTTCCACCTGATCTATCCTACTTCAGACAACTTATCCACATTCCAAAGACCTTTCAATTCCTACATCCTCATTCATCCAAAATCAAGTCTATCTTTACAAGAGTGAAAATGTTTAATATGTTGTTAATGTAACTTAACACCAATGTTCAAACCTTATCTTCCATACTCTCGAACCCTTTCTCTTCAAGAAAGCTTTTGGTTCCTATTTAGCTAAAGCTAACTTCCATCGTCACTCACTTTATATATATGAACAAGAATTGAAGATGTCTGAAGGTAGTAAAAACTTCCAATTTCCTTATTCAAGAGCAAAATTTACACAGGCTAAATGAATCATCATACCATAGTACATACAACAATAGCAATAGGATTCCTAGGACCAATAGCAGAAGATGTAATCACGCACAAAAATACATTAGGAGAACATATGCCACAGCCCACAACAAATGTTAACCGCAATGACCATTGATAGTCAAAGCTAATATTATCAGGTGAGCTTTATTTTTTCTTTTCAGCTACTACCACATCATGGAAAGTTTCTACACTAAAATAGAAGCTTGCATATATATGTTCTCTTTCATGTCTTAGGTTGACAAAGGGCAAGATAATATCATCGACGGTTGTTAACATACTACTTAGGTCTTAGCTACAATCAATGCTCTTAAGGAAATAAGTTACAACTAAATCTAGAAAGAAGGTTGATACAGTTGATATCCACATCTTTACATCTTCTTCACAGTTCACTTTGTCATCCCCAATGTAAACTCGAAAAGTGAACTCCAATAGTAACCTATCATGATCATGTACATTCATAACTGGAGGCTGGTTTCAAAGGTTGAGGCATCCCATCAATCGCACTTAACTGTCTTCTCAGCTTAACAATATGGGCTTGCACCTATCATGTAATATAAACGGTCATAAGATATTGTCATTTGTCCCACAAGTTCATGAAAGATAAAAGAGCGTGAACATCAAACAACTGAATTAGACATGCATAGTGACACATAAAAGCCTGTAAGTCAGGCCAAAAGCTTATGGAGTTGACCCACATTCATGGCCAAGATAGCAGGTTACAAAGTGTGACTCAAAATTTTGTATCAAAATGGCAGAGGACAGACAAAACATCTACAAACCAGGTAATGCTGACTACATTATGGATTAAAAGACGCTTTAACTTGTACATCTGGCTAGACTTCTGTATAAGCATAGCATGCCTATTCATAACTAGTAGTATAACAGCAAATATAAACACCAGAACACTTCACAGTGGCTCAACCAAGTTAATTGCTAAAATGAAAAGCAACTTAGCTATTCCAACCTGCTGACGAGCTGCAGCAAGTTTCAAGAGTTCATCTGCCTCTGAGAAATTCATAAACCACTGACTGAGTGGATGATCCTTGGTATCACCCCTTCCATTCTCATTCATATTTTCAAGTGGTACTGCAGAAACAAGAAAAGTGATCCTCACAGAATTTTTTTGATGAGCAAGAGTCCAAAAAGAAGGCAGAACAAGTAAATTTACCTGGAGCAGGCAAGCTAAACCCAGCAGGCAGCCGTGGCACAAGAACAGCTGGATGATTTTGCACACGAGCAAAGAAACACTCAGAAGGATCTGGAAAAACAATCTCATTGTATGATTCCACAACAACGGGTTTCTTGGTTGACTGAGGGCCAGATTCATCTTCAGGATACAACTTCAAATGGTGATACCTATAAATATTGAAGCCTAGTTAGTAAACAAGGCACCACATCAAGTGAGCGACCAAATAAACAACTCACAAATCCAACTGCTTGTCGCAAACGTCACTGTGGAAGAAAAGGCTAATTCCAATTTCAAATTCACCCCAACCACATTCTGATAACTCAAAAGGTGGCGATTCAACAATTCTTGTAGGATTATTGAAACTGGGATGCAGTTGAAACACAACATGCTTTATCACCGCTCCAAGATCTTCATTTGTAGCCCCACGCACATAAACAGTCCACTTATGCGACTGCGACCTAATTGAAGGGGATAAATCTATTTAACCTTAGTCTACCACAAAACAAGAAAAGAAAAAACGAAAATTTATATCATCGAAAAACATACTCGCTAGCCTTTCGACCAAGATAAAAAGCAATAGTTCCATATACAATTGGAACACAAATCTCAACATCTTTAACTCTCCTGTTTGTACTCTACAAATTATTCAGAAAACAAAACAAATAACGTCATTACAATGGAGATAGAGCTCAACAAAAACAAAAGGAAAAATCTTTCTAAGCAATAAAGAAACCAAATGCCAGTTCAACATTTCCCAGCTCTTGTTTTCAAATGTTAAAGCAAAATTATGCTTTAACTGTAATTAAGAATAGAAAATTTCAGTTCCCATGGACTTAAAAAACCCCACCAAAAAATTGAATGATTTCAAAAGCGTTAAAAAACTGCTACTACTTCCCTGGTACGATGCAAAAGGAATAATCTTCCTAAAAACTTGAGAAAACCCAGAAAATTTGAAACTTCGTTTTCGTAGGACATGCAGATAAAAGCCGCCAAACATAATTGAAGAAGCCAAAAAAAAGGACCTTTTTGTCGATATCATCAGAGGTTTTGCCAAGTTTGATGATGCGCTGCGGCTTTGAAGCAGACCCACCATCTTCAGCTTGGGCTTCGATAGCCGTATGAGGCATTTTAGCAGACAGTTGACGTGGGATCAAAACCAGAAGCCAATGAAGAGTTTCACTTTCAATTCAGGTATTAGAATTTAGGGATTTGTCTGATCAATTTTGAGCAGGGGAATTGGGGTTTTAGAGAAGGAAGTCTGGGCCATTTTTCATTTTGTTATTCTTGCTACGTCAGCTGTCATCTAGACGGATGTGTCGTACCTTGGAGTCGTCAAAATAACAGCAGTGTCATTTGTCTTGTCTTGACGAAGGATATATGGTCAAAGTCCATTTGGTGTTTCCTTGTTTCCTCTTTTTTTTTCCCTCTAAAATTTAACAATGTCAATAAATGGGATGGCATACAATCCAAGTTATTCGACTCATAACCTGAGCTTGGAATCAAAGAATAACCATCATCTTGAATCTTTGTCATGATATGTTTTAGATATGTAATCCAAGTCATCCATCTAAAAAGCATAGAAAACAGTTTGTAATCCAGTGCCAGCCTACAAGGAACAAATTTTCATTGTGTTTATCACAACAGAGCATTATAATTTCATGCTGAAATGAAAAAGGTCAGTGGAGAGGGTGGGATGTTTGACAAACATAGTGACATCTCTACCCTTACAGAAAAGATGGAATACACCAAATTCGAGTTCCAATAGCACAACAATATGCACCCACACATCATGTTTCAATGTTTGAAAGCACAACAATGGCACTAATTCAAGTTCCCTGGTCTCTTCATAGTGTTACACTTTCAAGAAAGTATCCGTTACAAATTTGCCTTCTCTGGATGGTCATCTAGTCCGCTGGAAGTAAACAACCAGGCACCAAAGTGCGACAGGCAGCAGAACGCAATAGCTAATCAGATCAGATCAAATATTCGAAGCACTTAAGGCCATTACTTTGCATTGTTCATTCATGGCCAAAAGCTGAGCTTCTTTCTTGTCAAGAAGGGCAGTCAACCTCACATTCTCTTCCATAAGCTTCTGAACTTCAGCCTCTTTCTGTTTTTTCTCGCCCTCTAGCTGCGTTGTCTTGGCAACTAGCCTGATTCACATCAAAATAAGGATAGGCTCATGAATAAGATTACCAACTAAAAGAAGCTAGTGTAAAAGAAAGACATTCAATAGTAGTGTCAAATACCACCACTCCCCAGCATATCCTCCTACCTACTCAGATGCAAAATGCAGTTTTGAACATATAAATCAAGTTCACACCTATACTGACATAAGCCCTAAAATTGCAAACTAGCCAAAAAAATACAACTCCTCAAATTGGGTTCCTCGGTAGGACAAAAGCAGAGTGAGCATAGGAAACCTACCGTCAAACAAACACCTGATTGATAGTTGAAAAGCAATGAGTGCAATGAGAGATCCATGTCATAATTTGCCAAAAATATAGTAATATATAAATTACCAAAGAGTGTAGTAATGATACAATTAGTGTGGTTTGATACGGACATATATGAAGGAACAAAATTCATATTAATTGCTGGGCATGCTGAGAATGGAACAGACATTTAAGAAACAAGAACAAGTATAGTCAAGGAAATCATAGAACTCAAAAATCATACTGACCGTTCAAAGTGCCTTTCAATGGTTTGAAATTGCTTCTCTGATGAAAGAAGTGTTTCTCTTACACTAATGAGACTGCTAACATAAGATTTCAGGGACTCAAAATCCTGCTTCACACGAGAAAGCTCCTGTTCATTTTCAGCAGCTCGTTGCCTCTGTCTAGAAGTTTCTTCCACCAAGTCCTCAACCCTCTGCCTCATTTCATTAAGAATACTATTTGTACCCAGAGCAAACCTTTCCATCTCTTCCAACTTTATAGACATATTCTCAATTTGGACTGTCTTCTTTTTAATTTCTTCCTCGCCTAAAGTAGCCTTTTCTTTCTCAATAGCAGTTTCAGATTCCGCCATGATGACCCTCTTAACAAGAACTTCCATTACATCCGTGACCATTTGCACAGACTTGATTAATTCACCAATATAGGCTCCATCTTGTTCATCCAAAGAACCTTGTTGTCTACTAATTCCAATCCATGTTTCTTCATCAGTACAATCAAATGAAGAGAGATCAACACTCCTTGACCAACCAGACAACGGTGTACCTTCTTTATCCACAAGCCCCACCCCTTCTAATAGTTTGATGCCACATGATTTATGGGCTAAATCAGGAACAGCCAATACTCTTGCTTTTGATTTCAAGTAAGTCAATAAAGTTGCAGTAGTTTTTACCCTTCGCCAAAGAACATCCAACTCCTTCTTTGATTCCTCCTTCGACCCCTGAATGCATGCCTTTACCTCCACAATTTTGGCTTGTAATACATCTACTTGGCTCTGGCATTTTTCCATCTCATGCTTCCACATTTCATGAGTTTCACTTAGCTGAGACTGCAGAGTTAACAAGTCGAGATCATCCTCAGCTGCCATGCCCTTTCCTAAGTTATAAAAAACTAGGAATGAGATCACAGATGTTCAATGGCATAACAACTCATAATCACAACACAAGCAATAAAGATGCAAGTAGAACACATCATTGTTGCAAAAGGAAAGGGGTTGCAAAGCCTAAAGGGCAAAAGGAAAGGGGTTGCAAAGCCTAAAGGGCAAATATTATGTACAACAAGATGTATGCTAAAATCCAATACCCACTCGACCCATCACAACCCCCCCCACAAAAAAGAAAAAAAAGAAAAAGAAAGATGCAAAGCTCCCCATGGATTTAATTCACAAATAGGTTTCCGTCACACTTTCCACAGTTTAGCACCCCAGTGATGCAAACTTTCAATGCTATTAACCAAAACTAGACTCTATATCAGACGAAAATTGCATGCCCAGGCAAGATCTAGTTCTCATAGATTGCTATCTTCCAAAATCCAGCATCACGATAGATAGTAGGCAATAACAATGTCCATATCCAGTTGAACCATTTCATTCCAACTATGCTGGTTCAAGATGCTAGGAGAATGTCTTACATCAATCATGATAATATACTCAACCCAAATAATGTTTTCCAAATCTTATCTTCAAAACCTGGCATGAAAATAAAACAACCAGGCAATCCCATTAAAGCTAGCATTACTTTCTTACAGATGAATGTCATGCCTTTTGTAACATCAAGAACATTTGCTACCCATATCTTCAAGTTAATTTTTTAAAGTCTCTTTCAGCTTTCAAAAACATAAATTCACTCCAAGAAATTAGGGTAAGAAATTCACCAACATCATTACCATAAGGAAAGCAAAAAAAAAAAAAACCCAATTCCACGATCTGAACCATCAAAGCCCTAGCAAACCACAATGACATGAAAATAAGCCAGAAAACTGCCAAAAAGAACCCTATTCCAATTACCCATTTACTGATCAAACACAAAAACGCGTTAAGACAAAAATCGAACCCTAACCCATCAACGGAAACGACAACAGTCAAAATTTCCGACCAGAAAAAAAAAACAAAAAATTCAAACTTGAAAGGAAAAAAAAATCACATTTTCATCTAAAAAGAAAAGAAAAATAGAAGGCAATGAAAGACAAACCCAAAAAGCTTCTACCTTTCTCCATTTCGGATTGGATAGAGCTTGAGAGAGAGATGCAGAGAAAGACAGAACCTTGTGATTGGAGGAAAAGGAAAGGAATAGCGTGGGGTTGACTGCACAAGATAATTCCAGGGCACCAGGGGAGAGGCTTTTGTTTTTTGTTGTTATTCTTCGTTCAGAAAAGCCTTTTTTTTTTTTTCTAAACTAAGGACATGTTTGGCAGCTGGGCAATTTCTCCTTTCTCCTTTTTCTTCTTAATAAAAAATTGTTTTCTAAAACTAATAAATAATAATACCCACAACACAAACAATATTCTAAAATTTTATTTGAATAATAAAATAAACACTTTCTAGTTTTCTTTCACAAAGATTTTTTCTTTTTGACTTTTTGTTGACGTACTGAAAATTTGGACAAAAGCAAACATGTCTTTATTATTTATTCTTCTATTTATTTGGAAATAAGCTAGCAGTAGTATAATTAGATGGCATGTATGAATACTTGTTAATGGTGAATGAAATTTTCAATTAAAAAAAATGTGAGAATTAATGACATATATCATTTTTTTTTTTTGGCATCATTTTACAAGACTCAGATTTGATTTAACTTTGACAAGAAATGTAAAGAACAACGGAAGCTTAATGAAGCTATAAGATTCCATTCAAAAACTAGAAAAAAAAAGAAAAAAAGAAAAGAAAAGGCATTAGGAAAAGCTCTTTTGGCCTGTGAAAGAATCAGAGAGCCCAAGAGGAAGTTTTTCATTTTTTCTCATGTATCTTATAACTATGATTTACAGGCTCAAAACTTGCGAAGATCATCTGGCTTGTAGGAATTCCCACTGCTATATAGTGTTTTAGTCTGTGATTTGAGCATGTATCACTATATATAGCCTATAGCTAGGAATACAGAAGCCACAGGATGCTGCAGTGAGTTCCATTCTAGGATCCATATCAGGCCAACTGCAATGAAAGGATATTTCCAACTATAAAAATAGGCTGCTGTAACATACTATCAGAATTAAAACAACGCACAACTTAGTAGTAGCTAGTATATTACCAAACTAGTACATTTCAACTTTAGGTGAAGGGGCCAGGGCTCCAAAAACAGAACCCTAACAAATGGAAGGAGACCTAAAAACTTGCGTGATGATCGGTATGACCTGCATTGTATGGCAGATTATTCTCGAGCATTCCGATTGACAGACTACCAGAATTCTGGTAACAGGGCTAAATGACTCTGGCTTATTGTTTAAGCCTATGCTTGGTCTTGTATCTTTTTCATGTAATCAAATTATTTTGTACCATATTGAACATTTAGTAAATTTTTAGTTCCTGTGAAGAAGAAGAAGAAGTATTTGAGCCTTGGCATAATAGACAGATTACAAATATCAATATCTTGAGAGAAGTTTAAAGCTGGACTTCGGTTGCAAGCTTAGAACTAGACAAGGAATGAAATAGGATTGAATCAGGATTTGGGTCAATAAAATGCTTTCCAAGGTAGAATAGGGTGGTGAAAATAACAAAGCTCAATCATTTTTTCTTTTTCAAGAAGGCAAGTGATGAACTCCTAAATGGATTTGGCTACCAGGAAAGGTTGTAAAATGTAATATTTCAGCTGGTCCTCTGATATCCTTTAGAAACAATTAGAATCAGTGTTCTCCAAGAAATTTGGAATCAGTTTTCCTGATCAACAGATGCAGGAGATGGATCCCATTTTCCTACATGCGACCAGATGGATCTTGCTAATCTGGTGTTCCACAATTTCCATCAAACTGGTACTTACTGCCCAGGTTATTTTCAGAATAAATAATGTACTTCAGATATCCTACTTACAAATTACAAGAGAGTTTCTAACTCTGGGTAGCAGTAAGGAGGTGTGGATGGGATGCTGTTGAACTTCTTTACTAGACTAATGCATATTTAACAGTGGGATAAAATGAATCAAAGCAGCCCATCTACCAAAGACCTCTCATGGAAATAACTCAATTTTGCCTCAGTGCTTGAGATGTTTTCAGAATGTTTTTGGGTCACAACCTTCATTTTCTGAATTTGGAGGGATTTCTTTTGTAGCTCTGGTTTTTCTGTGTGGCAACTTTCCATCTCTTTCTCCATCTCAATTTCTTGAAGATTTTTCCTCTTGTCTTCCTTGAGGGTGGAAGAACGCCTGACTAATTGCACTGCCTCAATAATCTCATCTAGTCTCTTATGGAGCCAACTGATTTGCAGTTTGACTGATTCCAAATCAGAAACAGTTGTAAGCAAGGACTGGAGCTCAAGTTCCGTTATGCCTTCCAATTTCACTGCTTGTAGTTTTTGGATAATGCCACAGGCAATCTCAAGGAGAGATGAACGGCATTGCATTGAATTCAATGTGCTGTTGGCAACAATGTCTCCATGCTTCAAAAGAACTGCACTAAGGATGGGTGTTAGTTCTGCCTTTACTGTATACTCACCTACTGTCATTGCATTAGAACCAACAACGGGAAATGTAATTGCATTATGATTTGGAGAGTCACCATTGGTCATATCAGTTTTAGTGGAAGCCTTGCTTTGACATCCTTTCTCCTGCTTGTTATTGTTACCATCTTCTCCCTGTGGCTTTGTCTTTTCTGGAGTTGCCTGTGACTCCTGATGGGGGCAAAACAAGTGCAAAATACAGCTAAAAATGAAAATAGTAATTCACTAACTGCTGCCCGCAAGTCACTCATGCCAAGGGTCTGTCTGATCATGCATTAGACATTGAAATTAAATACTAGTAAACTATGCAGTTAACATATACTATATAGGACAACTATAACTTGGTTTCATTAATCTAAAGTGAACAAAAGTCGCATCCTTTTAGACTAGAAAGCTACCTTTCTGCCAGGCAGGAGACACCAATGATAACAGTCCATGGTCATAGTAAACTCCCATTTTCATATTAACTCACCATTGCTTTCATATTAACTCATCATTGCAACAGTTACAAAGATAGGAACACTAGTCCTCTGCCTGAACATATTTGCTATTATACCATTTTTTTCTGCTGTCTGCGAGGCTAAAATTATTGTAATATAGCTTTGAATTTCAATGAAACTTCCAGATTCTAAACCTGAAAGACCAATTTTAATAAGCAAAATTCCAGTAGTCAATAGGATGACCTGACATCGAATATACCTTGTTCAGAGCAAAGTCATTTTAAAATGCAGATCGGCCATGAAAAGCAACAAAATGCTAAATAAAATATGGGAGAGGGTCATTTGGCTTTCTGCGGTGTTGCTTTATTGACCCAAACCCATGGTTTAACTACATTCATGTGTATGTTATTATGTCAAATAATGATGCAGTGCAACTATGATTCAATGATACAGTTTCTTGTTTTCCTGCACTCTAGCCCCTTTTTCAATTTCAACTATGATGATGCAATGCAACATAAATTTATCAAGCAGCTTAATAATATCAACATGAATTGGCTGAAAATGAAGTTACCTTGCTCTCTAGAAACTGAATTAGGCCCTCTAGACAAGTTTTGGAATCTTTGGACTTCAATAGTTCACCAGCAACTTCAGCGGGGGACACTTTAATCTGTCCTATAATCTTTTCAATCCGAGAAAAAAGATCATGATTCGAAATGCCAAGGTAGATGGCTGCGAGTTGCTTGAAGGTAGAGAATGTGCAATATGACAAGCATATGTGCTTGTCCATGCGACCTGCTCGCAACAGCGCTGGATCAATTCTGTCCTTATAGTTGGTGGTGAAAACAATTATCCTCTCGTCTCCGCAGCATGACAATAGGCCGTCAATGGCATTCAAAAGTCCAGAGAGCGTCACCTGATGAAATGACGATGGAACACATAAAATTGAAGAGACTTAATACACAGGGAAGAATCAAGTCAAGATGATCATGAATTACATATTTTGTCAAACTAACCCTACAGGAAAGCAAATTCATTAGTTCAAAAACTTCCAAAATCTTTAAGAATGACTAGAACAAATAAATGAACAGTCAAGCAGGATACAGAATCATTCCAATATATAACATAATGAAATTCTGGGCATTTACTGTCTTTGACTTTCAGTCAAGAAAAAAGACATTTCCAGAATATAGATATACAAGCATAATAAAAAGCTTATCTCCAAGATCAGATTACTATCTAGTTTATGTGCATCTATATTGAGTTGAGAAAATACGACTAACCTGGAGATGTGGATAACTCGCCGTTTGATCCCCTGCTTCCCTGTTTTGTAGTTTGACTGTACAGTCAATATCTTCAATCACAAGAATGGAATGATTTGACACATGAAGCAACAAATACTCAAGAGATGAGTCCGACTTGACTGCAGATAAATTCAAGTTGAAAATATCAAAGTTCAGATGATTTGCCATGGCTGCAATGAAACTTGATTTTCCAGTTCCTGGTGGACCATGTAGCAAGTAACCTCGCTTCCACACTTTTCCAACTTTCTTGTAGTACTCCTTGCCATTGATAAAGCTATCAAGATCCTCCACAATATCCTTCTTGTGGTCTCCATCCATGGCTAGAGTGTCAAATGTCATGGGATGCTCTAGATTGACACCTTTTGAGCACCAACTCTCACTTCTGATAGTGTGAAATTTCACCATCCGGTTCCGGTCTTTCAGTTTTTTGGCCATGTCAATGACATGAGGGAGATACTCGCTCTCTACCATCTCAGCGTGCTTTTTCTTACAACTAAGCTCGTACCACCTTGATTCAGCTGTCAGTTGAATATTACTATTTGTGTTAACATCGGAATAGTATTTCCATTTCATGGGAACACCGTGGAAGAAATCCACAATCTCCGAGTGTCTATCAAGGCCAAATGTGAACTGCCTTACATTCTCATTCTTGCCTACAGTGAGCCGTTTGAGAGAACCATCAGCAGAAGAAGCAGACAGCACATGGCTACCCAGGTACGCCATGGCAGCCTTGTAAATATGGTTGCCTGATCCATGGTGTGATTCTTCTATAACCAAGGTGAATTCTGGTGAGAAACGGCGAATGAGACTCCAGAAGTACTCTCTTATTTCGTTTGGAAAGAATTCATTGAATGTGCTGCGGATAATGGTGAAAGCAGCCAACACTGATAGTGTTGATGCCATAGCAAGTTTTAGCCTACTGATTTCCTTTCACTAGTAGCAATTCTTTGGGCTAATTTATAAAGGACAGAAGTTATAGAAAAGGAGCTCTACTTTCTATTCATCACCGCCTTCTGGTTTGTGACAGAGAAATTTCCTTGTTTTCTTTTTGATACACTGCCCAGAGAAATTTCCGTGTTAAAAACTCATGATGTTGAAAAAAAGACGATAAAGACATAAAGTTCAGTCCTACATTTTCCCTGTCTGCAAGTCTTATTTGGTCAACAATGGAGATTATAATAGCATCTGAGCGTACCTATCCACGCAGGAGCCACACTTAGCAAAAACGGAATCAAGCTGATAAAAGTAGGATCAGTTAAATTGATAGAAAGGAATCGAAAGCTCATGCTTGGACAGAAATGCACGAATATAATGTACTACTATTTTCAAGTTCCAGCTCTTTCTGCCGTGAAAATTCCGTTCGTTAAGTGTCAATCTCAGTCTTGTCCTTTGGGCCTTGGCAATCCTGCCATACAAAAAAATACATCTCTGTTCACTTCACCCTTGTGGAAATTAGAGCAGACATTAATAAATCTTGTCTTTAAATTTTTTTATAAAGTTTTCTTTATCTTGCTTTTGACGTTTGCCAACACCTTCGCTTTACGCTGGAAGAAAAAAAAAAATTGAAGATTGGATGAATGATATATGAAGTTGCAGCTGGCGGCTATGGTTTGGCAGCTAATGACTCTATGGGTTTCATTCGCTACAAGTTGATAAAGTGCCATTCACTTCTGGTCCAGTTTACCCTTCTTCCTGGTCCCAGCCCAAAAGAAAAAACAAAGGTTAATTGTCCTAAAAGGAAAAATTTCAGATGAAGCAAAGAGTTCCACGGCAAATGCTAAACCTGTCCAAAGAACCTAAAGTGCTACAAAGAAATACATGGGACAAATGTCATAAATCACAAGTAATGCCAGCTTATTCTAACAATGCTTAAAAAAATAAAATAGAGGAGAAAAGCATGCTTATATAGATAATGAAGTGGATTTGGCAGTCATTAAAGTGTCATTACAATTTAAAGGATCCCTTTTCAATTACTATATTTTAATTACCAGTAAACATCTTCAGTATGTTTAAAAGAGTATTCTGTCGACGCAATCCATCTCCTATTAACCTAAAGATCTCCAAGTTGACCCTAGCATCCGGGAAATATTTAGTGAGTTTCTTATATTTTGGCCATCATCTCAGCCAGTTTATTCAGAATCGGACTGGATTTCTTTTGCAGCAGTGTTATTTCTTCTTTGTAGCTTAATAGCTCCTTCTCCATGTCTTCAATGACTTCTAGGATATTATATCTGGAAGATTGGTCCTGGATCAAATCCTTCTTGTCAAAGTTGTTGCTACCTTCTTCTTGCGGTCAATTCTCAGTTAAATTTGATTCTGTTGTGGACTTCTGTTTATCAGCTGAAACATCTAGGTTGGCACCTGGGGACTTTACATCGTCCATACTAGTTTCATTGGATGCCAAAGGAATGGAAATTGAGGATTCCTGGACTTGGCAATTTGATGGATGAGAATGCCTGGGACTATCTTCAGAATTGCCATCTGCAAGCAACTGCAGAAAACTCCCAATTAATCACATTCAACATGAGGAAGATAACATGAACAATAGATAGAATCCATGTTCTTTCAGAGTAATCGGCACTCATCAAGCCCTAAATCTAGACAAGTCATTATGAAAAACAGTCCAGAAGGGACTAAGTCAAAGTAAAACTACTAATTTTCCTAAAAAAAAAGACAATGCTTCTATTTACCTTTTCCTCAAGATGATTGATCAGGCCCTCGAGAGAAACCTTAGGATCCCTTGTCTTCATCAGTTCACCAGCAACCTCCGCAGGGGAAACTTCAACCTTTGTTAGAAGCTTTTCCATGTGATTGAAGAGACTGTGATCAGAAATCTCTAAATACTTCAAAGCCAATTGCTTGAAGGAAGAGAAACTGCAGTAGGTCAGGTAGATGTGCATGTCCATGCGACCAGCTCGAAGTAATGCAGGATCAATCCGATCTTTGTAATTGGTAGTAGTAACCAGAATCTTTCCCTCCCCACAGCAGGATAGGATACCATAAAAAAAGTTCAGGAGTCCAGAAAGCGTCACATGTGAGGACAACATGAAAGATGGACATAGCTAAAGTTAAAATTTGGAGTTATAAATCAATTGCTTGCGGACTGCATTTATTGTTTCAGGATTTAAAAAGAAAAGAAATTTAACCATGAAATTCAGAAAAGATTTTTCAATTTCTTTAACCAGGACATTCAAATCGTACCCTTGGATCCATAATCTAGAGACTAGATTAGCATTTAGAGTTCATTGGCAAGAATGTGCTCATATGAACCAATCAAACCGATCTAAACAAGTTTAACTCCTTTAAGAACATTGACATTTTAATAGCCCCAATTTCAATGAATTCACAGATTTCAGAATTCTGCATATTAGAGCCCCATTTCCAGTTCAAGACCGTTAATTCTATCCCATAAACATAAATATCCAGTTAAGTTCAAATTTATTTTGGTTATGTAAAATTGTATTATGATTGCATAATTTTGTATTATATCACAGACTAGCCTTGTTCTGCTGCCGATACTTTATAGCTTGCTCTACCCCTGATTCTCTGTTCTGCAGCTTCTCACAGCAGTCTATATCTTCTATCACAAGAATGGAACGATTGGCCATGCTAAGTAACAAATTTTGTAAAACAAAGTCTGAGGATACAGCTGAGAGATTCAAATTATAGATATCAGAATTTAGATGATTAGCCATAGCAGCAATCAAGCTAGACTTTCCAGTGCCTGGAGGCCCATAAAACAAGTACCCTCTTTTCCATACTTTTCCAATCTGTTGGTAGTATTCCTTACTATTCATGAACGTGTTGCGATCCTCCACGAGTATGTTCTTGAGATCACCATTCATAGCCAAGGTCTCAAACGTCATCGGATGCTGAATTATCACAGGTTTTGAAGTCCAAACATCATGAGCAGCCGTGTGGAGCTTCACCACCTGGTTTCTCTCTTTGATCTTGTTGGCTTTTTCCAGGATGTGTGGCAAATAAGACCTGGTGACCACGTGCTTGCACTCTTTGTGAAATGACAGCTCGTACCATCCGATCTCCTGCTTAAACATTCCTTGGCTATATTCAGAGAAGTACTTCCACTTCAATGGTACATGTTCGAAGACACGCCTCGATATCAAGACGTAACACAGTCGTATTATCTTGAAAAAAATCTCAAAGTAATACAAAATTTTTTTTCTTAAACATTCTAAAATTTTTCAATAAAACAATCTACCAAGTAAAATCTATATGTTTAATCCAACTGATAATACATCTTTATATATCCAAATACAAACCATATAAAATACATAACTATCTCTTAAGATTTCATTGGCCAACATATTCTCCGATGACTAAGTAATCTTTCCCATTTCATCTTTTAGCTTCACACAAGACTAACCAAACTTATCACTTAATCATCTGTAAAGAAAAAGTAAAAAGGAAATGAGTAAATCATAGCTCAGTAAGTATAGGCTCACACACTTTATCAGATCAAGCATCATTTTCTTACACATCATATAGATCATTTAAAACATTCATCAAGTCATAATATCAAAACATTTCAAAATTATCGTTTTGTCAAATATTTCATAAATTCATAAATCAATGTCAAAATATGTCACTTCATAAATCATTGCAAAATATGCTATCATTCAAATATCATAATCAAACCAAATCATTGATCAATCATTAAAAATCATCGCAAATCATCATCATCATAAATCATCATTATCATTGGTTTATCGTTAACTACGGTCACTGTTATAACCCGTGATATTGGTCGTATCGACAATTTCATCCTTATGATCATTGCTAATTATTATAACCCGCTAGCCAGGGCCTTATGCTAACTACTATTACCCATTAGCCAGTGTCGTATGATCATGTCTTTGCTAATTACTATTACCCGTTAGCCAGGGTCGTAGAACTAATTCTGGTGTCGATAATCCCACTTCCCTGGGATGTAAACATCATAAAATCATTTTCTAAACATAAATCATTTTCTCATTTCATTCATAAGCATGATCCATCATTTATATAGAGAAACACAAAATAATGATATGCTAGATCCTATTTTCATACATCGAAAATAATAAAATAAAATATTCATTCATTTAGAAACATACAAACATACATTGAGTCGAAAACAAATAAAGTGTGTGAGATTCTATTTACCTCCATTCGATTCCACCACTTAGTTTTTCCCCCAAAATAATTAATGGTCTATCCAAGATCATTTTAACATATCAAAATTTAATCAACCTTTTTTGAGACCATTTATACAAAAATCAATTAAGTTACACAAAGATTAACTTAATTAATTAATATTAGCAGCCTGACCTCTTTTAATTAAAACAGTCATATCTCAATATATCCAAATCAGAATTATGATCTCTTTAATGCGTTAGAAACTAAACTTGATAAGCTTTCTAACCATATATGGCACACCTCGTAATTCTTTGTAGATTAATTATAACAATTTTTGAAATTCACGTCATATACTACTATCAAACAACCTGTATACTTTCTAATAAAAACTATATATTATTCATAGAAAACTCCAAATTCAATTCTGCTTATTTCATTGGAAAGTAGACACAATAAGCTTTCTAAACATATATGGCTTAATCTGTAAATCTTTGTATACAAATTAAGAAGAATTTCATAATTCAACCATGATACTATTGTCTTACAGCCTGCATATCTTTAAGTTAAAATTAGACAACTATTCATAAAAAACTCATATTTGACTTTCGTTTGTTTAATTAGAAACTAGATTCAACATGCTTTCTAATGATATATAATAATTACAGCAATAATCTATCCATTAATACAAAATTTTATTTTAATTCATTATTCCAGATCACAACATCTCATTCAAAAATAAAATTTTTCATTCGATCTTTAAAAACTCAAATCCTTACTTTCAACCTTCAAATTCCATTCAATAATCATCGATAAATCTTAAAAACATGGAATAAACAAAGCCCAATAATTTACTCAAATAGATCATCAAGATTAATGAAGGATTTCATGATTTTTCTTGATTTTTCTCTCAAAACTTTAACTCCAAATAATAACAATTAACTTGATAATTCTTCTTAAATAAAAAAAAGACATGTACTTACCTTTAAGGGATTAACTTGATTGTAACCTTTGTTTGTGAATCTCCAACTTGATTTTTTTATATTCCTAACCCTAAGGAAGATGAGGAAGAAAAACTTTATTTCCTTTCTATTTCACGATAATTAGGTTTTCTTTCATCTAATATTTCAACAATTTTTTTTTTACTAAATAATATCTTAATAAACTGATAGACTTTAGTATTAGTCTAGCTCAATTATTATTTGAGCCGGGTATTACACAATCATTTCTGAGTTTTTATCCACGGAAAAGGTAAGATTCCTCACGGTCTTTGTCTTTTCTACCATCTCGCGAGGGGTTGAAATGGTGGGTAGTACTTCTCCAAGGTAAAGATTAGCAGCCTGAGAAAGCTGCTTTGATTGTCTCGAAACACCATTGTCTCCTCTGTGGTGAAATGGCTAGTCCACTCCTCAAAGCGTGAAGAGATGTATAAGGGCAGTGTTTCAGGGAGGTAGTTGTAGAGAGTGCTGCGAATCAGAGTAAGGGAAGCCAAAAACGCCCACAACGAGTTCATATTGGCCTTGCAATCTTTCTTTCACCTGTATGCCCAGTGCATCAGTGCTTTGATGGCTTACAGTTTACACCCCAAATCCACAACCTCACTGTTTTAGAATGAGGAGTTCCAGCCTTCCAGGCTTCAACTAGTATCTAAAGTTTTGGACTTTTAGTCTTTTTCTCTTACAGAAAAATTTAAAAAAAAGGAAAGAAGACAATCAGTGTACCATGAAATGAAGAAAGTAAGTCTGACATCACTAAAAAGAAAGTTGGCGTTTTCCACAATGAGTTTTCCTACATCAGCAGAGCAGATTTGACGGTACTTTGAGCTTTAGACTTCACTACCAATATCTACTTGGATTGTCTAGTTTTTGAGTCATACTACCACTCAAGCCTTGGCTTTATCCCTAGTGCAGTCCACAGTGCATCTGCAAAGATTAGCCAATTTTGAATTTGCCTCCTCACCTCTCAATATCCACATTGATAGCAAAGTCTAGGCGCGAGCGAACGGTTGTGACTCGGGAATCTTGATTATTGATTTTGAGCACGCGAGCGACTCTTAGAAGCAAGTTTTCTTGGGCCGAAAAAGCAAAAGTTTTTGGGCCGAAAAAGATAGGCCGGAGTCCTGAAACTAAAACAGAGTCCACATAACCGTAACACCAAGGAAGAATATGAGCTTGATGGCCCTGATTATTGACCTGCTTTAGGCCCTGTCTGAGAAAGACTTTTCTCTTTCACCATATTGATTGAACACGATCGATCCCAACTCCGAAGACTTCGATATAATTTTCAGCAGTTTACATTTTTCTACTGCGTACACCCTCCTTTCTTTGGCTTCTAGAGAAACAAGCTCATTAGTCCTAGTCTCATAGCTCTTGCTATTATTTGAGTTACATATAAACAAACGAAGAAAGGCTACAAGAGAAAGAGAGAGAGGGAGAGAGGAGGAGGAATGGGAGAAGGAAGAGAAGGAGACTGGGAGTGCAGCGGATGCAAGAACAGGAACTACGCTTTTAGATCTTTCTGTAACAGATGTAAACAGCCTCGTCTTCTGGTTGACATCAAAACTCCAGCTGACTCTAAGTGGCTTCCTCGTATTGGTGATTGGATCTGCACTGGTCAGTTTATACTTCTATCGAAAACCTATCTTCCAGTGGTTTTTATTTTAACATCTTCTCTTCTTGGTCGTGTTGACTCAACTGGGTTTTGCTCTTTATTCTTTTTCTTCTTCCTTTATAATTCAATTATTAAACTCAAGAATAGATATCTAAGATGGGTTTTTTTTTTTTTTTTTTTTGGAAACAGTTGGTTTCTGGGGTTTATATGGGCTCTGAGTTTTGATAATAAGTTCGAATTTCATTAGCTGAGATTTAACAATAGGCATGTCAAGATAAGATATTGCTTTTCCCAAGTTAACGTTTGCAGATAACCAAGAGCTTTATTGAACTTGTTTCTGCTTTAGTTTTGCTAATTTGCCATAAAGCAACTGGTTTTACATCAATTGTTGGCAAAGTTGCCATTGCGAAAACATAACCCTTTACTGATGTCTTTTTACGAATGCAACCCGTTCAATGAATGTTCTGATATGTGCTTTGTGAAGTTGAGGTTAGGAAATCTGAATCAATTAGGTTGAGTGGTTTGTGTTTTTTGTATGTGTACTTTGGTATGCGATGAACTGGTTGGTGTGCGTATGCTTGGCTTCCTTGTCCTCTTCGTGGCTGCATTGTATTGGGGTGTGTGTGGCAATGGATCAATAGGTTGCACTAACAACAATTATGCATCAAGAGAAAAGTGCAAAAAGTGCGGGCAACCAAAGGAGATAGCAGCAATGCCAGCAATTGCAATGCCTGGAGCTTCTCTCCCAACTTATTCACATTATTTTGCCAGGGCCCCAGGAGCACTGGAACAAAAGATGAATGTTGGATTTGTAGGCAGCGGTGCTCCCCAACAGTCACTTCCTTTGAGTTCCAACTGGTCTGTACACGGGGCTGATGATTATGGACTTCAATCAGCTTCTACTTGGCCTGCAGCTGGAAACCAAACTTCTGGGGTTCCATATTTGAATCCTGGTAATCAGCCTCTTTCTGTTCCCAAAGGATGGCGAAATGGTGACTGGATTTGCAACTGTGGCTTCCATAATTACTCTTCACGTTCACAGGTATTATCTTACTGCCTAAACTGGATTCAGCATTCTTCTTCGTACATATCACTAATTCTACAAAATATCTGGTGTCATTTCGATTCTGATCCAGTCTGATATTTTTGCAGTGCAAAAATTGCAATGCATCTATACCACCAGGTACATTCTGATTCTGGCCTGTGAAACAATATTTTCTTCATTTTGCTTTTAATGCTTATATTTGATCTGCTGTTGGTTCTGTTTCCAGTAACTGAGTCTTTGCATATTTTTATTTTCCTTTTTTGGGGTATATAGCTCTTGGAACCAAGCGATTAGCATCTGAAGAATTTGTTCATGACTGGGATAACAAAAGATTGAATTCAGGACATGTAAGGAATCAGTGTCTGTCCTGGCATTTATAATTAATGTTATTTTCTCAGCATGCTTTGACTCATTTAACCACTCCTGAACCACTTTATTCCCCTTTCCTGGGTTTGCAGGGTAATGGTCAGCCACAGTTGTACCCTGGATTTGACCAAATGGTAGGAGCCACCAATGACCCAAAACCTGGAGCATATCCTCCCTATCTCAGTCTAAACGCTGGTGCGCCTTCAAATTGGCAGGCACCCTTTCTATTTTCTCATCAAGCTGCAACACCAACCCTTCTTGGAAAAGGGTAAATGCGGATTAAGTTGCTCCTTATCCTTTATCTTGGACAAATTAGTTATTCATTTTGTGAGGATATATAATACTTTATTGTCAATCTATGGCATTGATAACTTTTTTTTTTAATTTTTAAATCCTTTAATCTTTTTGGATCTAGCAACTGACTTTTAACTTCTGGAACTGCTCCTGAGATTAATTTAAGTTGCTTCTAGAGTGATATTTTCAGTTGTCTTACCTCTTATTGATTGTATGCTTGAAAGAAGTATGCTAAAGAGATGGTCACTTTGTTGATACAGCATTATGAACTGTTTTTAAAATCCAATAAGGTTTATGTGCAGTTCTTTGTATTAAAATGCTGTCATATATCTAGCAAAAATGATATTCAGTATGAGAATCCAAGGATTGCTTTTTAGATCTACTAATACTTTGACGTGTTTCATTTATCAGAGCAAAGCAATGGCGTAGTGGAGATTGGATGTGCACAAAATGCAACAATCACAATTATGCATCTCGAGCTCAATGCAATAGGTCAGTAGCTAAATTAGTGGCTTTTACATGCTAAATTATACAAGCATTGTGATCTGCTGAAATATGATGTGGCTTATACCCATCAAAGTTTTGATATCTGAAGCGATTTGCTAGTTTTAGAAATGAAAACTGCTTAACGTATATCTGGTTGCCTGCATAAGATGTATGGCTTTTGTTCTTTTTGTCTTTTGTTCTTTTGTTCTGTCGGTGGTTTCCTGTACAGTGGTTAATCAAATCATTGCATATAATATAAATGACTATCATGGCAGTACTTTTTGATTCGTTATAACTTCCTCTTTTGGCGCATCTCTACAAGGTTAGGGGTGAGTCAGTAAATGAACCCTGATCGTTGACCCTCCATGGGAGGGTAACAATCAATAGGTTGACACTGCAGACTTCCCTTAAAGGAAGATCTGTCACTTTGTTTTGGCGAAAACTCACGGCCTTGGTTGTTATTTTCCTTCTACAGGTGTAAGACTCAGAAGGATACCTTGACTCAGCCCGTAAATGCTGCATAGTCATAATTTAATGCAGGTTTTGATTCATAAAGATTTTTCTAGTACATTGGTCGGGTTCTTTTTTTTTTTTTTTTCCCGTGTACAACAAAAACTAAAAGCTCGCTATAGGTTTGGTTTTATTATTTATGATAGTTTCCTTTACACAATGGTGGAGAGGTTTATATAACTTTTGTTTAATAGTAAATTTTGTAATTTGACTGGCATTTCTTGTATAAAAGGGTGAAAGCCTTGTGTTGTTTACACTTCAAACAGGTTGGACAGAGCTTTAACTGCTAATGTAGCTTTCTATTTGTTTCTTTGCGTATCTGATAGCAGTTTTGCATGGTTTTGAACCAGTTATGTTTTCACATGCTAGTTGTTGTAATACAAGCCTTTCAATCCCAATAATGTTATTAATTTTCAGCGAAGCAGAGAATATCTTAATGTGTATGCTTATGTGACGAAGAGATGTATTATTAAATTCAAAACTTAACTCGGTTGATTGATATAACTACAGCATCCAACAGATTTGAGTTCAAATTTTAGTATTTACAACCTCTTCTCTCAGCTTCGGAGAGATGATTTATTAGAAGAAAGAGGGCATTGCGAAGGATGTGAGATGAGGTTAAGGGATTAATCAATAACGAAATAATTAAGAATCAAATCTTAGAGATGCTATAGTGAAAATGAGTAAATTTACTCATCTAGACTAGATGCTACAAAATCTTGCAGACTGTAAAAAAGACATATTAATACATTGCATGGTGGTATCTATCAAGAGCCCTTGAACATGGAGGTAGGAGACAAAGGAGGAGAATCGAGTTGGTAAAGATTGAGTGCAGGTCCAACAAACCGGAAAAGTATCCAAGCCCCAATTACAATGAAAATGGAAGCATAGGCAAACTTGTTGAGCCAGAAGAGCAAACCCTTCTCTCCCACATACAACTCTATAGCCTTCTCTGTGATGCTCATTTCTTCCCATTTCTTTGGAGTTGGATCAACTGCAGCCTTTGCCGCCATACGTTGCCCTCCCTCAAAACCATCTTCCTGCAGCTTTCTACGCCTCCTTGACCCTCTCTTAAACCGTATTCCAACGGTTTCCGGTGGCCTTATTGGTGGTGGTGCATCGCTGCCACTTGTGCTACTGCTACCGTTATTGTCAGCGCTGCTGTTCGTGCAACAAACTTTAACAAAACGTCGATAGCGACGTGTACAGACCTGGGTATATGTTCTTGCAGAAGATGAAGCTTTTGGAAGAACAGGGTTGGTTGATGGGGGCGACTTTGAAGCGAAGGACTGGAGAATACTGGTATCCATTGCTTGCTTTCATGTGCTTTTCTTCTCTCCTAGCAGAGCTATGGATATGCTTATCCTTAGTGGCGTCTATCAGGCGGATATCTTCTGCGGGAGATATCATATCTCCTTACTTTTATGTGTTATCATTTCGTGCCATGTCATCAAGGTTTAGTTGAAGTTATTATTTTCGGTTTGAGTTTCCATTGAACTTTTTTAGTTAATTCAATTTAAATTAAAAAAAAAAACACTTTTTATTAGAGTAAATTCAACTAGTCTTGGGCCACAAAAGACACAAACCCAACTAGTGTGTGGTTTGTTGGGAATCATGGGCAGAACAGCAACGATCTAAAGCCCACTATCCAGTAAACCCATGTTGTATCTAAGAATCTTTGAAAAAGTAGAAGAGAGAATCCAGCATCTAGGGGGCATTTTCGGGGACATGGATTTAGCAAATCTAATGATTTCTCAAGGTCGGACTCTGATTTCTGGCTTTGATCAATAAATTCAACCCAATAGAAAAGCAGAAATGGAAAAATGCAAGAGCAGAAGCAAGTTTAAAGTTCTGCATCTAAATACAAATTGAAAAGGCCAAAAATATGATTCTACAACTGCCCGTAAATTTCATACACAAATCTGCAAATCTACATCTTGCACCCCAAATTATACATTATCCAATATTCATACTAAAACCAAAAGGTCAAGCATGGTACCTGAAGTTTTAATATATATAAAAAACTCACATATAAATCATGAAAATGTTTATCACATAACTGGAACCGGCATTACCACTTCACTGGTAGCATCCATATTTGAACTACTAGCACTGGAGTCCCGGTTTTCCTCCCTGGACGCCTTTTTCTTGATGAATTCGATACAATCTGCCACAGCTTCGCTATGGTGCGCATCAGCCGGGTAATATTTTCGCGGGACGACGGATGAGCCTGTGTGATTATGATGATGTGAGGCCTTGGTGACAGCTGACAGCATTATCAGGCGAAAAACTGCTTCTCGGAAGCGTTCTAGCAGGGTCATTGGTGATAAACGTTTGTTTTTGTTGTTGCCTTTGAACCTTGGCATGCATAGGCTACTGCTCTTCATTTTCTTGGGGCTGCCTCTGATTTTCTTCTCCATTCTCTGGTCGTTTACCTTTGAAAATAGAGGGCATATATAGGAGAATCTAATGCACCAGAAAATTTTTATATGCATGTATTTTGTTCTGTAGCTTTAGCTTACCAAGTAAACATATATGTATCTCTTATTTATTACATATATGATATTGTAGAATTTCCAGGATTTGTTGTGATGGTTAATTTTTTGATAAACAAATTTGGAGAATTAACTTAATGGCATTAATGGTTGAAAAAGCAAGCATCATCGAGTTTTTCCAGTGGGACCTGGAAACCTTAATCCTTAATAATATAGTGTCAGAAATTTTGCTGGAAAATGGTGGCAATCAATTGGTCAAGTCAATGCTAATTGCAATAGAGCCATTAGGCAAAGCATGTTTTAGAGTAGTATTTTGTATTCTAATGACTCGTGACAACTCAACCATGTTATGTTAACACACCATCCCAACTTGTACTACCTGACCTTTTTAGGATCAAGTTCCTGCATGTGTCACAACAACACAATTTATGCAACAAAAATCATGATTTAACAATCACCAAAATCCACAATTGTTTTTAAATTCTTTTCTAATATTATATTAGAAATGAAAATTCCATTTTGTGATTCAAACTCTATGACTAAGTTGTTTCCATTTTCTCTTCATTATTTATATCAGAAGTAACCATCATAATGACTTCAATGTCTGCATACCAAGACATTTTAATCCACAAAACAGGGTAAGGAAAATAATTTCCTTTTGAAAAGTTGCTTTAGCATATCAGAACACGAGAATTGAAAATGGTCCCAAAGCTTAATCCATGGCCTAGAGTTTAGGGTTCTGCTTGTAATTAATGATTAAAATATATTAGCAAAGCATGTAGCAAACTCTCTCGATCTGATAAGGCTCACATGGCTACATGTGCATTGGTTACATAATTTAATGCAATCGTTCATGGCTGACCACAACTATATTAAATTCAATTCAGCCGACTTACCAACCATCAAGAATCCTTTGTTTTACCCTCCTTGAATAAGACATAGAAATGTTCTTCATGCACAATTCTCTGTTTCGTATCCATACAGACATATACTTAAACAAAGGGTCTCTGATAAAATATGGAGCTTGTTCACTATGGTTCATAGTGTTGGAGAGATAAATCACACTTGGAGTTCATAAGAACACATCAGAGAGCCCATACATATACGTTGGATATCACTTGAGCCCCAAAAGCTTAAACTATTAGGTTCTTGGGTCTTTCATGCATATATAAGACATCTCATTCAGATTTCCTAATGATGTGAAATTTTTTACTCACAAGTAAACCATATCCCAACAATCTTCTCCATTCACTTGTAAGTTCTAATCAAGTCCCACTTCGGCTCATCCGTGCGAGTAAGTCCTATCAACACCTCATTTGGGTCAGGCAACCTCACATTTCTAGTGCGTTTTTGGGCTAGGGCATAGCACTTAACTTGGTTGTCTAGATTGTCTCAGTGCTCCCTCAAGCTTACACTCTAGGTTGACTCAACACATCACCACTTGGTGTTCCGCTTCTGCATATTATCATAGACTCACTACATCCAAGTCGAACCTTTTAATACCAATATTCAAGCACACGGAGTTGATGGAAGCGACTAACTTTCAACCTGCCAACAATCTCCCCCTAGCAACACCACTGAAACTTGAATCCGTCATAACCTTGGCTCTGATATTACTTGTTAAGGAGACAAACAACATTTGAAACTCATGAGAGCACATCAAAAAGCCCATACATACATGTTGGATACCACTTGAGCCCAAAAGCTTAAGTTATTAGGTTTTTAGGTCCTTCATACATATATAAGACATCTCATTCAGATTTCTTAATGATGTAAGATCTTTTACTCACATGTGAACCATATCCCAACAATTATTATTAAGAAAATAGGGTCCAACCCCATGTAATTAGTTTTGGACCAATCAAAGGCCATGGTGGGCCTTGGTCTTTCTTGTCATACAAAACCCTAGCTACTTAATAAAAAGATGTGGGGTTGTTTTAAGGTGGTGTTGCAAAACTAATAAAAGAAAGAAAAAAAGCCAAAAAAATAAAAAGAAAAGAAAAAAAAAGAGAATTGGTTGAACGAAAGTTGATCCGTGATCCGATTGAGTTAAAATTTTATCAACAAGTTTACGATTCAAAGTTTTATATTCTGAATGGTGAAGATCAGATTTGAAACCCTCTAAGAATAAATCCAAAGTGTATTTGTTGAGTCACCTATTTGGTGAGATTTCTCTAATTATCTCTCTCTAGTTGTTGATTAGCTTTAGTTTTAGCTAGAGAAAAACTTTGTATATTCATGATTTGATAGTAAAGATTTATCCGGTGGTCTGTGATTTTTCTCTCTACATTGGAAGGTTTTTCACGTAAATCTTGGTGTGATTTTATTTTTCCTACATTATTGATTATTAATTGTTGTCTATTACTATGGGTTTATTACGATATATTGCTTTTACGTTGTTGTGTTTATTATTTCAAACCTAACAAGTGATATCAGAACGAAGGTTATTTTGAGACATCGATACAGAAGCAGCCCAAGATAGAAATAAATTATGTTTGAGATTATAGATGGTGATACAGGTTTCATAATAAAATTGAAAACATCAAATTATTCAATTTGAAAGCTTATGATGAAAGATCATTTATGCTGCAAAGATTTGTATGAGCCGGTATTGGGTGATTCGACTAAACTAACAGATATGAAAGATGAAAATAGAAAGAAGTTAGGCAAAAATACGCTGACTATAATAAAAAAATAGGTTGATATTAGCATGTTTCATCATATAGCATTGAAGATATATGCCCATACTATTTGAGAAAAATTAGCAGTATTGTATGAGAGAAAAACATGTATGAATAAAATTATACTTGTTAAAAAGCTTATTACAGAGCACTTGAGTGATTTTCAAGATATATTTAATTAGATGACTGTTATAGAGCTTAAGATGGATGATGAATTAAAGGCATTGTTTCTTTTAGGTTCATTGCCAGATAGTTGGAATACTCTAGTTGTGATTGTTCTTAATTCAGCTCCTCATTATAAGATGATATTAGAAATGGTAAATGACAATATGCTTACTAAATAAATAAGACGAAAAGATGTTGTAATACCCTAGCCCAAATAATAATTGGGCTAGACTAATACCAAAGCCCATCAGTTTATTAAGAGATTAATTAGTAAAAGAAAAAAGGGCTGAAGTATTAGATAAAAAAAATATAACTATTGTGAAACAAAAAGGAAATATAATTCTTCATTCTCATCTTTTTTAGGGTTAAAGAGCATGAAAAATCAAGTACAAGATTCAAAATTGAAGATTACAATCGAGTTAATCTCCTAAAAGTAAGTACATGCCATATTTTTATTTAAGAAATATACTATGTTGGTTGCTATTATTTGGAGTTGAAGTTCTAAGAGAAAAATCAAGAAAAATTATGAAATCTTTTATTAATCTTCATGATCTATTTGGGTAAATTATTGGGCTTTGTTTATTTCATGTCTTTAAGATTTATTGATGATTTATTGATGATTATTGAATGGAGTTTAAAGGCTGAAAGTGGGGATTTGAATTTTTAAAGATTGAAGGAAAAATTCTATTTTTAGATGAGATGCTATAATCTACAACAGTGAATTAAAATAGGATTTTGTATTAATGGATAAATTATTGCTATGATTATTATATATCGTTGGAAAGCATGTTGAATCTATTTTCTAATGAAACAAACGAAAGCCAAATCTGAGTTTTTTATGAAGAGTTGTCTAATTTTTACTTAAGGATATACAAGCTATAAAGCAACAACATCAGGGTTGAATTACGAAAATTATCTTAATTTTTATACAAAGACTTACAGATTAAGTCATATATGTTTGAAAAGCTTATTGAGTCTACTTTCCAATGAAAGTAGCGAAATTGAATTTGGAGTTTTTTAATGAATAAATACATAATTTTTATGAGAAGGTATACAGGTTGTCTAGTAGTAGCATATGATGTGAATTCCAAAAATTGTTATAATTAATCCACAAGGAATCATGAG